ATCATAAAAAAAAATATTAAAAATTGATAAAAATGTGATGATGTAAGTAGAAAAAATAGAGAAAAAATTGTTCTTGTTTATTAAAATATGAGTAATAAAATTTTGGATGAATAATTGTTTATTATAAATGAATTAAACATAAATTTAACGAATAACAAAAAAGATAATGATATAATTTTAACAAAGAATAACCATTAATTCCACTTACTGAGTAAGATAAATCCTATGGTTATGAACAATAATATTTTAATAGTAAGTTATTAATAATAATTTATAATATTATTTTTTTATTTTTTTATATGAGTAATATTGTAGAATTTTAAAAATATAAATTAATATACTTTCTCCGCTTCAAAACAATAGTCTCATTTTGCCATTTTTGTTTTTCTATTTTTTTTTTACAAAATTATTACCATTTTTTCACAATAATTACGTAAAGTGGGAGCATTTTGGTCTTTTAGAATACTTTTACCATCAATATCAATATAATATTAATATTGTTAAATTTTATGTCTATCTCAAATGTCTCTATATTTTAAGACAAATGAAGTATATAATTAAAAATTTTTTAGAATATATATTTAAATATTTTAGCATTATATGTCAATAAATATATATATATAACATGAATATTATTTTATACAAAATAAAATTTTATATAATAGAAATAAATTTTAATTTATTTATCTATAATTTACTTAAATTAATTTTATATATATAAAAAAAATATACTAACATTTTTTTTCTTTTATAATATCACATATAATGCTACTATCATAAAACTTTACTGATTCAACAATTTTGTTGGTGTCAAAATTTTCAAATAGATGTCTCGACTTTAGCCAAATTGCTAGGAGCTCAATTTTCAAAAATATTATCAAGATTGAACGCGTTAAATATAATTTTTCTTATCTATCTAAATTACAAATCACTTAACCAAAATCATCCCGAGACGAAAGTAAAAAGAAATTGGGATGTCAAATGGGGCGGGTTAGCCCGGACTCGTTCTTAATGGGACGGATTCGGGTCTAAATAATATGTTTCGGGCGGGTTGTGGATTTAAAATTTTAAATCCGGTCGGGTTCGGGACGGGTTACGGATTCTACTAAAAATTCGCCCCAACCCGGACCCAGATATTTTTAAAAATTATTATAACTAATATATATGTACATTTATATAATAAAAATATATTATTTATTTACTTAAATAATTTTAAATATAAAATTCAATTAATCGTCTGCTCCAAATAATTTTTTAAAATTATTATATGTATATTTATATAATAAAAATATATTATTTATTTATTTATCTTATTTTTATGGATCAATATTTGATTGTTTTTAGATTATTTTTTTGTACTTTTAATGCTATTTGTTTTAGTATTCGAATGCTAAAATAATATTTATTATTATATATTTAAAAAAAAAACGGGTTTGCCAGATTCGCTCCGAACCTGGAGGGTTCGAGGCGGGGCGGGTCCTGGGGCCGGGTGGAAGCGGGGTTTGGGGCGGGGCGGGTCCTAGGACCGGGTGGAAGCGGGGCGGGGCGGGGCGGATTTCAAAGCCTAATATTTTCTAGCGGCGCGGAATCTCGGGGCCTGCAGAACCTGTCCCGAACCCGTCCGTTGACATCTCTAAAAAGTGAACATGTTTTCTAAATTCAAAACAATTAATAAATATGAAAGTATTTCAAATTTATTTTATTATATATTTCCTTTTAATTAAGTTTTATTTTAGATGTTATCTTTTTACTTGTTTCTTTATTGTTTAGAATTTCTTTTTAATTTGTTCTTTTTATTCGATGTTTTCGTAGTTCTTTTTTCAATAGTCTCTATAAAAGGTTTTTACTTACTCCCTCCGTCTTAAAACTATAGTTTGGGTTGTGTTTGACACGTGATTTAAAGAATATTGATATTATATTGATAGTTGGTAAAAAGTACGAGTAAAAGACTTTTTTGTTCATGTGAGTGTAGTAGTATAAAAAGTAGTGACAATTGTGTAATAATAATAAAAAAGTAAAGGTAATTTTATAGTGATATGATTATTTATGGAAATGAGACTATTGTTTTAGCATGAACAAAAATGATAAACAAAACTATTTTATTGGGACGGAGGAAGTATTATTTTAAGATATCAATAAACATATATAGTTACCGTTATGTTTAGACTAACTTAATATTATTATGATATTGTCCACTTGAATCAAGTATATACGAGTTTTTTTAAAAAAAAATTTCAAAAAGCTTCATATTAGTGAAGTTATATGTGTGACTTAGGTGTTAGTTCTTCTTTTATTTTTTTAATATAATATTTTTTCTTATGCAATTATTGAAGGTTGTGTAGTTCTTTTTATCGCATAATTACAGTCCTGGAGATCGGGGTTTAAATTTCTCCACGCTAGTACACTACTTCAATTTTAGAATACTCTTTGAAATTCAAGTTGTATTGATGTAAATAAATAAATATATAAATATGAAAGTGTTTGTAATATATAATAAGGTCATAGATACTATAAAAGAATTAAAAGTAAAATATATATTTTATGTGTAGACTATAAAAAAATGATAAAATATATAGTTATCAAATAGACAAATGAATATTATTTTCAGTTACAAACATATTTATCATACAATTATTCTTTAAACAATGTATAAATACAATATAAACACAAACCAAATGCACCAATATCTATAATGTATCTTAATTGACACAACTATGTCCGAATCCATGTTTCATGCTGTATGTTAATAGGCAGGTATGTCAACGGGGCGGGTTCGGGACGGATTCTGCAGGCTTCGAGACCCGCCCCGTTAGAAAATATTAGGTTCCGAGACCCGCCCCGCTAGAAAATATTAGGCTCCGAGACCTGCCCCGAGGGTTCAGGGCCAACCCGGCAAACCCGTTTTTTTAAAAATATATAATAATAGATATTTTTTAACAATCGAATACTAAAACAAATAGCATTGAAAGTACAGAAAAAAAAAAATCTAAAAACAATATATTGATCCATTAAAATAAGATAAATAAATAAATAATATATTTTTATTATATAAATATACATATATTAGGTATAATAATTTTAAAAATACTTTGGACAGAAGACTAATTAAATTTTATATTTAAAATTATTTAAGTAAATAAATAATATATCATTATTATATAAATGTACATATATATTAGTTATAATAATTTTAAAAAATATCCGGATTTGGATTTGGGTCCGGGTCCGAGTTGGAGCGGGTTTTTAGTAAAATTCGTAATCCATCCCGCCCCAAAACATATTATTTAGATCCGAACTCGCCCCATTAAAAACGGATGCGGGGCGGGTCTGGGCTAATCCCACCCCATTTGATATCCCTATTAATAGGCATGCAAACATCTCATAATATTATTATTATTATTATTATTATTACAATAGCACCATCTTTTCATACAATTTTAATATAGTAGGATCATAAATAATATATTTTGATAAGTTTATAATTATTTCAATTGATTTTAATAATAAAAAAATACTATTATAAATATTTACTTCAATTGTCCATATATATCGAGCATATTTTAATTAAAATTACTAATTTTTTTTCGCATTAAAAAAAAAAAAAATCAAATAAGAAAGATATAAGTGGCAGACGTTTTCGTGCGACGCAATCTGAACGCACCGACGTTGTTTCTCGCACCCTTGACATGCCTGTAGGTGTCAGTCCGTCGACACTTTCCGTATACCCTTCGTGCTTGCCCAACATAAGTGTAGGCTTTTTACGGTCAATCCACATGCAACTCATTCTGTTATTTATCTCTGCAAATTCTTTAGAACATAATTTGTTGTGATTTGCGTTTTTTGTCTGAAAATTGCTCTTAAAGTGGTTTTTTTCCACACGAACATAGCTCTTTCACCCTGACACAACGCCACCATCGAACGATCTCTATCACATAATGTTCGTCTCTCATTTGGACATACTCATCCTTGATGTATCGACAACTGTGCTGTCCCACAAAACACGACATGAATTGTTCGCTTTGATTGTCACCACTGTTAAGACTATTCTAATACCACACGTAACATGCCAAGTAACTAATATGTTTAGCGTCCAGGCCCGCACTAAATTTAGTCGTCCTTGTGCGCAACAAGTCTGAGAATATAAAATAATATAAAAAAAATACATGCAAAACATATACCTACACAAAAACATAGACTATCAATAAATCTTACATAATACTTTCTCCGTCCCAAAATAATAATTCTATTTTGCCATTTTTATCTGTCTTAAGACAATAGTCTCATTTCTATTTTTGGTAACTACCTCTCCACTATTTTACAAACTATCCCAATTTTTTTACAATAATTATATAAAATACGAGCATTTTGGTCTTCTAGAAATACTTTTGCACCCACTATTCATATAATACTACTCCCTCCATTCTAATACAATAGTTATGTTTACCATTTTTGTTCGTCCCAAAACAATAGTTTCATTTTCATAAATAATCATATAACTATAATAATATCCATACTTTTTTTTATTTTTATTACACAATTGCCACTACTTTTTACACCAATATACTTACAAGGGTAAAAAAAAAAGTTTTATCTATACTTTTTACCAATTATTAATATAATATTAATATTCTTTAAATTTTATGTTTAATTTAATTAAAATTATAATTTTGAACGGAGAAAATATTATTTTTAAATTATCGCTCCTACAGCAAAATGTTACTATTATTTTGAGAAGTAGGAGTACATAAAGATCTGACTATAATCTAGAATTTGAGGCGAAGCTGTCCCGTGACAGTGTGAAGGGGTGCATGGGGAATAGCAAGGGGCGTAGCAAGTGAAGTGATCCTCTCCCATTTTTAATTATGGACGAATAATCATCCAAGAGCTGGCGATGCGCCACGTGGAAGAGCGAAGGCCGTTGGATCATGAAAGAAGACTTTTGCTGAAATCCATATATAGGATGGAATAGAGTGGTGCTTTTTAATTCACTGCGACAACAACTGCCAGTGAACTGTAAGAACGACGACAGGAGCTAATGCTGAAAGAAGCAGTCCCCCAATATCGCTGTGCTTCTACAAACTGGAGTAAGAAGTAACTCTAGAGAGAGAAGAAGAAGAAAGAAGAAGAAGAAGAAGAAGAAAGAAAGAAGGTACTTTCATATATATATATATACAGATGGACATGTATTATTAAATTGAGGTTGCAGAAAGGGGCTGCAATGGCGGCGTTTGCAGTGCTCTGGATTTAATGCAATTCCATAACAATTACAGATATTTCAATTCTTCATTAATCTTTGCCATGGATTCGTTTTCAATTTTGAGATTAATTAGCAGCAGCATCAGCAGCAGCTTCAATGGCGATAGGATCCACATCTAGGGTTTCGAGCAATTGAAGCACAATCAGAGGCTGCCAATTCGCAATAACGACAACGGCGACTCTATTGGAGCTGTCAATCGGAGATACAGACCTTCACCGCCGGAGAATGAACTGCCAGGACTGCGGGAACCGAGCGAAGAAGGATTGCGTGCACATGAGGTGCCGGACCTGCTGCAAAAGTCGGGGATTTCAATGCCCGACCCACGTGCACAGCACGTGGGTGCCGGCGGCCAGACGCCGCGAGCGGCAGCAGCAGCAGGTGATAACGAGCACTGCCGCCGCCACCAAGCGGCTGAGAGAGGTTTCCGGCGCGGCGGCGGTGGCTGCTTCCACTTCCGGTGATAAGATAGGAATTTGAATTTAATTAATTAATTAATTTGTGGTGATATAATTAAGTAATTAAGTCTTGATTTTGAAAATTAGGGTTTGAGTTGGGGCATTTCCCGCCGGAAGTGACATCTCCGGCGGTGTTCCGGTGCGTGAGAGTGAGCGAGGCGGAGGAGCAGCGGCTGGCGTATCGGACGGCGGTGAATATCAGAGGGCATGTTTTCGGGGGGATTCTGTACGATCAAGGTCCGGAGAGCTGGTACAGAGAGAGCTCCTCTCACGCGCCGCCGCCGTTGCTCCTCCATTCGGCGGCCGGAAACCGGAGTTTGGCGTTGTTTGAACCTTCAATATATACTTGCGGCAGCAACTCTTTCATGGCGGATACGCCGCTCTTCCCGCCACCAAGACCTTAACTAACTATAGAGACAAATATATATATATAACTTCTCTAATGCTTGCATATGATTAGTGTTTTGAATTAGTGTGCATTATATACTCCCTCTGTCCTGCTGTAAGGATCATATTTACAGTCTTGTTGTACTTAACATTAAAAATATTATTATATTTATATAATTTTTTATACAAATATTAATATTATAAGACACTAATAGAAATATTTTTGCAATATTTTTTTAATTTATACTATATTTTTATATAATAATTAATATTTAAAAATTAAAAAAAAAACCTATTTGTAACCATTTTACAATGATAATAATAGTATACTCCCTCCGTTCACAAACTAATGTCCTACTTTATTATTTGGGACGTCCAACAATTATTGTCCTATTTTTTTTTAAACACAAATTTTACATTTTTACCCTTCATTCTTCATTCATTTATTACTTTTAATCTCTACCGTACAATTAAGGACAAATTTGTCAATTCATAACAAAAAATAATAACCTAAAAAACCGTACAAATATATTTAGAAACAATAAAAATTGGACTAATTATAAAATATTCCTTTTTATTCATCCAATATGGGAGCATGTTGAATTTGTATGCCTGTTGTTTTGTTGAAAATGGAATACTATTTGTGTTATAAAAATTTAGAAATACTAAAGATTAAAAAAAGTGGCAATATCTTTCTCTATTATTTGGTTTCTATAAAAATATATTATATTTTTGTATCAAATATAAAGTTCAAATCACTCTTTAAACCAAATAATAATAATATAAACATATCCTAATATATTGATTGTAATTATTTAATACTCTCTTTGTCCCACATATCATATCCACCTTGCCGTTTATGTCCGTCTCACATATTATGTCATTTTTCTTTTTTTGAAAATAATTACACACTTTAATCTCATTTTAAACTTTTTAATTTTATTTTTTAAAATTTTAATTAAACTAATTAGTTATCTTAATCTTAATTTATAATTATTTGTATTATAAGATAATTATTTTAACTAATATATTCTTAATTATCTACTAATTACACCCCTCCTAAAATACAGTGTCTACAGTGTAACAGACAGTGGGACGGAGGTAGTACTTAAACTTAAATAGCAAACATATTATAATGATAATAAATACTTTCATCCGTCCCCCCTAAGAATTATATAGGTTTGATTTGATTCAAAAAATAAAAATAAAAAAATTTAAAAAAAAATTAATATTAAAATAAAATATGTAAAAAGTTAAATGAGATGATATATAAAATTTATTAAAAATTATAAAAATATAGTGAATTAAATTGAAAAATAGGAAAACATTGATTATCATTTGTTAAAAATAAGAATAATAAACTTATTTATTATAAATAAATTGTGCATAAATTTAATTAACAATCAAATAAAAAATACTTACATAATTTTGAAAGACTAATATATGTATAATTATATATATATAAATAAAATAAAAAGGGTAGAAAGGCAGAGAATGGTCCAGCCCTCATGTACTCACTTTACTGTCCCATTTAACATTTCCATTTTCTTTATTTATTCTTTAAGAATTTGTTTATTTGGTTTTTTTTTTTTTGCTCTTTCATTTATTATCATTAAATTTTTCTTATTTTTCGTTTATTAAAATATAATAATATTAAATATTAATTTTTATTTAAAATATCATATTTAATACAGTAATTATTTTATTTATAAAATATATATAATAAAATAATAGAATAGATTTTTTCACTGTGTATAAATATATATATATATATATTTTTTATATTAAGTATATAAATTTGTATCATCCAGAAAAATGTCCCGCAAACAAATTGAATTTATTTAAAGATTATCTTTTACCATTGAATAGTTACTATGTTTATAGAAATATATTTTTATTATATAAAATATTATATTAAATTACTATTTTTTATAAATAAAATAAAATAAAAACAAATTTGTTTTAAAAATGCAGAAATTTTCACAGAAAAATTCATTGACTAACTCTTTTTTTTTTTTTTTCCACTTTTTTATATTGTATTGTGTTTGTGTATCTTATAAATAAATGTGTTTTTTCTTTGTAACTTTAATAAGTGACAAAAATGGACTGGATTTGTTTGTTCAAATATAAATAGGCACTTTAGCTACTAGAATTATAAATGCATTATTTTTTGTTACAAAATATTATTTTAACTAACATTTAATTTTAAATCAAAATCGAACAAATCCAGACATTTTTTCCCTTGATAGATGTAGAACTAAAATAAAATCCAAGAAATTTTAAGTTGTCTGCTTGTGTTGGGTTTGTTTTTTTATTTTGGAAAGTCAAATTATAAAATAAATGTTTCATTAAATATCTTATTTTTTTCACAAATATCTTTACTTTGCATCACATCATTACTTTTGTACCAAAAAGTAAAGACAAAAATGTCATTACACTACTTTTAAGTACCTATTATAATTAAACTACTATTATTTTTTAAACACCGCACCAAAAGTAAATGTATACTTTATATGTGGACGAATGAAGTATTATTTATTATTACAGAAGATTAGCATTAACTTCAATCCACTGTTAGAGCTGGAAAAAACTGACCCGACACGACCCGACATAAAATAATTGGGTTTGGGTCAAAGATTTCAACCCGATTATGTATACGGGTTGACACGAACCCGACACGATAGCAAACAGGTCGGGTTAGGGTTGAGGCTCTCAACTCGAACCCAACACGACAATCCGATTATAATATATTAACATTGATTAATATATTCATTATATATGTAAAATAATCATAATTTAATAATTTCCTCATAAATTAATTTAAACTAAGTTTAATTTTAAATAATTCAACCTAATTTAAGCTCAAACCAATAAAAACTAACATAACACGACAACACAAAGAAAAAATTATTTAATTAAATCAAGAAATTCGACTTAATTATGTATACGGGTCAACACGAGTCAACCCAAATCCGACACGATAATAAACGGATCGAGTTATGGTTGAATAATTTAACTCATTTAAAATATTCAAAACCCGACACGAAATCGACCAATTGCCACTAACTGTTGCACAATCAAAATCCAAACCACACTCATAACTATGCTATTTAAATACTTTCTAGAATAAAATATAGGTTCAATTAAATTATTATATATTTCAATTATGATACAATACAATTCAAATAAAATAAAATCCAAATATCTTAATTAAATGGTCGTTATTATATTTAAATTTAAAGTTAATTAGAATTAGCAGATTGAGCCATGAGTGTATTTGAGTTAATTAGCTTAACATTAATCTATCAATAATATTAAGACTCTGTTTATACATTTCTTTCAAATTATTATTATTATTATTTCTCAATAATAATACAACAATTGCTGCGGTTATCGTTTTATATTTCAAAAAATTCAGTATAATACTGACAACACATAGCAAAGAGGCAATCAACTCACAATATAAGTAAAAATAATATATATTGTGTTGAATAAAATTATATAGTTATTTTGTTTTTTATTACAAATTATGCTGAAATCAAATATAAATTGTATTATATTTAACCATGACATGTGTTGTCCGTTTTATATTAACATAATATAAATGTAACATATATATAACAAGAATACAATTTATAGTTATCAACATAATTTATATATAATAAACGACAATATAATTTATAGTTAATTTTAACACACTCAATAGTCAAATAGTACTCGATTCAACAACTATCATTAGCATTAAATCGAAATAGTCGAATACCACTATTGACCGTGATTTAAATTAACTGAATCAAGAACAACATTACTTGTTCAACGCATACTTCAACGATGGATGCATTTTGTTACAAAGTTATGACATCAATGCAAACAAACGGATAATATACTCCCTCCGTTCCATAACAAAGTATCTATTTTTCCATTTTAGTCCGTCTCATAACAAAGTATTCATTTTTTTTAGTAACTGTACTATCTACCTAACATTATAAATACTCTAACAACTTACAGTATATTACACAATTGTCATTACATTCATATCACACGTACTAATAAGGTTATTTTAGTCATTTCTACTTTATTCTTACTATATTCCAATATAATACTAATATTTCTAAAATTATGTGCAAAAAATAAATGAATATCTAATTATGAGACGGAGGAAAGAAGTATTTCAAATTCGACATGGAGAAATTTAAAAAATAATTATATGAGATTTGGTTTATCGAAGAGTCATTTCTCGAATACAAAACTGAAGCTCTAGACCTAAAATCCGACCCGATTATTATAAAATGAAAGTTCACAAATTAAATAACAGCTTAATTGCAAGGATCCTATATATATACACACATATAAGATATTAATAGGTATGGAATTTATTGCAAATTAAATTTACCCTAAGTTGGAAAGTGGTGTACCTAAGTTGGGGAAGAAATTAAATACTGAAGTAGGGTTTTGGGACACAGACATTTCAGTTCTTAGGGAGCATATTGCTTCATCCATTTCAAGTATATCAATTTTATTTTATTTTATATTTCTTTCAAATAATTAATTAAATTAAATTCTTCCCACATGGAGAGTGTATGATCTTCTTGATTTTTATTTATTTATTTTCTTGAATGATTGGAAGGTATAAAACCCTAATTTAAAATGAAGTTGGGTGTAAATAATAAGTTATTAGGATTTCAAACTAATAATTAAGAATGTAATTACAACAAATTAAATGATGGGATTGGTTTATAGGACTTATATAAATATATAATTCTTTTTTGAAATAGATCTAGATATATGAATACATATGTTGTCAATTTCTTGTGGCATTGAAACATTGAATGCATGTTGCATGTTTGTCCATGAATGGTGTAAGAAAAAATTACACCCCTTTTCATTTGTGTAACAAATTAGGGCAAAATAAAATAACATGTGATGTTTACTTCAAGAATTTGGAGACATATATATATTTACTTTATGACATTACCTAATAACATTGCAACTAATAACTATGTCACCCTAATTAAAAATGAATAAATAAATAAACCCTGTCCCGCAATTGATGGTCTGATGATATAGGGGTTGGACTTGTGACCGTGGGGTCATGGATTCAAACCTCCGGTGCCTCAGGTCGAGTATTTGCCCAATGCGCACTATTTTGGAGTGTTTCGAAAATTATAAATATGCAAGTGAAAAATATGTATTCAATCAAATTGTTTAGATGTGGTAGATTAATAGGATAGAAGTTGGGCTTGATCTTGGGCCTTTGTATGGGCCCATCCGAGCTCATTATTAAAAAAATATCAGCCCATAATTTTATTTTATTGTAATTTAAAATATAATTAATTTAAATTTTTATTTATATAATATTTTGATGCTATATTTTATAGAAAAATAATAATATATTTTTATTAAAAACTATATCAAATAAATATAATTGATTATAAATTTCGGTATAATATCAAATAAATTGGAAATGAAAAAGTAAAAGTAAAGTCTGCCGTACAGCTGGAAAACGACAAACACGCTTCTCATGTCAATATGTCATTCTGTCCTAATCGACCAACCGACATACAAAAAAACCGGACCGGTCTGGACCGGACTTCGCTTGAGATCAAATCAAAGTCAACAATTCAAATACTGTATTAATTCTCATTGATAAATTCTTCAAACGCGGAGTCAATATTCCCTCACCGTCCTTTGTATCGGAGCGACTTCCGATCGCTCAATTTACGCCGGAGAGAATACGAAGGTCGTTGGAGCTGCCGGAATCGCGTTGCTTGTATGCTTTGCCGTGAAATTTTTTAGGTAGGTCCTTTTGGTTTGCTTGCAGGAAAGGAAAGCGGATCGTCGCCCAAAGACGTAATGTCGCCGGCGGAGGGTTGGCCGGAGATGGATCTGCTCCGATCGGAACCAATGCAGCTGGTGCAGCTGATTATTCCGATGGAATCCGCGCATCGAGCCGTTTCTTACCTCGGTGATCTCGGCCTGTTCCAATTCAAAGACGTAAGTCGCAAGCATTTTTTTTGTTTTTTTTTTTTTACTTTTCCTGATGGTGTCTGCTTTTTCGGGGATTTGAATTGCGAATTTTTAGAATTATATCATGATTTACGCGACGACGTTGGGGTGTGATGATTTTGTTTCTTTAATCGTTTTTAAAGAAGTTTGGAGGCAAGAAATAGATTTGCGTTGTAGAGTTCCTTAAATTGGAGCTCATTTTCTTTTTTGGATTTTGATTTTCTACCTTCGGAATTTGAGGGAAATTCCATCTGTTGAAGAGGCTCGGAATGTACGAGTACTTGTTCCGAGGAATTTGGAATGCTAATGAGGTGTTCTTGAGAATTGACATGTAAAGTCCACTGAAATTTGAATTGTTGTTACAATATATATATATATATATTTTTTTTTTTTTTCTTTCTTTCTTGTGGATACCAACAAGATTGAGATCAATGTTACATCCATTATGACGACTTATTTTCTGGCTTGGCTCATCTTGACGTTTCTTTGTGCTTATGTTACAGCTCAATGCTGAAAAAAGTCCATTCCAAAGGGCATATGCCACTCAGGTTTGTTGATTTTATCATTTTTCTGTGCTTTCTAGTTTTGCAGTATTTCAAAGCATTTGTTCAACTTAAACATAGGATTTCACTATTCTGTTTTTCATTTGTTTATTCATTCTTCAAATCACTATGGAGTTTATGACAATGGTATATCCTAGTTTCCAAATTTTACTCATAGGCATTGTCTTGTGTGGTTCTGTGCTATTTGTTTGCCAATCATTAATTGTCTATACTGTGCACACAAGGAAATCAGTGATTAATTTAAGTACACTGTTTGTTTCATATTGTTGCTAAATTCTAACCATAGTTAGACATTGTGGACTTGCACCTTTGCTGATATGAATATACTTGAATCAAAGTGTATCTCAAGTTTCCTTATGTTACTAAAAGCTGCATGATTGATTGAGAACGGAATACTAGATAATGTAACATATCAATTATCATCTAAATAAAATTCTATTTTATTATTAAAAAATGCGAGTTTCTAATTTAATTTGCACATTTTGTTTGAATTTTATAACTCTACGTATGGACTAGAAACATGTTTTTGAAATTGGATACAGATCAAAAGATGTGGGGAGATGGCCCGTAAATTACGATTTTTCAAGGATCAAATGGCAAAGGCTGGTTTCCTGCCATCGCCGAGGTCTTCAGTTGGCATCAATACCAATTTGGATGATTTAGAGGTTTGTCCTAATCAGTAATTTCACTGCTTTAATGCCTTCATCCTTTGTAGATCTTGTAAGTGTTATTACATGTGCCTCTGCTAATTATGTGGCTTTCGACAATTGGATATGAATATGGATCAGGTAAAACTTGGGGAGTATGAATCTGAGATGTTAGAGATGAATTCCAATAGTGAAAAGTTGCAGGGTTCTTACAATGAGCTTTTGGAATATAAGCTTGTTCTGCAAAAGGTAATGGTGCCTGCTGTTCCAACACTAATGTCCTTGTTACAAATACAAAATCATTGATAAGCCAGTGGTCTTCCACTTAATGTTGAAGATGAACTCTTTATCTTGTAGACTGGTTGCCAATTTCCGTCTGTTTTCATTTTCTTTTCTTAAATCCAGGCAAGCCAAATCTTTCACTCGGCTGAGCGTGGTGCTGCTGCTCAGCGTAGAGAAGTTGAACAACAAATTCACGACAGATCAATTGACAGCCCTCTGTTGGTTGAGCAGGTGGTCATTATTTGCAGTTATGGCTTTACTCAGCCAAAAGGACCTGCTCTTTATTTTCCTATATTTTCTCTAACTAAATTATGGATGCCCTGTTTGCAGGAGATGTCAACTGATCCATCGAAGCAAATAAAGCTAGGTTTTGTTAGTGGATTAGTTCCAAGGGAGAAATCTTTGGCCTTTGAGAGAATTCTTTTTCGTACTACAAGGGGAAATGTATACCAAAAACAATTGGTTGTGGAAGAACCTGTTATTGATCCAGTTTCAGGAGATAAGGCAATACAGAAGTTCTTTCATTTCTTGTGTAGTTGTGCTTCTTTCTTATGCATGCATTACTTGCAGCTTGTCTCATCTTTAATTGTTATTAGGTCCTATATATTGAGTGTGTGTACTTGTTGCATCTTGTTACACCTTTATTTATGGACATCATAGTATCTAAGGCAGTGTTCAGTTTTCGTTTGCTCCATATCAATCCATTGAATTTCCAAGAAGGAAATATATTAAGAAAAAGGAAGCCAGCTTTTTGTTACTGCATAGTTTTATCTTGTAAGCATTTTACATATAACGGACAGTATGTACTGGTTTTTGTTTTCCTTGCAATTCTAGTGGACGTTATTTGTTTATTAACTTATTTTTGGTAATGTGTTTGATTTATGGTTGGGTTTGAATTGACAGAACTGTTGGATGATAACTTTCAGGTTGAGAAAAATGTGTTTGTGGTCTTTTATTCTGGAGAAAGGGCAAAGAACAAAATTCTGAAGATATGTGATGCATTTGGAGCAAATCGCTACCCCTTTACCGATGATATAGGCAAACAATATGAAATAATAACAGAGGTGCCGACTAAAATGAATTGGTTTATATTAAGCATTTGTTGTTTATTTGGTTGTAGCACCTAATGTGTACAACCCTTTTACCCAATTTTTGTTACATAACTGAACTATAGTTTTCTCAAGCTTTCTGAAATAAATAATTGTTGTTGTTTGTAGGTGTCTGGGAAACTTTCAGAGCTAAAGACTACTATAGATATTGGACAGCTGCAGAGAGTCAATCTCCTGCGGAGTATTGGTCATGAATTTGAGCAGTGGAACTTTATGGTCAGTGATTATAGTTTCTCAAGACTGGTTCAGAGTTACTTTTGCTAACCTTCCCTTCCGAGCATCCCCTTTTCCTTGTGCACATACTCACATTCACATAATTCATAGAACCCACACACAGAGGCTAGTGGGAGAAGCATTGATGCATACACAGATAATATAATGTGTTAAAATCACGTCATTGAATGCCAATCATTTGAAATTATGAAGGTGAAGAAAGAAAAATCTATCTACCATACTCTCAACATGCTCAGCCTTGATGTTACTAAAAAGTGCCTTGTTGGAGAAGGCTGGTGCCCTGTCTTCGCAAGAAACCAGGTACATCTATCACTCTGTAATTTCCCAGGCGGCAACACCCCTCGTTTTGCATCACTCCTTTTTTAGGTTGTTATTATTATTTTTGCAGATCCAGAATGTACTTAATCGAGCTACTGTGGATAGCAATTCACCTGTTGGAGCCATATTCCATGTTCTGGAGACCAAGGATCAACCTCCAACGTACTTTTGTACCAACAAATTTACTTCTGCTTTTCAAGAAATTGTTGATGCATATGGGTGAGTAGAAGTAACACATTTATCTTTTAATGGAGATACTGCAAATAATTTGATTTATGAATAATTCTGTGTTTCTGTTTAAGAAACTTGTCCCAGATCTATTTGGTCATCCATAATTCATGTTGGTAAAAGTTTATGGAAAAAAAAGAAATCCTAAGATGGGATGATATAATGCACTGAAGAAGGATGATGAGGCCTCAATGTTTTGAAGGACAAATATAGTTTATCCTTGGAAACCTTATAAAATGGATACAAATAGGACTGTTACATCTCTCTAAGTGATTGCTTGGGTAATATTGAACTTTTATAGAGGAACTATGTTATATTAAAGGAAGACGTCACGCCTGCTAGGTATTGTGCTATGATTTAGTAAACAGGTATGTGTGAATACTGTAAAGTGTTTGTTACATTCTTGTATCCGAGTATGGTGAGTTGTCTTGGCTATAAATTAGGTTTACTTGTAGTTTCCTCAAAACTTTTTATACATGTTTATTTCAATTGTATATTTACATGAGGATTGATTAAGCATGCTGAAAAACTCAGATCAGAGTACTTAAATTATATTAATCCACTCAAAATATTGCTTCCGTTGCCTCCTGAATTCACTATTACTTCATTTCACCTATCTTTTGATTGATTTTCGAGATGATAATATAGATTCCTGATTTTTAACAGGGTGGCCAACTATAGGGAAGCAAATCCTGGTGTTTATACTATCGTCACTTTTCCATTCCTATTTGCAGTAATGTTTGGGGATTGGGGCCATGGAATATGCCTCTTTCTTGCCACATTATATTTCATTCTTTGGGAGAAGAAACTGTCCAGACAGGTAACAATTACTTTGATTATCTGATAAAATTCAGCTTGGAAGTTTGCTACTGTTTTTATATTTTTCTCGAGCATATGACTTACTATAGAATTTTACATTGCCGTGGACATGGATTCATCTGGCTGATGCATGCTGACGCGTGTCGTATTACATGCTATGTTTTTCTTGTTCTCTTTACTTTGAAATGTCACATTTCTAGTTAATGCTATTTATGCAGCGTGTTTGTTTTGGATGAACTTGTGGGACATAACTAAATTCACTGCATTTTGACAATGACAGAAACTTGGGGATATTATGGAGATGGCATTTGGGGGTCGATATGTTATAATGCTTATGGCAGTGTTCTCTATATACACCGGACTCATATATAATGAATTCTTTTCCGTGCCTTTTGAACTATTTGGACGCTCTGCGTATGATTGCCGTGATCCATCCTGCAGGTAAGAAACTAACATTTGAATTTTAATTCCAATTTTAATTCTTGCCATCAGATTCTTAAAATTTTATTTTTGTTGCATTATTATAGCGACGCTTACACAGTGGGACTAACAAAAGCACGCGACACGTATCCATTCGGCGTGGATCCTAAATGGCGAGGCACTCGCAGTGAATTGCCATTCCTTAACTCTCTAAAAATGAAGATGTCGATTCTCTTAGGCGTCGCCCAGATGAATTTAGGGATCATCCTGAGCTACTTCAACGCTAAATTCTTCCACAATGACTTGGATATCTGGTAAGATTATCATTATCTTAATCAAGAATGTCCTTCTGGTAGTCGATCCGGTTTGGGTATATTTGGCATGAGAAGATTCGGCAGTCAAGTATGATTATAATTGTAGATTGCGCGTTCTTGCAGGCATCAATTTGTTCCGCAGATGATATTTCTAAACAGTTTGTTCGGATACCTTTCGCTGCTCATTATTATCAAGTGGTGCACTGGTTCTCAAGCTGATTTGTACCATGTAATGATATACATGTTCTTGAGCCCGACCGAAGACCTCGGAGATAATCAGCTTTTTCCAGGCCAGAAGTTCCTCCAGGTATTCTAAACTCTCGTCGTGTATACCAAAATTTGATGTCTTGTCCTTACAAGTCCGCAATTTTTCTAACAATTCCACCCCCTTTCCTCGTAGATTCTCTTACTTCTGATGGCGCTTGTCGCTGTTCCGTGGATGCTGCTCCCGAAGCCGTTACTTCTGAAGAAGCAACACGAACAAGTACATTTCGTTTCATGCCGTGTTCTTGTAGCTGCCATTTTATTTCTATTTTTTTCCATATTTACGTTGTGTTCTTTGTTCAGAGACATCGCGGCCAATCCTACGCACTCCTCACAAGCACCGATTACGACACTTCTGAATTAGAAGTGTCGAAGGGCTCGCATGGACATGAAGATTTCGAATTCAGCGAAGTTCTCGTTCATCAGCTTATACACACTATTGAGTTTGTTCTCGGAGCCGTCTCCAATACAGCTTCGTACCTACGTCTCTGGGCTCTCAGGTACCCGATCTGATAAAAATATTTCATCTGTCGTCCAAATTTATTCTCACTTTTTCTTTTTCGTTGTCATCTAAATTTATTTTCATTTGCTTTTTTTAGTAAAAAATACTCCCTCTGTCGTCCAAATCTATTCTCACATTCTTTTTTAATTGTCATTTAAATTTATTATCGTTTCTTTTTTAGTAACAAAATATCATTTTTTCTATTTTTTCTTTACCCAACAAAAAAAAGTAAAATTTCTATTTTTTTTGAAAACTAGTAGTTGGTCAAATGAGCAGACAATTGGATGATGAAGGGAGTATCATTTCTTCTAAAATTTGTGTCCGGTCAAATGAGCACAATGGGATGACAAAGAGAGTATTACTAACATGATCATTATCGTGCTCATTCATGATTTTCGTGGCTTCATGCAGTCTCGCGCATTCGGAGCTATCAACTGTGTTCTACGAGAAGGTCCTACTTCTCGCCTGGGGGTAACGATCTCTTCTACTCATTTCCTTCACCCACATTTTCTTGATTGGAACAAAATTTGTCATTTGCTCAATTCTGTGGCGACGTTCCAGGTTCAACAATCTCGCAATTCTTATTGTCGGAATAATTGTGTTCATTTGCGCCACCGTTGGCGTCCTACTGGTTATGGAGACACTTAGCGCCTTCTTGCACGCCTTGCGGCTTCATTGGGTCGAGTTTCAGGGCAAGTTCTACGTTGGCGAGGGCTATAAATTCTGCCCTTTCTCCTTCACCTCGATTGGGGACGACGACGAATGATCGATCGGGTAGGACACCGAGGTGGACCGTATGTATGTATGTATACCTCAACAAGGGTCTTTTGGAATTTATATAGCTGCTGGAGCAAAGGGGCTAAAGTAGACTTGTTAGTTTCGGAGGAGTTAGAATCACATATATATATATATATATTTACATACACAGGTTATTCATTACCAATTGTATTGTAAGTATGCCTCAACTTTGTATGACACCTTTAAAAATAACATATTGATTCATTGATTTATGGTATTCTACTTGGACAGAAAATTATGAATAATAATAATTATGGAGTATTATGTACGTACATGATATAGCCTATATATATTATATATACTAAATAAAAACATCTCTAAAGAATAATTTTGTAACATGAAATCTTGAAATAGTGGCAATGTTGATTTTTCAAAACCAAGACTATATTCGAAGAGGTCAAATAGTTGCAGTTACCGTGCTGATTTAGACGTAATAATTTAGAAAAATCAGCACCGTATTTATTCTCTTATAACATCATTCAAGAAAATACGGTTCAATTGTTCTGATAGCATCATATATATTTATATAAAGCACTAGAATATATACTCTATAGAGCACTAGCACCAGTATAAAAACAAACACATAGCTCTTATAGTTCAATAAATGCAAATAATCTAAAAAATGTCATAAAACATTAAAGAAAATCATATATAATAGCTAGATTAGCACAAATTGTAATATCCTAAAATGAAGAAACCATAACAAAAATAATAGAACAAAAGCAAAGATGAAGAGTAGGTTCATTCCCGAGATAAAATTTCACACCAGCTGTTTATCTATGATAAATTTAGCTTTAGAAGATGACTGCCAATGGAACATCTTCAACTCTTCGATCGCCATGTCTAATTCTTCAGACACACGATAAGAAACTAGTTCCAATTGTTCAAGTTCAGTCCCCCATAGTAAAAGAAGCTTCAAAAATTCTACTTCAGGTTCAACACCCGAAAACCATTCAATACTCACAGTCTTGAGGTTGTTGTAAGGAATATTTTGCTTTTGTTCGCCTTTCAGATATTCGACAGTTTTGTACGTCTGTACCGCTCTCATTATATCACTAACCTGACCCCACCACACGGAATTCCAAGCTTCAAACTGAAATATGTATATATATGACAAGTGTGAGAATGGAACTATGAAAGAATCCAACCCAAAAAGGGAAAAAACCAAACACCTCATGACAGGAATACTTACTGTAATATGAAGGATGCACAAGACAGGGGAGCTTCTAATCAAGCAAACAGCACAACTGACATTGTCCAAGATTCCAAAATTGATATTTCTTAGTTCAATCTTCATCAAACTGTTGAGCTTGCAAGGAAGTTCTTGTGGCACGCCACCGAGAGCCAAGAACTTCAATTAAAATAAATAAGGTGAACTCCATATTATTTTGCACCTTACAAAAATTAAGACAATGAATAAATACAAAGCAATTAAAATATTTACTAATTGTACCTGCAAAAAGGAAATACCAACTTCCAATTTTACAAGAGATGGAAGCTGACCAAAAAACTCAATTATGTTACTCCCAGAAGATCTAAAAGTTCCATTATCAGTTCCTTCACTTAATAAACCATAATACGGATACTCGACTGAAACTTCTTTAACAGATCCTGACTTTTTCAAAGAAATTGAACTGAACAAGCCCTCTAAATCCAAGCTCCGGAGATTTGGAACATCAATGTTGAGGGACCAAAATGTGTTTTGGTCATTGCATTTATCAACAATCAATAAGTCAAGCATTGGGCATTTTAACACAAGCAGCTGCAACTCTTTAGGATCAATGCGAAGTTCTTCAAGAGAAAGACTATCAAGCCTACCAAAACCCCTGAATGTAGGGGGGAGTTTGATGTCGGTTTGGTTAAGATACAACGTTTTAAGATTGGGAGCATCTATATCAAGGCACCAAACTGTAGTTGGAGCAAAACACGAGCTAATAGACAACCACTCAAACATTGGACATTTTGAAATAACACTTCGCAACTCCTCGGGAGTAATTCGGACATTCTCAAGATCAAGTCGGATAAGCCGACTAAAACCTTCAAAAGTTGGTGTGAAATCAACATGATCAAGAGTTAAGTGTTTGAGATTAGTAGCATTAATATCAAGATGGCAAGATGGAGTTTGGTCAAAACAGAGTTGAACAGACACCAACTCAAGCAATGGGCATTCAGATACAAACCTTTGCAACTCTTGAGGAGCAATTTGGACTGTCCAAAGCCAAAGTTCGGCAAGCAAACTGAAACCATTGAAAGTACGAGGTAGTTTGACATCAATTTGTGCAAGGCTCAAGTATTTCATTCTAGGAGCATCAACATCATGGCACCAAAATGTTGTGATGCCTGTCAACTCACTAAGAGACAAGGACTCAAGCTTTGGGCATTTAGACATAAACATGCGCAGATTTTCAGAGGTGATCCGGACATTCCTAAGACTAAGTTTGACAAGCCCACTAAAACCTTGGAAAGTAGAAGGCAAATTGATGTCAGCAGAAGTAAGCAGCAGGTCCCTAAGGAGATGAAAACTAAAAAGATCATTAGGAATGGCATATAGAGTGGGTTTGTTTAAAGCATCGAGTGATAGTGATAACTCCTCAACACATTTGCTTTTCAAGATCAGGAGCCATCGATCCACAACCATATGGCCACGGTCAAGACCATGTGTAAGTGAAAACTTGACTATGGATCCTTTGTGAAATAGCAATATGTGAGAAATGACACATTCACGGGGGCATTCTGAAGGCAGCGATTGGTCGAAGCTCCAATCGAAATTTAGATGCGGAACTGTTACCCACTTATACCTCCATTCTCTAGATAGTACGCTAGTTCTCACCACATTTGGCAAAGGCAAGTATTTAAGAATGTTGTCAATGACGTTGTCAGGAAGTCCGCTGATTCTGTCGAAATCCATTTGTCAGAGAATGATTCTTCACCTGATTCAGTGGAGAATAAATGATTAATAATTAAAAATAGCAGATCGAAAAATGGCAGTTAATAGAACAATCCATATGTTGTCTCCAATTCCAAAAGCCTAATTTAAAACAGATCAAAAACTCAACGAGGACCAAAAAAAGGAAGAGAAACCACAGAAACCCTCAGATCCATAATCTTTTTAAACATTACACTGCGATTAGAAAGGAGGAGGGAAATTTCAACAAAATCAAAGCCGTAAAATTTACCCGGAGTGTGCGTGAATGTCGCGATAGCAAAATATCATAGAAACCTTACACCAAGTCAAAATATTTGTATGAAATCGTAGCTTGTAAGAGTAAGCAAGCAACAGCAACTCCGGAGATCCGCTCAGGGCTAACGAAACAAATCCCCCGACGACGACGCTCAATTCATCTTCTAGGATTTTAGTGATATACCAAAATAGAGAAGAACGGACTCCGGCGTCATCTTCAAGGGTTTAGGTGATATGCCAAAATGGAAAAGAACGGACTCCGGCGGCAGTTCAGTTTATATGTTTGGTTTAAGCGGCAAAAACTTTCGTTTGCCCGACTTTTTTATTGGGCTTTTTTAGTCAGAGTGTGCAATTAAAATTTTAGTTTTCAAAATTCTTAAAAGTTTAAATTTAGAAGTTTTTAAAATTTTTAAATTATTAAATATAGTAATTTTAAAAATTATTATATATATTTTTATTAAAAATAAAAATAAATATCATTCAGAGTCCTAAATCTTTATACGGTTTTTTCTGCGATTCTCTATCACTGCTCTTCTATGGTAATTAATTTTCAAAATTTTATTCCCTTCGTTCTATTTTGTTTGATTGTTAGTTTGAAAAATACACTGATGAGTTTGGTTGGCGGAGATATTAACGTAGAAATTAATAAAATTATTGTTCTAATTTTTTTGTTTTGTTCGTTTTCATATAAATTCGAGTCTCACTTCTCTTTTTTTTTTTTTAAATCAGCACTTATTGTTGGAAAAATTTGAAAATTGCTTTTTGTCTGCTAGCATCTCCAGGTATTATCTTTTTTTTTTTTTTTTTTTTTTACTATTTCTTATTGTATAATCATGTAATTTTCAGAATTTTTATTTATCATATTTAAATTTTTTATGGTATATATATTTTTTTCTAATTTTTGTAATGTTGCATATTCTATTGTCATATTTATGTTTATACCATTTTGCTAATAGTAGTACTTTGAGTTAATATAATTTTTATTGTTTAAAAAGTTGTAGGAGTTTATATTTGTGTCCAAGGACTTTATTTGTTTTAACATAATAGGGTGTGGATTTCAATATAAGCATTATTTCTATTTATATATATACTAAATTAAAACCATATATATTTTTAACATATATGTTTAATTTGGAATGTCGACAGTGTTTTGTGATGTTTTCATATCGGGAGGGATTGTCTACTTCATCTTCAATCTACACACCGTTCTAAACATATTTGGAATGGTGAATTAACCGATCATAAGTTTAGTCTTGTTTGTCCGAAAATATATTGGACTGGTATATTTAAATTATGTCATCCTACGGTCCTTGAGATATTAAATCGAATTGAATTTTATGGAGTATATAGAGTTTGACATATTAGACATGATTCTGGTCTTTTGACAGCATTGGTTGAGCGATGACGTCCTGGAACACATACATTTCATTTCACATTCGGTGAGACAACAATTATATTAGAAGATGTTGCTATGATATATCAGTTATCCATTGATGGTAAACTTGTTGTCAGTAATGCCACGTCTTGATAGACCATAGAGCATTTTTCAAAGATTTGTATGTATTTGTTGCAATTGTCTCTTACCTCAGAATATTTCAAGCATGGACTACGGATTTTGCACTCTACTTTAGAAGATCATTTGAAGAGTGCTGAGTTTCAAATCGATAATGATAGTCCCGAAGAAAAAGTAGAGTGTTGGGCACGTGGATTTATGCTATTGATGATTATAGGTAGTATACTTTGGAATTCATATAGTAGTAGGGTCCGGTTGATTTATTTGTCATATCTGCATAAACTTGACATGAAATTGATTCTGATTCACTAGATTTATCTTCTCCAATCTTCTTGACAATCTGCATCTAATATGCGTATACCATCATTTGTTTGTTCAAGCCTTGTGTTGGGATTCACATATGCTGTCTTTACAACCACTTGTTTCATTCAGTTGAAATTCAGCAAACAACTCCAAATATTGATAACTATTTTCTGGATTTAAAATATGCTGCAGATTGAAGCCATTCATAGTAATAAGCATCATTATATGATTATCTTGTCTATTCGTCGAACTACATGGCATTTTCAAAATCATAGAATATTCCATTCGACTTTTTCCAATCAAATTGTAAATCAAATTTTCTAAATCTTCAAATACACTATCTCGCCGAACAACTGTCATACACTGTGGATCACAATCATATTCTATCGTATCCGACTTTCATATAATGTTATCATCCCAATATAACATAATATCAATATTGCTCTAGTCACTGCTCGTCATCTGTTTATGTAAAAAATATATATTAAATAAATACTAATAAGAATAAAATTAATATATTATAAAAATAAGTCATATATAAAAAATATTAAGATAAGAAATAAACATAAATACATTATGCATTTAAATAATATATCAATATAAACCTTACAAATAATACCAAAAAACACCTAAGATGTCATAAAATTACAAACAAAAACACAATCACTAAACAACTAAGTTATTAAAAATAATGCCAAAATAAATATCATATAAAAATAAATTTGTAATAAAACAATAAATACAATGCAAAATCTGAATATTGCCTGCCAACAATATAAAAACAAAATATTATATGAAAACTATAAAATAATTTAGTCAAACAAATAATACCTGAAAATAGACCTCTTGAGCAAAAGTTTTACTTCAGAACGAACTTAGCATACAGAAAGTTTGAAATGCAACAAAATCGTGGGAGAAAATTAAGATTAAAAGTATAGAAGTTCTCAAAACTTCTATAATAAAAAATATATGAGTTTTTATAACTACGTTTCATAAAAAATAAATAAATAAATAAATTAAAAATTAAAAATCCTGCATTACCAATTATAATAGTTTTGAGAACTCATAATTTCCCTATACTAATTGCTTAAGCAGGGACAATATGAGGTAGTTGATGGAGAAAATAAAAGTTTTGAAAACTATTATTTTTAATGTTTTAGGTGTTTTCAAAACGCCTATCATTTTAGAGTAAAAAGTTTTGAAAATTTTTATAGCTTATAAATATAATAGTTTTTGAAACCTCGTTGGGTTAGAATTTTAAATGTCATTTTTACTTAGGCCTTTTTAAAGCCCCCTTTTTATTACCTATTTTATTTACATATATCATAAAATATTGAATTTAAAATACACCTATGTAAATGGGTAATATCATTTTTCATGGAGATAGATAGAAATGTCTACAGTGGGTTTCTTTATTCAAAATTTTCAGTGTTGTTTTTTTTACAAAAACAAATATATATATATTTTTCACAAAATATTTTATTAAACACTATTTAAATATAAAATTATAACTAAAAAATTCAAAAATTACTGTTTAAACTTTATATATTTTTAAAAATATATACTTCTCCTATAATTTAAATTTATATTTATTTTTTTTATTATCATACAAAAGTATTATGGTTTTCTTTTTTTAGTAAAACTTATTATTTATTCTACCTTCCATAATTAAAAAAAAAATACAAATTATTTTTACGTAATTTTCTTAAAATGCATACCCTGCCAGATAAACATAATCTTAAACGATGATAAAAGGATATTTTTTTTCTCACATAAAATATCAGATCAAATATTACTTAAATATAAAAATTAAATCAATATTTCTAAAACCATGACCAAATAAACACACCTTTTAAGTAAAACCAATACAAGAAAACATGAGAGGAAAAAAATGAAGTGACGTAGCATGCAATTTAAATTGGTAGATTAATCATATTTTGCACAAAAATAATACTCACTCCGTCCCACGTACCGTGCAGTAGATACAGTATTTTAAGAGGGATATAATTAGTAGATAATTAAAAATATATTAGTGAAAATAATTATCTTATAACATAAATAATTATAAATTAAGATTAAGACAACTAATTAGTTTAATTAAAATTAAAAAAAATAAAATTTAAAAATTTAAAATAAGATTAAAATGTGTAATCATTTTTCAAAAAAAAAATGACAAGGTACAGAAGCGGCAACGTGAAGATAATATCTAGGACGGATGGAGTAATAATATTAAGAAAAAGAATGCATTAAACTCAAACGAGTTCAGAAAGATATGTGCATCAAAAGATGTGTTCAATTCTCCCAAAATAAAACATTCGAAAGGGAATATCAGATCTGCACCTGGAAGGTTCTGTTATCAGAATTGCTAATTAAAAAAAAGAAAGAAAAAAACCGAGTCCATCAAGAATTCAACAAAAATGAATACGATACAAAAAATTAGTTACTTGTGCCTCAAAGATAGGCTTGTTTAATTTATAAGTACACACAAGAACACAAGAGAAAATCTTAAATTGAACCATAATTCCATGCTTCACTATACCTACCACTTTTTCTTAAGAAATTAGAATATGTGGGTTCACGGAAAAATCACTTACCTCAAATTGTTCCACTTATGTATGCTTCGCTAGTATATTTATCCAATACATAACCTAAAGTTGAATGGACGCAAATAATCTCCAAAACATCAAGGTACAAGAAATAAAATCATATATAACTAACTACATTTGCACCTAAAGCTCAATGGATGCAAATAATCTGCAAAATATCAAGATACAGGAACAAAATCATATATAACTACTAAATTAGCACTCGCAAAAATTGGGATATCCTAGGATGAAGAAGCCATAACAAAAATAATAAGACAAATGCAAAGATGAAAAGTAGGTTCGCGCCCAAAGTAAAATTTCACACTTGCTGTCTATCTATGATAAATTTAGCTTTCGAAGATGACTCCCGATAGAACCTCTTCAACTCTTCTATCGCAATGTCTAATCCTTTAGCCACAGCCATAGAATAAGAAACTAATTCCAATTGTTTAAGTTCAGTCCCCCACAGTAGAAGAAGCTTCACAAATTCTACTTCAGGTCCAACACCCCTAAACAATTCAATACTCACAATCTCGAGGTTTTTGCAAGACATACTTTGCTTCTGTTCGCCTTTCAGATATTCGACAGCTTTATTCATCTGTTCAGCTCTCACTGAATCACTAACCTGATTCCACCTCAAGGCCTTCCAATTTTCCAACTGAAATACATACATATATATATTATATATGAAAAGTGTGAGAATGGAACTACAAAAGAATCCAACCGAAAAAGGGAAAGAACCAAACACCTCCATGACAGGGATACTTACTGTAATGTCAAGGTTGCACAAGATAGGGGAGCTTCTAATCAAGCAAACAACACAAGCGACATTGTCCAAGATGCCAAAACTAATATTTCTTAGTTCAATCGTCGTCAAATTGTTGAGCTTGCAAGGAAGTTCTTGCGGCACGCCACCGATAGCCAGGAACTTCAATTAAAATAAATAAGGTGAACTCCATATTATTTTGTACCTTAAAAAAAATTAACACAATGAATAAATAGAAAGCAATTAAAATATTTACTAATTGTACCTGCAGAAAAGAGATACCAGCTTCCAATTTTACAAGAGATGGAAGTCGACCAAAAAACTTAATCATGTTACTCCCATCTCCAATTGTCCCGGAAGATTTAATATTTCCATATTCAGCTCCTTCACTTAATAAATCATAATACGGATAGTTGACAGAAACTTCTTTCACATATCCTGTGTTCTTCAAACGAATTGAACTGAACAAGCCACATAATTTCAGCATCCAGAGATTAGGAGCATCAATGTTGAGAGACCAAAACGTGTCTTGGTCATTGCACTTATCAACTATCAATAATTCAAGCATTCGACATTTTGATATAAACAGCTGCAACTCTTTAGGATCAATGCAGAGGTCTTCGAGCCATAGCTTTTCAAGCCTACTAAAACCGCTGAACGTAGGGGGAAGTTTGATGTTGGTAGAGGTAAGAAACAAGCTTCTAAGATTGGGAGCATCAATATCAAGGCACCAAAATGTGGTTGGTGCAAAACACGAGTTAATAGACAAGCACTCAAACATTGGACATTTCGAAATAACACTTCCTAACTCCTCAGGAGTGATCCGGACATTCTCAAGATCAAGTCTGATAAGCAGACTAAAACCATCAAAATGAGGTGTGAAATCAACATGATCAAGATGTAACTGTTTGAGATTAGTAGCATTAATATTGAGATGGCAAGATTGAGTTTCATCGAAACACCCATCAACAAACACCAACTCAAGCAATGGGCATTCAGATACAAACCTTTGCAAATCTTGAGGGGCAATGCTGACTCTCAAAAGAAAAAGTTGGGCAAGCAAACTGAAACCATTGAACGTAAGAGGTAGTTTGACATCTATTCGTCCAAGGCTCAAGCATTTGATTCTAGGAGCATCAACATCGGAGCACCAAAAGGTTGTGATGCCTTTCAACCCATGAAGATACAAGTGCTCAAGCTCCGGACATTTAGAAATAAACATGCACAAATTTTCATAGGTGATCTGGACATCCCAAAGACTAAGCTCGACAAGCATTCTAAAACCTTGGAAAGTAGGAGGCAAATTGATGTCAGCCGAAGTAAGTAGCAGCTTCCTGAGGAGATGAAAACTAAATAGATCGTTAGGTATGGCATATAGAGTGGGTATGGTGAAAGAATTGTGTGATAGTGATAACTCCTGAACACATTTGCTTTTCAAGATCTTGAGCCATTGATCCACAACCACATGGCCACGGTCAAGACGATGTGTAAGCGAAAACTTGGTTAGGGGTCCTTTGTGCAATAACAATATGCGGGAGATTACAGATTCACGGGGGAATTCGGAAGGCAGCGCTTGTCTGAAGTCCCAATCGAAATCTAGATTAGGAACTGTTAACCACTTATACCTCCATTCTCTGGATAGTACGCTAGTTCTCACCACATCTGGCAAAGGCAAGTATTTAAGAATGTTGTCGATGACGTCCTCTGGAAGTCCGCTGATTTTGTCGAGATCCATTTACCAGAGAATGGTTCTTCACTTGCTTCAGTGATCACTATCAACAATGGGGATCAGTTATTACAAAATAAAGGGCAGATCGAAAATGGCAGCTAACAAGCACAATCCATATGTTTTCCCCAATTCCAAAAGCCGATTTTGTTATTTCACTGCCTCCATCAATGCCAATTTTTATTTTTTATTTTTACAAACAACAGAAAACCCCGATATCCATAACCATAATCTTTTAAAAGTTACACTACAATTAGAAAGGAGGGGATAAAATTCAACAAGATGAAAGCCCTGAAATCCACAGAGACTGCGTGAATGTCGAGATAGCAAAATAGCATAGAAACCTTACCCCCAAGTCAAAATATTTGTATCAAATCGTAGCTTGTGCGAGTTAACAAGCAACAGCAACTCCGGAGATCCGAGCGGGGGCTACCGAAACAAATCCGCCGACGACGCCGCTCGATTTATCTTCTAGGGTTTTAGTGATGCACCAAAATGGCGAAGAACGGACTCCGGTGGCAGTCCAATTTATATGTTTGGTTTAAGCGGCCAAAACTGACGTTGGGCCGTCTTCTATTATTACTTGTTTTTATCTAGGGTATATTCAAGAAAGCAATCTTCATCTACGTTAATAATTTTTAAAAGTCTTGACACTTTCAAAATTTATTAAATAAATATTTTTAAAATTTTAAAATTAAAAAATTAAAAAATATCTAATATGATTATATGATTAGTTTTTTTTTTTTTTTTTTTAAAAAAAAGGTAATGCAATTTAAATTTGTATATTAATCATATTTTGCACAAAATAATAATAATAAGAAGAAGAATGCAATTAACTCAAAGAGTTTTGTTATTAAAAGAAATTTAAAAGGAAATAGCTCGCTGAATTGTGGGTGAATTAATATCGTGCGAAAAATAAGTTACTTGCGCCTCAAAGATAGACTTATTTAATTTAAAAATATACACAAGAACACAAAAAAAAATCATAACTTGAACCATAATTCCATGCTTCACTACAACACTTTCATATCGACTTCATTTTCTTAAGAAATTAGAATATGTCATCTCATAATCTCTTGTATTCCTGGTTTTCTTTTACAACTTATGGGTCCTTAGAAAAATTACTTACCTCAAATTATTCCACTTATGTATGTTTCGCTAGTATCTCTATCCAATGCATCACCTAAAGTTGAGTGAACGCAAATAATCTCCAAAATATCAAAGAAACAAGAAATAGAATCATATATAACTACCTGCATTAGCACCTAAAGCTCAATGGATGCAAATAATTTGCAAAATGTCGAGATATATGAACAAAATCATATATAACTACTACATTAGCACAAATCGTGACATCCTAGAATGAAGAAGCCATAACAAAAATAATAAGACAAATGCAAAGACCAAAAGTAAAATTTCACACTAGCCGTTTATCTATGGTATAATTTAGCTTTGGAAAATGATCCCCAATAGAAACTCTTCAACTCTTCTCTCGCCATATCTAATTCTTCAGCCTCGGCCTCAGGACAAGAAACCAATTCCAATTGTTTAAGTTCAGTTCCCCACAATAGAAAAATCTTCACAAATTCTACTTCGGGCTCAACAGCCCCAAACATTTCAATCTTCACAATCTTGAGGTTGTTGTAAGGAATATTTTATTTCTGTTCACCTTTCACATATTGGACAGCTTTATACATTTTTTCACCTCTTGTCAAATCATTAATATGACTCAAGATCCTAGACTTCCAATAATCCCACTAATATATATATATATATATATATGACAAGGGTGAGAATGGAACTTCGAAAGAATTCAAAACGAAAAAAGGAAAAATCAACACACTGAAAAGTAAAGGCTGTGCAAGATAGGGGAGCTTTTAATCAAGCAAACAACACAAGCAACGTTGTCCAAGATCAAATCCATATTTCCAAATTCAATCATTGTCAAATTGTTGAGCTTGCAAGGAAGTTCTTGCGGCTCGCCACCCAAAGCCAAGAACTTCAATAAACGACATAAAGTGAACTTTATATTATTTTGCACCTTAAGAACTGAACACAATGAATTTATAGAAAAACAATTGAAGTAATTTACCAATTGTACCTGCATAAAGAAGTAACCAGCTTTCAGATTCACAAGAGATGGAAGCTGACCGAAAAACTCAATTATGGAAGCTGACCGAAAAAATTTAATATTACCAATATTTATTATATATCAAGTTTAATATTTTTAACATCAAATTACTAAAATAAAAGAATATACATAATATTAGATGTATTGCAGGTAAACTTATATGAACAATCTAATTTGAGCATTATATTGTAAATATTAAAAGAAATTATATATTAGACCTATCCACAATGTAATTATACAGGGATGTCAATGGATCTAGATAGACTCGAAATTCGACCCAGACGTCTAATTATTCGAGTATTGGATCCGGATCGGGTGTTGTGTACCCTTATCGGTCCGGGTCAGGTATTAGGTTTAAAGGTGCACTCTATCTGAATCTGGATCCGACCCGGACCTAGTTAATATATTAATTATATATACAAAAAATTTATTTTAGTAATATAAATTATATTAAAAATATATTTATAGTTTAATTTATTTATTGTTTATTATTTTATTATAATATTTTCTGAATAAAATATATAATTTTAATATATGTCGAGTCTGTCCAATTTTAAATTAATTTATAAGAATTGTAAAAAAAATAAAAATTGGGTCTGTCGGATCAATCAGGTCTTGTCGGATATTATTCGGGTTGGATCCAAATATAATCGGATCCAACCATGTGTATTCGGGTCGGGTCTCAAGTCCGATTGGACTTGATTCATACCCGACCCATTGTCATCTCTATAATTATATGGAGAAATCAACCGTGTCTACGAAAAATAAGAGTGCTTATTTTGTAAAATAATTTGAAATTATATATATTTTTAATTTGAAATATAAAGAATTCGGTAAATAATATAAAAATAATAAATATATATAATATATTACTCCCTCCATCAAATTTAATTTGTCCACTATTTCTATTTTCGTATGTCTATATAATTTGTTATACACTTTACTCAAATTTTAAAATTCATAATTTATAATTTTTTTAATTTTAATTAAACTATTTACTCATCTTAATCTTAATTTAAAATTATTTTTATTAAATATAATTATTTTTATTAATATACTTTTTAATTACTCACTAATTACACAATACCTAAAACTCCGTACTTAATCTAAATGAGACAAATTAGTCGGGACAAAGAGAGTATTAATTTTGAAAAAATATGTATATTAAAAAAAAAGTCACATTATTCAATATTTTGTAGACAAATAAATATATGTTTAATTGAATAATTGCAAAAATAAAACATTATTATTTTCTTTTTATCTTATATTTATATCGTCCAAAAAATATATAGTATACATTCTAAAAAATCATGTTTTACATACCTGATCCATGCGTAATCTTTACATCTAAACAAATTCTGCTTGTTTTGGTCCTATTCAATATATCAAGGCTATGTATCATTCTATGAGTACAAAAAATGTGATTTTTTGGAATATGTAATATATAATTTGTAATTGAAATAAATGAACATAATCTTATAATTTTGTAATTTTGTAATAAACAAACACAATTATATTATTTTATAAATTTGATGATAAATTAATTAAATCTATTTTATATTTTTTAATTATAAGTATCTTCTATAATTATAAAAAAAATATAATCATATTTTTTTACAAACAAAAATATTTAGTAAAAAAATAGAAGATAAATGAGAGGGGAAAAAAATTAATGTGAGGTAGCAACAAGATGCAAATTTTAGACTCCCATTTAGATATATTTTTGGAACTTTAGAAATTTTTTAGAAAGAGTAAAAATCTGAAAATATTTTATAAATATATATATATTTGACATAATATATTTTATTTATTTATTTTAAAAAAAACATTAATATAGAAATAATGACACGAAAGAAATACTAATATATAGATTAAAGAAGAAATTTATAGGCTGGAGTACTTGAGTTCCTCTTCCGTAGCAGCAAGAGACACCTTGTCTCCTGCAGAATAACATGAAAAATTATCATAGTTAAATCGAAAAATTCGAAAACAGATTATAAAACAACAAGGCGATATTTGAACATGACAAAACAAACATTTAATCAAGTATTCAAGATCCAATGGATGATCATCACTTGGTCTAATAGTGAACAACTTAATGGATAGATGCAATTTAAATTTGTCAATTAATCATATATGTTTTGCAAATGATAACAATAAAGGTATACTTTAAACTCTACAAGTGCAGAATATATATATATGTGCAACAGAAAAGAGTTCGATCATCCAAAAGTTTCCAAAGAAAATATTAGACATGTACCTAGAAAATTCTGTCAAGAAGAACTGCATCTACCAAGTATTCAACAAACAAATAAATCCGACAGCGAACAATTGCTTAATCTAAACACCCAACCAATTTAGCACAGCTTCAAATACTTATGATCCAAGAAAGAAAATCAAATTGAAAGACCAGTTACTTGTGCCTCAAGGACAAACTTGTTTAATTTATAAATACAAGAGAAGATTTTTACTTGAACTATAATTGTATGCCTCATTGTAACTTTCATATCGACTCGAATATCTCATCTCATAGTCTCTTGTATTCCTGCTCATGATTTGCTTTTACAACTTTATGGGTTCTCGAAAAAATTACTTAGTTCGAATTATTCCACTATGTATGCTTCACTAGTACCTTTATCCAATGCATCACCTAAAGATTAATAGATACAAATAATCTACAAAATGTCGAGAAACAGGAATTAAAATCATATATAACTACATTAGCCCCTATGCCACCTAAAGTTCAATGGATGCAAATAATCTGAAAAAAAAAGCTAAGAAACATGAAACAAAATCATATGCAACTACTACATTAGTAGAAATCGTAATATCCCAAGACGAAAAAGCAGTAAAAAAATAACAAAAGAAAATCAAAGATAGAGTGTAGGTTCATGCCCAAGATAAAATTTCAAACCATCGGTTTATCTATGATAAATTTCGGTTTGGAAGATGACTCCCAATAGAACCTCTTCAACTCTTTTATCGCCATGTTTGGTACTTGAGTCTCAGCATCAGTATAAGAAAATAGCACCAATCGTTCAAGTTCAGTTCCCCAGGATAGAAGAAGCTTCACAAATTCTACTTCAGGTTCAGTACCCGTAAACCCTTCAATTTTCACAATTTTGAGGTTATTGCAAGGAGTATTTTGCTTCTGCTCACCTTTCAGATATTCCACAACTTTACACATCTGCTCAGCTCTCACTGAATCACTAAACGACCTCTCGGACTTCCAATCAAACTGAAATATATATAAAGACACACACACACACATATATATATATAGATATAACAAGTGTGTTAATGAAACTATGAAAAAATAAAAACCCGAAAATGAAAAAAACCAAACTCGCCATGACGGGGATACTTACTATAATCTCAAGGCTGCGCAAGATAGGGGAGCTTCTAATCAGGCAAACAACACAAGTGACATTGTCCAAGATTGCCAAATCAATATATCTAAGTTCAATCATCGTCAAATTGTTGAGCTTGCAAGGAAGTTCTTGCGGCGGGCCACCCAAAGCCAAGAACTTCAATGAAAAGACATAAGGTGAACTCCGTATTATTTTGCACCTTAAAAACTGAACACAATGAATCAATATAAAATAATTAATGTATTTACTAATTGTACCTGCAAAAAGGAGATACCAAATTCCAGTTTTACAAGAGATGGAAGCTGATCAAAAACCTTGATCATGTTACTCCCATCTACAATCATCCCAGGCGATCTAAAATTTCCATAACCACCTCTGTCATTGTCAACAATAAATTTTTCAACATATCCTGTATTTTTCAAACAAACTGATCTGAACAAGCCCCCTAAATGCACGTCCCGGAGGTTAGGAGCATCAATGTTGAGGGACCAAGATACGTTTTCATTGCAATTTTTAACATCCAATGTTCTAAGCATTGGACATTTTGATATAAACAGCTGCAACTCTTTAGGATCAATCCAGAGGCCGTCAAGATAAAGATGGAAAAGCCTACTAAAACCACTGAATCCAGGGGGAAGTTTGATGTTGGTACGAGTAAGATTCAAGCTTCTAAGATTGGGAGCATCAATATCAAGGCACCAAAATGTGGCTGGTGCCAAACATGAGCCAATAGACAACCGCTCAAGCATGGGACATTTTGAAATAGCACTTCGCAACTCTTCAGGAGTAATTCGGAAATTCTCAAGTTCAAGTTTGATAAGTCGACTAAAACCATCAAAGGTAGGTAACGAATCAAGCCTTAAGTATTTGAGATTAGTAGCATTTATATCAAGATGACAGGGTGAGGTTTGGTCAAAACACTCTGTAATAGAAACCAACTCAAGAAATGGGCATCCAGATAACAACCTTTCCAAATCTTGAAGGGTAATGCGGAGTGCCCAAAGCCTAAGTTCGGCAAGCAAACTGAAAGCACTGAAAGTAAATGGTAATTTGACGTCCATTCGTTCAAGCCTCAAGTATGTGATTCTAGGAGCATCAACATTGTGGCACCAAAATGTTGTAAAGCCAGTCAACCCCTGAAGATCCAAGTACTCAAGCATCGGACATTTAGAAATAAACTCGCGCAAATTTTCAGAGGTGATCTGGACATCAGTAAGAGTAAGTTTGACAAGCGCACTAAAACCTTTGAAAGTAGAAGGCAAATTGATGTCAGCAGAACTAAGCTCTAGGTGCCTGAGGAGATGAAAACTATATAGATCTTTAGGCACGGCATATAGAGTGCGTTGGGTGACAGAATTGAATAATAGTGATAACTCCTCAACAAGTTTGCTTTGCAAGATCTTGAGCCATCGATCCACAGCCACATGGCCACGGTCAAGATTATGTCTAAGTGAAAACTTGATTATGGGTCCTTTGTGGAAACACAATATGTGGGAGATGACACATTCACGGGGGAATCCTGAAGGCAACGATTGTCTGAAGTTCCAACCGAGATCTATATGCGGAATTGTTAACCACTTATAATTCCATTCTCTCGATAGTACGGTAGTTCTCACCGCATCTGCCAAAGGCAAGTATTTAAGAATGTTGTCGATGACTTCGCCAGGAAGCCCGCTGATTCTGTCGGGATCCATTTACCAGAGAACGATTCTTCACCTGCTTCAGTGGGAATCAGTTATTACAAAATAAAAAGAGCAGATTGAAAATGGCAGTTAGTAGAACAATCCATATCTTTTCCTCAATTCCAAAAGCCGATTATGTCATCTCACTGCCTCCATCAATGCCATATTTTTACAGCACCAAAATAAGGAAGAGAAACCAATGGAAAATCCTCAGATCCATAATCTTTAAAAAATTACACTACGATTATAAAGGAGGGGGGAAATTTCAACAAAATCAAAGCCCTAAAATCCATAGAGAATGCGCGAATGTCGTGATAGCCAAAAAAGCATAGAAACCTTACCTTAACTCAAAATGTTGGTATGAAGTCGTAGCTTGTGAAGAGTAAGCAAGAAGCAACAGAAACTCCGGAGGTGTGAGTATGGAATGAGCGTGCGCTACTGAACGTTCGGTTCAACTTCTTCTAGGGTTTTAGTGAGACACCAAGATTGCTAAGAACGGACTCCGGCGGCAGTTTATTCGTTTGGTTTGCGCGGCAAAAACTGTTTTGTTTCTCTGTTTTATTTATATATTGGATATTCAAATAAATAAATAAATATATATATAGTACTCCCTCCTCCGTTCCATGGATGAATTAATTTATGTAAAGTATAATTAGTAAGTAATTAAGAAATATATTAGTAAAAATAATTATTATTTATTAAAAATAATTATAGATTAAGATTAAAATGAGTAAATAGTTTAATTAAAATTAAAAAAATTATAAAATTTAAAATGCGATTAAAATGCATAATTATATTTCCAAAAATAAAAAAAGACATGTTATGTGGGACGAACGAAAATAGAAAATAAGAACAAATTATGTAGGACGGAGGGAGTAGTATAATTTATATTCTTCGTCCCAAAATATAATTACACATAATTATATTAATTACTCCATCCGTTATGCAAATATGTACTCATTTGATCGGGCACGGATTTTAATAAAAGTAAGTAATAATGATTACTTTTTTTCTTTTTATAGTAAAAAAATACAAAAATATAATAATTTTTTACTTTAAAAAAAACGAAAATATTTTTAATGACAATTTAAAAAAGAAAGTGAATATACATTTGAATGAAGGAGTACAATTTATATTAATTACAAAAAAGAATTGAGTACCGATATTTTACAATAAGCACCCATGTTGATTAATGTAATATAGTTACACATAATTATTTTAATTATATAATTTATAAAATAAATTAACATACTTAATTTTTTTTTTTATATTAATCAGCACTCAATCCAAACTCATATTTTTATTACTTTTCTATCTTGCCACGTAAATGTAGTATCTATTTATAAAAATATTACTATTAAATTTTTATATAAATTACAAATTATTATTATATATAACTAATTATACATAAATTAAAAAATAAAATTATTAAAAATTTATTTAAAAAATCTTTATTAATTAATAAAATATTATTATTTTATGCACTATTATCAGTCTCCAAATAATCCATTTAAAATGAAAGAAATGAAGTATAATTATTGAATAATTAAAGTTAAATTTATTGTAACAATAATATGTAAGTTTAATAATTTTTAACACAAAATTACTTAAATAAAAGAATATATTATTAGATGTATTGCAGACGGTAAACTTATATGAACAATTTAATTTGAGCATTATATTGTAAATATTAAAACAAATTACATATTAGAGCTAGATATGAAAAAATCAAAGGTCTTTGGAAAAAAAAATAAGAATCGTTTGTTTTGTAAAATAATTTGAAATTTTATAATTTTTTACTTAAAATATAAAATATTTTATATATAATATTAAAATAATAAATATATAATATATTAATTTTTTTAAAAAAATAAGTATATTCTTTTATAAAAAAATACTAATTCTCTAAATATTTTAAACATTATTCAACTTTTTGTAGACAAATAAATATATTTTTAAATGGATAATTGCAAAAGAATATTATCTACATATATATATATATATATCTAATTATTACTCTTATATTTATTATACTCGTAAAATATTATACATTCTAAAAAATCATATTTTTTTGTACTTGATCCGTCGTAATATTTACATTCTACACAATTATGCTTGCTCTATGTCTCATGTTATGAGTACAAAAAAAATTGAAGTTTTGGAATACTTAAAATATATTTTTTAATTGAAATAGATGAATATAATCATATAATTTTATAAATTTATGATAACTTTATTAAATATATTATATATATTCATATTTTTAATATGATGATATATTTTTTATCGACAAAAATATTTAGTAAGAAAATTAAAAACAAACGAGAGCGGAAAAAAAATATGAAGCTGAGGAGGTAGCATGGAAGATGTAAATTTTAGACTCACATTTAGATATATTTAATGACTATATATATTTGACATTATTATTATTATTTTTTTTAAAAGAAATACTAATATAGATAATTAGTACTAAAAATAATTCTTGAAAATCATATGCAACATTTAATATAACAATCACACATTAATAAAGTAGAAATATGTAATTAAAATCTTGGAAATAAAATATTAGACCTGTGCCAAGAAAATTATGTCAAGAAGAACTGCATCTACCAAGTATTCAATAAAGTCAGCTGAACCAAACAAATGAATCGAATAGTGAACAATTGCTTAATCTAAAGACCCAACAAATTTAACACAGTTTCAAATATTCATGATTCAAGAAAGATATTCAAATAGAAATGCCCAGTGAATTGTGGGTGAAATCACTACAAAGATCAGTTGTGACAAATACACACAACAACACAACAAAAGATCTTTAATTCAACCATAATCGCATGCCTCACTATAACTTTCATATCGACTTCATTTTCTCAAGTAATTTGAATATCTCATCTCATCTCATCTTGTATTCCTGCTCATGTTTCGCTTTTAAAGCTTTATGGGTTCTCGGAAAAATAATTTACCTCGAATTATTCTACTTATGATCTCTATCCAATACATCATCTAAAATTGAATGGATGCAAACAATCTACAGAATGTTAAGAAACATGACATAAAATCATAGCACTTAAATCCAAATAATGGCGAATAATCTGCAAAATATCAAGAAATTGGAAACAAAATCATATACAACTACTACATTAGCACAAATCGTAACATCCTAAGATGAAGAAGCCATAACAAAAATACTAAAACAAAAGCAAAGATGAAGAGTATGTTCATGCCCAAGATAAAATTTCACACACGGTGGTTATTTATGAAAAATATAGCTTTGGAAGATGACTCCCAATAGAACCTCTTCAATTCTTCTAGCGTGTCTAATCTTTTAGTCAAAGAATGAGAATTTACTTCCAATTGTTCACGTTTAGTCCCCCACAATAGAAGAAGCTTCACAAATTCTACTTCTGATTCAACACCATCAAACCCCAAAATACTCACAGTCTTTAGGTTTTTGCAAAGAATATTTTGCTTTTGTTCGCCTTTCAGATATTCGACTGCTTTATACATCTGTTCAGCTCTCATTGGACTCCACCTCATAGACTTCCATTGATCAAACTGAAAGGTATACATATACATATACATATATATATATACATGCATATATATGACAAGTGTGAGAATGGAACTACGAAAGATTCAAACACGAGAAAGGGAAAAAAACTATACATGCCCATGTCGGAGATACTTACTGTAATATCAAGGTTGTGCAAGATAGGGGAGCTTCTAATCAAGCAAACAACACAAGCGACAACGGTCAAGATTCCAAAGTCCATTTCTCTTAGTTCAATCGTCATCAAATTGTTGAGCTTGAAAGGAAGTTCTTGCGGCACACCACCAAGAGCCAAGAACTTCAATGAAAAAAAAATAAAAATAAAAATTAACACAATGAATAAATATAAAACAATTAAAGTATTTATTAATTATACCTGTATAAAGGAAATTCCAGCTTCCAGTTTTACAAGATATGGAAGCTGACCAAGAAACTTGATCAGGTTACTCCCATCTCCAATTGTCCCAGGATATCTAAAATTTCCATACTGAGCTCCTCTACTAGATAAACCATAATACGGAAATTTGACAGAAAGTTCTTCAACAGATCTTGTCTTTCTCAAACAAATTGAACTGAAGAAACCAACTAAATACAAAGCCCGAAGATTTGGAGCATCAATGTTGAGGGGCCAAAATGTGTTTTGGTCATTGCACTTATCAATAATCAATAATTCAAGCATCGGACTTTTTGATAAAAACATGTGCAACTCTTTAGTATCAATGCGGAGCTCTACAAGAGAAAGACTGTCAAGCCTATTAAAACCGCTGAATGTAGGGAGAATTTTGATGTCAGTACGGTTAAGATACAAGGCTCTAAGATTCGGAGCATCTATATCAAGGAACCAAACTGTGGTTGGTGCAAAGCACTGGTTAATAGACAAGCACTCAAACATGGGACATTTTGAAATAACACTTCGCAAATCTTCAGGAGTAATTTGGACATAAGTAAGTTCAAGTCGGATAAGCCTACTAAATCCTTCAAAAGTAGGTGTGAAATCAACACAATCAAGCCTTAAGCGTTTGAGATTAGTAGCATTAATATCAAGATGACAAGATGCAATTTGTTCAAAACACCCTTCAATAGACACCGACTCAAGCAATGGGCATTCGGATACAAGCCTTTGCAATTCTTGTTCGGTGATTTGGACTACCCAAAGCTCAAGTTTAGCGAGCAAACTGAAACCATTGAAAGTAGGAGGTAGTTTGCAATCAAGATGTCCAAGCTTCAAGTATTTGATCATAGGAGCTTCAACATCATGGCACCAAAATGTTGTGATGCCATGCATGTCACTAAGAGACAAGCGCTCAAGCTTTGGACATTTAGAAATAAACATGTGCAAACCTTCAGAGGAGATCCAGGAATTCCTAAGACTTAGTTCGACCAGCGCACTAAAACCTTGGAAAGAAGGAGGCAAATTGATGTCAACATCAACAAGCACCAGGTGCCTGAGGAGATGAAAACTATAAAGATCATTGGGAATGGCATATAGACAGCTGACAGAATTGAGTGATAGTGATAACTCCTCAACACTTTTGCTTTTCAAGAACTGGAGCCATCTATCCAAACCCGTATGGAGATGGTAAAGATTATGTGCAAGTGAAAACTTGACTATGGATCCCTCGTGCAATAGCAATATGTGAGAAATGACACATTCACGGGGGCATGGAAAAGGCAAAAATTGCATGAAGTCCCAATCGAAATTCAGATGCGGAATTGTTGACCACTTATACCTCCATTCTTTGGAGAGTACGCTAGTTCTCACCACATCTGGCAAAGGCAAGCGTTCAAGAATGTTGTCGATGACGTCGTTGGGAAGCCCACTGATTCTATCGGACGCCATTAACCAGAGAATGATTCTTCACCTGATTCAGTGATCAGCATCAACAGTGGAGGATCAGTAATTAAAATAGCAGATCGAATAGAACAATCCAAATGTTGTCCCCAATTCCAGAAGCCGATTTTGTTCTCGCGCTCCTCCATCAGTGCCATTTTGTACAGCAATTAAAATTACAGTACGATTAGAAAGGAGGGAGAAATCTCATAAAAAACGATAGCCCTAAAATCTACGGAGAGTGTGCACAAATGTCGCGATAGCAAAAAAACACAGAAACCTTACCCCGAGTAAAAATTCTTGTATGAAATGGTAGCTTGTGAAGAGTAAGCAAGCAGCAACAGCAACAGCAACTCCGGAGATGTGAGTATTGAATGAGCGGGCGCTACTGAAACAACTCAAACGTTCGGTTCAACTTCTTCTAGGGTTTCAGTGATACACCAAAATTGCAAAGAACGGACTCCCGCGGGTAGTTTATTTGTTTGATTTAACCGGGCAAAACTGGTTTGCTTCTCTTTTTTATTACCAGTTTTATGTATAATAATTTTAGGCAAAAAATCATTTTTTTTAATATAATCAAAATTTATTAATTTTAGTTTTAATATAATTTTTTTTTATTTATTTTGGTCTCAATATAAAAGAAGATAAGATTTGATTATATTGTGATAAAAAATAATGAGTTTTTAGTTATATTTAGATCAAAATTGATAAAATTTCTATATTGTATTATATTGGGACCAAAAATAATTTTTTTCATTATTTTACTTATAATTTCTATGATAAATATATATAATAATATTATAATTATGTTTTTTTTTTTTTTTATCAAAGTTCTTTTAAATTTTATTATTTTGAATTTGCATTTTTTTTTAAAAAAAAATTCTTACAAAATATTATATTTTTATATCAAATTCAAATCAATTTTTTTTAATTTATTAAAAAAAAAACACACTCGAACCCAAATATTTTATTATTCTTTTTCTATCTTCCCACAAATGTATTATCTATTTATCAAAATATAAGTATTTAATTTTTACACAAGCGTATACATATAATTAGTTATACATAAAGTAAAAAATATATATATATCAAATTCTTTTTACATATTCTTTTTAATTAATGAAATATTATTATTTGATATATTGTTGTCGATGTTCAATTGGTCCATTTAAATTGGAAGAATAAAATGATGTGTTTTATCAAAAATTTTTTCAATATATTTATTATAGTAATAGTATTTTTATAACATAAAAACATATGTTTTTTTTTTAAAAAAAAATGAGAATTTTCTAATATATTTAAAATTTAATTATTATTTATTAAATATTTATATTTTAATATTAATAAATATTATTATACTATTTATCACTTATATATTATTGTTAATAACAATAAAAATCATAATAATAAAAATAATAATAATAATTTTAAAAATCTATCAAAATCTCTTTTTATCGAAAGAAATTTTATATGATATAAATTTTTTATAATTATCTATTAAAATACAATAAAACTTATAAACTAAAAGTTTATATCTCGAAAAGTATAGACTAAAAGTATATTTTTAATTTAAAATTTTGAATTAAATAAGTCCAAACTATTAAAATGCGGACATGAGCAAATGCTCACTACCATAATTTTAGAATCTAGACCATTACTATTCTTGCGAATACGGAGTGGATCAACTAATTATTTATCGAGGGACTCGTCGGATTAGGTCTCGAACGACCAAAAATTCCCAGCAACTAATAAGGGTGTGTTTGTTTGAGGGATTTGTTTGGATTTCCACTATTCATCCTATTTTTTCCCCCCGAAAACATCAAATCAGACATTTATTTTTCATTTTTATATTATACTAAAAGTCAATTTTACATTCAAAACATCACATCAACACCTATTTATATCACATCATACAACTATTCAAATTTAAAATTTTTACTATTCGAATCCCAACTCAAAATCCAAACCCTCAAACAAACACACTAAATGTATTAAGTTTTAAATTAAATTTTAGATTTTAATTCATTTTTTTACCGTTATCCAATTGAATTCAAATTCTAAAATTAAATTTTAATATATTTTTTTCTACTTCCACCTCTATTCTTTTTCACCCTGGCCCAATCCATTAAAATTTAACTTAAATTTATTTTTATTTGTCTTTATTTGTAAAAATATTTTGCAATGAAAACTACATTTGGAGTTAATAGTATTATTATTAATGTTGTTGTTATTATTATTATTATACTATTGGTTTTACAATAATCACGATATTATTTATTTATTTTTATTGGATATATGATTCAAATAATTTTTATTTTTGTAGAGCTTATTATTATATTTACCAGAATTATTTTAAAAATTAATTTAATAATATGTTTATAGGGTCTATAATTTAATTTTTTTGCTCAGAACCTAAGAAAATTTCGAGACAGCCCTGAAACTATCAATTATGAAAATATAATTTTTTTTTATAATATGGGAATCCGCAACAATTATTCAAAAATGCGTACTGATAAACCCCCGACTGAATCTAATAACCTGCAAATTAAGCTCGACAAGACAAGTTACACTAGACAAACTATGCGTGACACATGAGACCTTGAGACGACCGATTTTAAATGTATATATACATTTCTAAAATACTTCTTTTTATACTTGTATTTTAAAAACTTACAAAATTTAATCTAAGTTTGTACATGCACGTGTACATGCACGCACACAAAGAAACTATGAGTGTATTCGTTTGTAGAATTTCATTCAAATGTTATTATTCATCCAAAAATTTTCCCCCAAAAACATCAAATCAAACCCTTATTTTTTATTTTTTATATTATACTAAAAATCAATTTTACATTCAAAACATCACAGCAACACCTATTTATATCACATCATACAACTATTCAAATTCAAAATTTTTACTATTCAAATCCCAACTCAAAATCCAAAGCCCAGACAAACACACCCTATATATTTATTTAAGTTGTAATTTATAGTAAAAACTTTATTCAAAATATAGTTTGAATTTTAAAAAGTCTTTGTTTAAATGATAATTTTAAAAATAATTAAGTAAAACTCACAAGCCCAAAAGCATATATTAAATTCAATTTTTCTAAGATATCAATCGCGATCTAAACGGATATGGAATTATAATAAATTAAAATCCAATTCCAATAATAGTATATTCATGATTTTAATTCAAATCCAAAAATCAAAATTGAAATTTAGAAAGAATTGATAATGTTGCCTAATAAAAAAAAAAATTATCTAAATAATATAAAAATAATTAATATGTGTAATAATATATTAATTTAAAAATTATATTGAAAATTTTTTATTATAAAAACAAAGCTAGATATACATAATTTTAATAACACGGAAAAATCTACGTCAAGATGATGAATTTACTAATTCAACCTTCGGAAGAATTCTGGTTAACGATATTCAAAAGGTTATTTTAGGAAATTCGTATCTTCCCTGTCAATCGCAAACAAACTTCAACCCTTCCCTTCTGTAGATTCCACTGTACATTACGTATACATCATATATATCTATATATATGTAGATATATAGAGGTGTGATGTGAAGAATTATACACATACACAAACACCGCCTTGCTCGCCGGAATCCTCTTCGACATCTCCGCCATGGAAGTTCAAAGCAAGAGAATTCGTGCCAGGATTCAACGGAGTGATGAAATCGACGTTGTCGTTTTGGTGGAGAAAATAAAGGAAATCACCGGGTACGAATTCCGGAACCCTAATTTACTCCGGCAGGCTTTCACCGCTCATTCCTACTTGGAAGACGACAAAAACGAGACGGATTCGTACGAGCGGCTGGAGTACCTCGGGGATTCCGTGATCGGTTACTTCGTGGCCTTCCACCACTACTCCACGTATCCGGATTTGTCGGTGGGTAAACTCACGAAGCTCCGCTCCGCCAACGTCGACGGGGAGAAGCTCGCGCGAGCGGCGCTGAAGCATGGCCTGCACCGCTTTCTCAACCACAACAAGCCTATGCTTGAGGCGCAAGTAATTATTCGTATCTTAATGATTTCGCCCCCAATTTAGCTATTTCGATCTGAATTTTCCTTCTCGAATCGCGATTTTTGAAGTTTTGTGTTGAATTTGGTTGGTGTTTTGATTAGATTAAGCAATTTGAGGAGGCGATTGTTCAATATCCGATTCATTCGTTCGGTTTGGTGGATACGCCCAAGGCTCTGGCCGACATTGTTGAATCCTTGGTTGGAGCGGTTCATCTCGACAGCAATTCGGTTGACCGAACTTTTCAGGTACACATCTTCTGCCGATATTCCCTTCTCACAACGTCTTCTGCTCTACGTGTATAAATATTTTATGTTTGAATCATTCTTCTTCTTATTATTTTATGCATATCATTCTGTACTGGGATTTTGTTTCTGTATGGAAATCACAACTGTTTCTCTTTAGGTTAGATTGAACATCTGAATTTTGCTTAATTAGGTTGAAATATCTTATTTGATCTGAGATTACTTTTAAAAAAAAAACAAAACATATTTGTAACAAAATTTTTGTCCCTAGAAGAAGAAGATTATTTTGTTTAAAAAATGTTATTTTTATGTAGCTAATGAATTCTCTCTCTAAATATGATTAGTTATAAATATTACATTGTGTAGATCAATCAATTTAAGTGATTGTTAATTATTACATATGCTAGTTTTTAGCTTTTAAATCTATTAAAATATTTATTTTGTACTCGTTAATTAAATGTTGTATATGCCACACTTTTCACTTAACTACTAACGTTCTTTCTGTCTCATTATTATTTTATAAATATTTAATTGTTAGATTTCTTCGATATTAGCACATGTGGCTATACACGTCATCTTTTTTTTTTGTGGCATCGATATTCTATTTGTCTTTACTATTTCTTTAATATTAGCACGTGTGTGTTTTTATCGGTATAACTTCAACATTCTATTTTTGACTTACTATTTTGCAAATGTTCTTATATGTGTATAACTTTATATTATTTGTCTTATTATTCTACAAATGCCGCATGTATAGATTTATTCAATCTTAACCCACATCGCTACAAATGTTACTCTTATATGTATATCTTACTATTTACAAATATTTATATTTATAATTTTTTTAAATATTAGCACACGTGGCTATATATGTCACTTTTTTTTATTAACTCCAACAGTCTATCAGTTTTACTATTTTATAAATATCTATATTTATAATTTTTAAAATATTTCTCTTATTATTATACAAATATCATGTGTATAGATTTCTTTAAACTTAACACACATGGCTACATATGTTACTTTTGCCGTATAATTCCGACATTCTATCTACCTTACTATTTTACAAATATTTATGTTTATAAACCTCTAAAATAATACTAATACACATGGCTATACATATCACTTTTCTCTATTTGTCTTACTATTTTACAAATGCTCACAAGTATAGATTTCTTTGATATTAGTATATGCGACTATATATATCACTCTTCTTTATATGACTTAGATAATTTATTTGTGCTATTATTTTTACAAATATCCATTTGTATAGGTTTCTTCAATATTAACAAACGTGACTACATATGGTTTTCTTCTTTGTCTAACATTGATATTTTGTTCGTCTCATTTATTTTACAAATGCTCACGTGTATAGATTTCTTCCTCTATTAATACGTTTTGACTGTTATATATATAGTCAAATATCTGTCACGTTTCTCTATTTAACTCTTATATTTCTTTAGTTCGTCATTCATTAATTTAACATGGCGACTATATAGATTTCATTTTAATCATCCATTAAGTGTTCCTTTTGTTGCTGAATCACAAAGGGCATGTATGTTTATGACTTTCTTTGATATCTCTATGTGATAATGCTGTCCTCTTCATAGTCTTTTATTTGTGGTGGATTCAATACCTTTTATATGTGCATTCCTTTAGTATTAGTTTCCAAGTTAGGTCCTTTGTTGAAAGGAGCTTCCTTTATTTTATTTATTTATTTATTTTTTTTCGACGTGGAAACTGTTGCTGTTACCTGAAAGTGTACACTGGGTATACCTGCAGCCGCTACACGAAAGTAGCTTCCTTTTTCATCTCCTAATTTCTTGATAACATATATAATGAGCTTAGTTTCTAGATTGTATTGTTGTGGTCCATACTGTTAAGTTTACTTCTAATTGTGAGTATAATTTGCAATGCAGGCATGGAAGCTTTTGTGTTGTTTGGCATATTAGTTAAATATGTAGAACCATATTAGGCTTTATCAACTCTATAATAATAATAATAATAATAATAGAAGAAGAAGAAGATCGAAGAGATCCTTGAGAACTCTTAAGTGTCATCTTTAATTATTTCGATTTTTAAAATAAAATGTAGAACAATACTCCATCCGTTTCATTTTAATCGACTCTTTTAGTTAATGATAAAAGTATCTAAGACAATGAAATTTAGTGAGTTAATGATAATAGGATATGCTGTTACTTTATTACTATTTTTTTTTTTTTATGTGCATGATGTTGTTAGTATTTTTAAAATAATAATTAATATATACTATTAATAAAAATTTAAAATATGTACTTAAATGTTTTTAAAAACTATATCTCTATAAATAAATTTGTTTTCTTTTTTGGTAAAAAAATCATACTAATTTTTATCACCTTGTCTAACTTTTTTTTTTTTTAATTATAAAAATAAAAAAAGGTACTAACCATATTAAAACATGTACCCAAATCAAATTGAGTATTTTTATATGATGGTGAGGGAATAAGACATAAATAAACAAGTAAATATCTATGATTACTATAAATAAATTTTATATAAAAAAATAATAATAAATATAGATAAAAAAATATATATATATATTATTAAAAGGAATATAAATAGAGGGACTTTGATTGGTATTATATATACTAAATGATTTTATAGGTTATAAAATTAATTAAATTGATATATATTTTTAAAAGTATTTTAAATGAAAATAATTTACTAAAAAGAAAAATTTATAAATTGATTTGGAAGGGAGGCAATACTAAATTCCTTATGTCTAACTCTTTTATCTTATTCTACTATCTTACTAAAAATATTTTTTTTGTACTTACAATAATAAAAATATCAAAACTATTTTAGATATATATATATTTTTTTCTTTTTGCTGTACTCGCACATATTGTGTACTCTCAGTGCGCTACTTTCAGGAACCACAAGTAAATGTTACGTGTAGACATAGTGCTGATAAGTGAAATCTATTATTATTCCTGTTCAAATTCATATTTAAATGACTTAGACGTTAAAAAGTGTCGTACATAACTAAGATTACATTTTTATTTTTTATTTTTTATTTTTTATTTTTAATCTTTTTCACTAATCTTTTCAAACGAATTCTAAAACACTTTGATGTCTCAACGCAGGTTATCGACAAACTGTTGGAGCCAATGGTAACGCCATCAACTCTCTCTTCCAATCCAGTGTCGATGCTCTTCGAGTTATGCCAGAAACACAAATTGAGCATCGAAGTTCTTTCGAGGTCGTGGCCCAAAACCGGAGTATTCGAATATGTCGTGGGCGGCGACGTCATCGGGAGAGCCGAATACAGAAGCAAGAGGCTTGTCGCTAAAAGTAGAGCCGCAGCCGATGCATACGACAAGCTCGTGGCAAAACTCGAGGCGCAAAACAGGCAAGAACAAACCAATATCGACAAAACTCACTCCGAAGCAGCCCAAAGTGGCGACGAGGAGCAAAATGGCGAGGAACCAACCTGCGCTAGCAAAGAAATTACCTCGGGGGAGCCAAATCGCGAAGAACAGATCGAGAATGATAAGGATGATAATATTAAGTCGGAGGTGCAGAGCGGTGACGTGCAGACGAACAATTCTAGCTATTATAGCGTACACAGTTCTGCACCAAGGACGAAGAAAGTTGCCGATGTTGTGAATAGAATATGGACTTGGTTGGTGTCGTAAATTTAACGATCAATTTACCGAATGGTTTTGGATGCGAGGTAAATACAGCTAGGCGTCTATATAAGTTTGAAAGGATGCAATGATATTTTACATACAGAAATACATTACCTGAGAGCAGCGAATTACGATTACGGTGTGTCTTACTTTAGAATAGATAGTAAGCACGAGTCGAAAGGGCTTTCGACACTAAATATGCGCGACTAATGCACAGCGATAACACGGCGTGCTTTAACGCTGCTTCTAGTTGGATACAACAGGGTTGGTGCTAACGGGAACAGCCGTCACGGTGGAGACCATAGACTCGATTCCGCACATGTTGTGTCCCCTGCAGAGCTTATAATATCCATCCTCGCCCCAGTTCACACCCCACGAGTTTTTAATGATCCAATACGGCTTGTCCTTGAATCGAAGAGGGGCATAGCCAGCAGCGTTATATCCCACAATAAGAACAGCGTGATCTAACATTCTTTTCGAGCAAATTAAGGGACACGAAACGCCTCCAATGTAGGTTTGCATCCAAACTGCGTTGATTCCAACTGGGAGTACCACAAAAGAATGCAGGGTTCATCTCATCTCATGTTAATCGTGAATCTTTTTAAAAGGAGTGTTTGTTAGAGATAGGCGGGTACCTGCAAGAGGGCCGTGCTTAACCAGGTATGCGGCCATTTGGTCGCTATCTACAGGAACAACGCTGAAGTTGGACACCGAAGCAGCGATTTTGCTTTTGTCGAATTTGCATTTGCCACCGTAACCGGTGTAGGGATAATCTTTCTCTTTTTCAAGTCCGCCGACCTTGAGCGTGTATTCCAAGGCATTGTTCATTAATCCACCGTCACAACCTGCATCGCAGGAGCCGACTTGCTCCGGATCGCACTGCAGATGAACATAAGACTTGTTGAGATGCCAATAAATATTCAATCCCGAAACAAGAACTGATAGTAGTGAAGCACCTCAATAAATTAGATTAGCAGTCATAAGCTCCAAGCACAATAACTAGCTAAGGAATTTTGCAAGATTCATCACCAAAATAAATAAACTGCTCATGAACAGATGACAAAAGTCTAGAGTTAGATCTGGTTTGAATACGAGATTCATGGTCAATTACCAAATTGATGAGCCATCTTCCTTTTTCCTATTCTATCCAATTTCAAACGTTTATGGCAAAACAGGACATAACACACCTCATGGTCGCAATCCACGAGCTGTTGCTCACTAAGGCTTACGAGTTCCCCAGTCGACAAATAGTGTGCACCTTCAAGTGCGCCAGTTGTACTAAAAGACCAGCATGATCCACAGGAACCCTGTCACAATTCCACAAGCCAAAAACCCTAATTTCAATATTTAGCACCGGAATTAATGTTAACTTTACATCTAGAGATATATCAAATTCTAGATAATTAGTATAAAGATCTATTCAAAAGCAGCGCAAAATTTATGCCTATAAAGTCAACTCTGAAAATTCGGCTAAACAGAGAACCTGATCCTTGACGCCAGTAACGGCTCCTTTATCTCTCCAGTCAAAGTTCTCCGGCAAATCACTGGTAGGAAGATTCGGAGCCTTGTTTGCATCCGTCGGAACCTTCAGCCGGCGCTTGTGGAGCCCCAAGTAGCTCCTCTCAAACTCTTCGGGGGTCAAATCCGAGAATTTTGTCACTCCATGAGTAGCTGAAGGATCCAGCAGCTGGTTACGCTTCGCGCGGCGCAGATTAGCTTTGAACACCGAAAATCGGTGGTCGTGCTCCTCCACAGTAGCGTACGTCTTCCCGAACTTGGATTTGAACAGCGAGAAATGGTGCTCCGCGTGCAGCAACTCATCAACGACTTCGACGCCGTCGGACACCACTTGCTGGATCAACGGATCCTCTGTAAATCCGTCGAGAACGCCGCCTTCCGCGGCGGCTGAAGCCGGCCGTAGTAGGGCGAAGGAGAGGAGGAAAAGGAAAGAGAGAGGAGCCATTGGATTGAACGCAGAGATTTTTTGGGGAGAACGTATTTATATTGGTCGAGTAACTGCCATTCCGATGAGGACACGTGTCGATCATCTATGGTGGAGTTGTGGCTGCTACTAGAAAGCAAGCAGCTCAGATATTTATTGAGTGAGGTTAAATCAGTAATTTTCATATTGCTATCATCGCAAATGTCCATTCTACCCTTGTTCTGGAATTACTTTTTTACCCCTCACGACTATCAATGCCGTCGCTGTTGCTTCACAATTTGGATTTCTTCGATGACACTTCACTGATGACGCCTGCGTTTGATTTTTTTTGTGCCTCTAATAATTTATGCGGTAAAATGATTTTTTATATTCTATCTTCGTTTTATTTTATTGTTTGGTCATGGATTTATTTATTATATTATTAAAATATATTACAATTAATTAAAAATATAAAATTTTGCAACGTATTTGTATTTATATTAGATTTATGACAACTGATGATTTAGAGAGCATTGAAAATTTGAAACGAGAGTAGCCCATTATTATTGGGCCCAAAAGCCCAGTAGAGTTGAAGGCTGTATATATAAAGGCATTGAAAAATTTGAAATGAGAGAAGCCTATTATTATTGGGCCCAAAGGCCCAATAGAATTGAAGGCTGTATATATATAGGCCTGATTCTTCCTCGGCCATGGCTTTTTCCCGCGCTAGTCAATTCAGCATTTCGCTCCTGCAGTGGCAGCGTGAACTCTGCTTGCTCGAGAAGCCTTTCTTCTTCGTCATTCGGTAAAGTTGTCGTCTCGCTCAAATAATGGCTGTTTTTTGTCCAAGTTTAATTTTCTGATTAGCTTGCTTGGCGTTGCATTACTTTATCTTTATCTTGCGATTTCATTGCATATTTGCTTCTTCACACGGTAGGTCGGAAAATCGATGAGCTGTTGTGTTCCCGTGCTGAACTGTTGCCTACAATGAAATGGGGAAGAGTTTATGGATTAGCTATGCTGTTTAATTCAATTTATCTTGGCATTGCTTACTTACACGAATCACTCTCTGAATAGCATAAGTTGGCATAAATCGCTTTATCCCTCACGTTTGGGCATTGAGGAGAACTCCAACACTCTTGTCTTTTGTCGGATTTCGGATGTGATTATTCATTTAGGGTTTCTTTTTGCTAATTTGTTTCTATTGACATTTCCAAGTATAGCTGAGAACCTTCTCTGTACTTAATTTAATTTTGAGCATTTTTACTACCCTGAAAATTTTTCCAGTTGAATATGCTGTACGAGCTTTTGTAATATATCTTATCAATTATAGGTGTTTGAAAAAATGAGTTGTAGTGACAGTCCCGTAAGCATGACCTGGTGGTGGTGGGGACTTGGATTTGTGACCGGCCGGTCATGGGTTCAAACCCCGGACGCCTTAGGTCAGACTTGTATGTAATATGATTTCAATATCCTGAGCAAGACAGAGACAAGAATGGAAGATGTTAGAATAATCCTCTCTTAGTTTCTTGAAATTAAGGAACACCGTTGATTAACACTCGAAAGCTAACAGAAGGGTATTCTATTTAGGGCCCCCATTCAAGTAAGTCCTTCTCGAAATTGACTCAAATCTATATGTTGGAGAGTAATTGGGCTTTCTTGAAATTCAGGGATAAAGATTAACACCAAGTTTGTTTGTTTGTTGAAGATGTGAAGAAAATGAAATGAAAAACGTGGCTCATCGTCTTTTTTATCCATATTTGAAATGGATCCCTCTGTCAATCATTCCAAGCACGCCTTATCTTAATTAATTTTTATAGCGCTTCATATCATTCTCTTTACACTATTTAGATTTCATCTTTTTTGAGAATTCATTGAGTACGTAGTTCTAAGGTTGCACCAGAAAAGGCATATATATATATATATATGTTAATTCCGAGAATGAATAATATTTACGCGAATATTGAATAATCTTACCGTGCTTGCATGATGTCTCAACGTGGTCAGCCATGAGAGTTCAAGTACAACCACAATAGCTTAGCAAGTTGAGTCCCGTGGATTTTGTAAGTGAATCAACTTTTCTCATTACATCCATTACCTTATTGTTGACATTGTGTTCTATATGATAAAAAGTTTCTTTATATTATGAACAATGTTATCGAGTTATGTACGTAGAAAAACACAAAGCAACCTTCAAGGATGTGGCGTTCTGGCATATCTCAAAATGTACAGATCAAGATTTTAATGCGAGAGCACACAATTTGACAGAATTAGGCGGCCTGCTGCAATGGATCCAGAATGTCCAATTGCTGTTAAACAAGCAAAAGCCAACAACAAACCAAATAATCAACGACAACAGAGGATAAAGAAGCATGAAGATTCGCAAGCTTTGGTAATTAGAACTATTAATGCCTGGTTTATGAGTTTGGATTCAGTTAATCAAGAACGATGGACAAGAATGGAGGATGATGCTCGGAGGAGAGAGTTGAAGCTGGATAAACACTACGAAATCATGTCCCAACAAGCAATGAAGGAGGTAAGGTTCTCATTTTATTGTTACTAATTAATATTGTGTAGCGTGTATAGTTTATACTAACTTTTGTTTCTTCAACTCATTGAAATGTGTTTTAGCACGAAGTAAAAATGGCAAGAGAAATAGGTTTCTTGGTTCAAGAGCTTGAGAATATTGGTGAGAAGTTGATAGCTGCATTAAGGAACTGGAAGAGTTGGATTCTGATAATTTGGTGACGAAGCTAGACAAAATACGGTATGCTATAAAAAAGGACATAGTGGAACACTACATATTCGTTTACAACAGTAAGTACTAATATCGTTTACAGGAACTTAATGATGAAACTATTGTAAACTACTTTTGTACTTGTGGAGGTATGAAAGCAGCAATTGACATGAGTGACGAGCCAACTGCAACCAACCATGTAGAAGGTGAGACAAGTGTTGAGAAAGATTGAAAATCAGAGACATCTTTCCAACAAAACTGATGTTTCGATCGGTTCTTGGTAGCAGTGTAAGTCTCCTATCACTTGCATGTGTTGTTACTGATGTTCATGAATACTGGAATGCGGTTATGTGTTTAAGTGATGATTTTGTGTTAGGAGTAAGTTCCTTGTTTATGTTTATGATGATGTGTTAGTGTTAATGGATTATGGTGACAGTGGAATCGTTGCTGTGTTAGTTGTTTTCGTTTTGGTCACAGTTTATCGCTGACCATTCCTCGTAGGTAGAATTAACAAAAATAGGTATTGTCTGAAAATTTGAAAATTCAATTTGAATTTGACACGTGCTTGGCCTCCAAAAATAGATTCGAATTGTTGTTGGGTCGTGGCCAGCCTCTCTCAGGCTGGCACGCCAATAAAGGGTTGTGTCCAGGCCCATAAAAGTTGGACTGTATCGGGCCTGATTTATTAAAATTAACCTTTAATATTTAATATATTTATATATATATATTCACTAGTGAAATAATAACAAAAATTAATACAGGATTTGATGGTAAAGTCTTTGAGTAGTTTACATTTGGTTGTGAGCTTGCCCGAATTGCCCCCCTATCATGATTTTCTTGATTTTCATTTACCATGATTAGGTGTATTTCAGGTCTGGTGTTGATGTGGATAACTTGGTGGGGATTTGACTTTTCCAAAGCCAAACAATTGACAAATATCCTCGGTCTGAAATTAATTATACTCGATCGATCGGGCCGGGCCCAAATTGACAGCCATGGCAACAACTCTTGGACTAAACAAACACGGCCGTGTTAGTGTCCCCCAAATCCATTTCGTCTATAATGGGACGAGCCACGGTGCGTGTTTCGAGGAAGGGTGTTTTTGTTCGGGTTTGAGATTTTGAGTTAAATTTGAATTAAAAAAAATTTAAATTTAAATAATTGTATAATGACGTATATTTTGAATTAAAAATTAATTTTTAATATAATATAAAAAAATAAAAAATAAAAATATAAAAAAAAGAAAGAACGAACACTTATTTGAATGTTTTTGAAAGGACGGAGACAGGTGTGCGTGACTGCAGTCGTTGATGGTAATACCCAAATGTGCGCATAAGAAATGAATATTCCCGATGCAGTTGTCCATCACGACACTCCTCCTCCTCTCCCACATCAACCAACGCTCCAATTTCCATTCCGGAAAGATTCCGCCAATTTCCCTTCCGTCTAAAAACGGAATTTAGAATCCATAACGACAATAATGGGTATGGGTGTGACTCCGTGTATTGGCGCTAGATTCGTTCACCTGATCGCGGGATTGCTATCCATTTCCGCAGTGTTTGGGTTCTGTCGAGGCGGATCAACGAGTGATTACTGGCGAGACAATGGATTGAGTCGAGATATGGCGTTGGATAGCGACGTGTTTCAGGTTCCTCCCGGCCACAACGCCCCACAGCAGGTGAATTCCGAACCGCTTTTCCTGATTGTTGTTAATTTCAGGATTTTTTGACATTACGCTGTTGAGAATTTGAATTGCTACATGTTTGTTGTGTTTAAATGCGTTGATTCCGAAAATTAGGGATTCTGCTTTGGGGATAATCTCATTACATGTTTTGTAAAATCATACTGTGCTTAGGTGTTCGATAGAATGATAATACAGGCACTGGTCCTGCGTTTCTATGAATTATCTAAGCTATTTTACAATTTATGGCATATTGAGATGATGAGATTGTGGTGACATTATTGTTTCATTGTTAAGTGTTAAGATAATGATAGTTTGTTTAGCTGGATTGATGATTATATGTTGATAGGTCTTAGATTATAATGGCCATGGGGAATTTGAAGGTGATGATCATAACCTTTCAAGGGATTAGATGTTGTCCCCTGCTTATGTAGAGATGAAAACTTCGAAAAATGGTTGATCTGGATTTTCGATTGAAATGCAGTGGGGAATTCACCTCATTAGACAACCTAATTGGTAATTACAATTTAGGAAGCAATTTTAGTTAGAGTTGTTTAGCTGTAATCTTTAATTTCTCTCGATTGTGATTCTTGCAAGTTTTTGTTAGGTATAACGGATAGGATTAGGTACACTAGAGGCTTGTCTTTAAATTGCAAGAACTCGGTTCTAAGGATTGAACTTTTAGGAACCCTATAATTCAATGTTGTTCTGTGTTCTCTAACATTGTGTGTCGATTTCCATTGTCTTGTAAAAGCTACCGAATCGGATTTTTGACATTGATTCCGAAGCATTCTTGGTTTCTTGAATCAATAATGCATTGTCAAGTTTGTTGCTACGATGATTGAATCTCACCCTAAGGCTTGTGATTTCGTGTTCGAAATGTGTTACTTCTGTTATACTATGTTACATTACATTTGTATGAAGCTTCATTGTATGTATTTTCTAGCTCGTAAATGTGTAAGTCAATACGTTGCATTTTGAAGGTTCACATTACACAAGGAGATCATGAAGGCAAAGGTGTGATTGTATCGTGGATAACACCCGATCAATCAAGCTCCAATTCAGTTCTCTATTGGAAAGAAAATAGTGATGTCAAGAAAACAGCGTACGGCGTTGTTGTTAAATACAAGTTCTACAATTACACTTCTGGCTATATTCATCACTGCACAATCAAGGATTTGGAGGTAAACTCGTCTTATTTCCAGTTTGCATACTTTTGAAGAAGCTTCGGCTATCAGCTCTCTTTTTTGTCGTCATATCATGTACTGATATTGCAGTATAATACAAAATACTATTACGAAGTAGGAACGGGTAATGCAACACGACAATTTTGGTTTGTAACTCCTCCTCAACCCGGCCCCGATGTCCCGTACACCTTTGGACTCATAGGTATGACTTAGTTATAAGCCTTATAAGGTAATACAATATATCTTTGCTGTAAAATTACTACTTCTGCGGCAAACCAACACTTAGGCTTTATGAACAGGCGATCTTGGTCAGACTCATGATTCAAATCAGACGCTAACTCATTATGAGATGAACCCCGTGAAAGGACAGACGATGCTGTTCGTAGGAGACCTCTCTTATGCTGACAGTTACCCGTTCCACGACAACACGAGATGGGATACTTGGGGACGATTCGTCGAGAGAAATGCTGCCTACCAGCCATGGATATGGACAGCTGGGAATCATGAAATCGATTTTCTTCCCGAAAATGTAAACTATCATTTTGAATCACCTTTCTTCGTTTCTTATGATTTTATGAAGTGGTATATTTGCTTCAGGGTGAAACCAAGCCCTTCAAGCCGTACAAGAATCGTTATTTCGTACCTTATAATGCATCCGGAAGTACTTCTCCTCTTTGGTACTCAATCAAGAGAGCTTCGGCTTACATAATCGTCCTCTCTTCTTACTCAGCTTTCGGTATGAGATCACACGTTTAATGGTACATCATATTTATCGAATATCATTAACATAGATTTATGTTTTCCTCAGGGAAATATACCCCTCAATATAAATGGTTCACCGAAGAGCTTCCTAAAGTGAACCGGACAGAGACACCCTGGCTAATCGTGCTCGTACATTGTCCGATGTACAGCAGTTACGTGCATCACTACATGGAAGGGGAGACCATGCGCGTCATGTACGAACCCTTCCTTGTGGAGTACAAAGTTGATGTTGTCTTTGCTGGTCATGTCCACGCTTATGAGCGCTCTGTAAGTATCTCCGATTCGTTAAAAGCAAAGCCATTTGCAATAGGGTGTGATTATACATCTCCTAACTTCACCCATTTCGTGCAGGAACGTATATCCAACATAGCATACAATGTTGTTAACGGATTATGCACTCCTACACACGACGAATCTGCGCCTGTATATATAACTATCGGCGACGGAGGAAATCAAGAAGGCTTAGTGACAGAGTACACTACCTCTATCGTACATCTTTAATTAAAATACTCCATCAATCCGTCAAATTTATTACGTCTGCTATTTACCCAATTATTTATTTTGGCAAAGTAAATAAATCAATATTTAATTATTATCCTTCATTTAAGATTTATTTATAACAAATAAACTACCTTTATTACATTATTTCTTCATTTACTTTAATTTTTAACTATATTTTAAAAAATACTCCAAACTATTTTTTTTTTTATTTTATCAATTTTTCAATATTCGTAATTTCCGTGTTGGATCCAAATGGGCTAATTTTGATAGGCGGTGCTATTTGGAAAAAATCAACACCATATGTGGAAAATTAGCAAACAACACATGCTTTCGTACTCGATTGTGTTATGTGAATGTATGTGTTGTTTGTTGATATTTAAAGTTGTATTGTATGAACATATATCATCATTACTTTGTTGAAATAATGTGTTGTGTAAATTATTATTATATGTTAGTTCGTACCCAGCTAACATAAGTTGTGTGCTGTCTATCATAATATTATGTATTATTTATCAACTACCATAACGCGACGTGTTTTCAGTATTGCATTGAATTATATAACTTAGCGCAGTAATTGCCGTCTAAAAATTGCTAACGAACTCTATTTCTCTCTAAATCAATGCAGAATGACTCAGCCACAGCCGAGTTACTCGGCCTACCGGGAAGCCAGCTACGGGCACGGCATTTTCGACATAAAGAACAGGACACACGCCTATTTCGGGTGGCATCGGAATCAGGATGGATATGCTGTGGAAGCAGACTCCCTGTGGTTCATTAATAGGTACTGGAAATCTAAATCTAAATCTAAATTTGATGGGGAAGAAAAAGGAAAAGGATCTGTAGCTGTGATTTAAGAAAGTAGTGATAATAAGAGGGATGGATAGATAATTAGAGACCATAGATGAATCGGATGATGTTGTTGTCTAGGACAATGTAGTATTTACTATATATAGAAAGAGTGTGTGTTGTGTGTACGATGTTTGGTTATATTTAGAAAGGTCTTGTCTTGAGTCTATATTTATAATTGTATCGGTGGGAATGTACCTTTTGCTTATGTTATCATCGTGCATCTATTATTGTATTTTTATTTTTTTTTTATTTCTTTTAGTTATGAAAAAATATTCTGTCGGACACTTCGAAGGAGAAAATTGAAAAATTTTGGACATCTTTTTTTTAAAGTTTGGATTTGGAATTTGGATTCAAGTTGAATAAAAATAGTATTTGAATGTATTAAATAAAAATTATGTATTTAATTTAATGGTTTTTAGAGAAAAATTTTAAGTAATAATGCGAAATAATTTCAGACTAGAAGAAATAAAGCTGATGAATGAAGTTTTGCAAATTTTTGTTGTTATTATTATTTTTTTTAAGTATTATTTTGTGTTGAAGTTTATAAGATGAAAATTTGTGTTAAAATGTAAGTTTTACACCCTCTGTCCCACGTACCATATCCACGTTGTCGTTGTTTCTGTCCGTCCCACATACTATGTCACTTTCCTTTTTTGAAAAATGATTACACACTTTAATCTCATTTTAAACTTTTTAAATTTTTTTAAAAAATTTTAATTAAATTAATTAGTTATCTTAATTTTAAATTATAATTATTTATATTATTTTAACTAATATATTCTTAATTATCTACTCGTTACACCCCTTCTAAAATATCTCTACATGAGATAGTATTTTAAAGTTCCTCACTTGTGTTGATATATTTTATATCAAGTTATTGCTATTTATATTTAAAATTCTGCAAAATTTGATTCAACTAACCAACACAAAAACTTACAAAATAAGAAACAAATGTCACAAAACCATCATTCTAACTCAACATTAATTTCAAATTAGTATAACTGTGACCCTTTATATAGGAAATATAAAATTATAAATAGAGAATTTTAAATTTCAAAAATATAATAATTGTACATTTGCTACAACTTTTATTGTATCCATGAGATTATATCTTTTTTCTGCAGCTTTCATTCTATTAACATAGTTTTGTTTGTTAAAATATTTGTAAAAATCATTAAAAAAAAAATCAAAATTTTACTTATTCTCTAAAATATACATTTCAATAAAAATAAACTTTTGTTATGTCTATAAAATTAGATCTTTTTATACACCTTTTATTTTTTTAATTTTTTTATGGTTTTTATTATGTATAAATAATTATAGAAATAAAGAGTGTATGCAATATATTAATATTTTTTGAGAAATATGTTAAAAAAATTTGTTGGGAAAAAAAAAATAATCTGTTACCATGTCTAACATAATTCTTCAATGAAACTATTCTTTTTATCTTATTAATTTTTTATTGTTTTTATTTTGTGTTATATAATTATATTGATGAATACCCATAAAAAAATATATCAAAATTATACTTATTCCGTAAAATTGGATGTAAAAATACAAAAATAGTATTCTCCAATAAAAATAAACTTTTATTATGTTCATAAAATTAGAATTTGTGCAGCTAAACTATTCACTTTATTTTGTCTAACAAAATTATACTTTCTCTGTCCCACATTATATGTCCCTATTTTCTATTTTCGTCCGTCTCACGTAACTTGTCCTTTCTATTTTTGGAAATATAATTATACACTTTAATCGCATTTTAAATTTTAAATTTTATAATTTTTTTAATTTTAGTTAAACTATTTAGTTATTTTAATCTTAATCTATAATTATTTTTACTAAATAATAATTATTTTTACTAATACACTTCTTAATTACCTACTAATTATATTTTCCCTAAATTCCCGTATCTACAGTAATAAGCCCAAAATATGTGGGACGGAGGGAGTATTTATTAGTGATAAATGACAGCTTCACATGCATCACTTTGCAAAGTATATATATGACACATACAAATTGTGTAGGTGGTGAAACTCGAACATATAACACATTCCATATAACATATTCCAACTCTACTAACATATTCCTACTATCATACTCCCTCCGTTCTACGTATTATGGGTGTAGATACGAGAATTTAGGTAAAGTGTAATTAGTAAGTAATTAAGAAGTATATTAGTAAAAATAATTATCGTATAATAAAAATAATTATGGATTAAGATTAAGATAACTAAATAGTTTAATTAAGATTAAAAAAATTATAAAATTTAAAATTTAAAATGAGATTAAAGTGTATAATTATATTTCCAAAAAATAAATGGACAAATTATGTGGGACGAAGGGAGTATTAAATATTTGTCCAACCTAAAAGCTTAATATTCAAATGATACAAATCACTTATATATATATATTACTTGAGTTAACCAACAATTAAATACTTGTAAAAACATAAAAGACACAAACAAAAAAAAGCAAAAAAAAAAAAAAAAAAAACCAATCAAAGTTACACTTATTCTGTAAAATTGTATATAAAAATACAAAAATAAGATTTTCTGCAATTTTTATCCTAATAAACTCTCTGCAGTTTTTGTCTTGTCTAACTTAAATTTCTGTTTATTTTTTGCATGCAGCTTTTATTTTACCTAAAAATTATTCCTTCCTTTCAAATTGCACATTAAAAAAAACATCAAAATTGAACTTTTCTCTAAAATTCCAAATCATATTTATGAAAATTTTATCTACTCACATTATCATATTACACACAAAACAAAACAAAAAAAAATGAAAACTATATTAAATATATATTATGTATATTGATAACTTATATTTGTTAAATTGCATGTAACAGTTATCAAATTATAAATTGCACATATAAATATAAATATATGTATATATCAAAATTACAATAAAACTGTACTTTTTAGGATTGAACATAAATCAACAAAAATCACTGTGGTGTAAAGATTATAAATTTAACTTTTATTTGAATAGTAAATACTTAAAAAAATAGAGTTTATAAATTTATGCAGTATAAAAAATATATATACATACTTATATATATATTAAATATTTATTTATATCTCACATTCTTGATTCATATTAAACTCATTTGACTCCTACTCTTTCACCTCTATCAAAATTTATAACCAAAAAATAAAAAGCAAAGAATTAAGTAACAAAAAAGTTAAAAGTAATTGCATATATCAGACATGTATTATACATACATACACACCATTATATTCTTTTTCTACATGTCCAGCTTATAACACTCCGTACACTGTACAAACACTGCATCCACACAATAATTATAATACGTATATACAAAGCAATACTACTACTAATAATAATAATAATAGACAAACATATACTACAAAGTATTAATTAATTAATTAATTAATTAATCAAGATTATAATATTATTTAATTCTAAAATTTAATTAATTAATAGAATTAAAGAGAGAAAACGGGACGCCATTGCTGTCCAAATTGCAGCTCCCGAAAGCTCCCGGATCATGCACCACCTCCAACGATGTATCCTTCGCCGCCTCCGCCCACAGCTCCGAGTCATCCACCGCCGGCAGCTCCGCCACCGCCACACTCAAATCCACCCCGCCGCCGCCGCCAAACCACTGCACATTATCACTCATCTCCTCCCTCCCAAAACAATAATCCAAAATCGGCGCCAGGTCATCATCCCCACCGCCGACCACCATTTTCCCCGGCAACGGCGGCGGCGGCGGCGCCTGAGTCAACTGCAATTGATGACGGTGGTGGAGATGCGGCAGATTAAGCTTCGCGTCGGGGCCGTAGAACTTCCGGGCGGCGGCGTCGTAGGCTACGGCGGCGTCGTAGGATGTGTCGAACGTCCCCAGCCAGACACGTGTCCCGTTCGTGGGCTCCCGGATCTCGGCGACCCATTTCCCCCACGTGCGCTGCCGTACGCCTTTGTATGTGCACGTGGCGTTCTCCGGCCCGCCCTTTCCCCGCATGCACCCCTTTCTCGAACTCGCCCGCCGCCGCACCGCCGCCGCCGCCGCCGACTTCTTCTCCTCCTCCGCCATTGATTAATTTTTTATTGCAATTGGCACCACCACTATATGTATATTTGGGGGGGTGAAGAAATTGTAGAAGGGGGGATTAATTAATAGAGGGGTAGGAGGGACACGTGTCGAGATGAGAGGAAACGGCATTGCTACTTGGCATGGCAAAAGGTGGAGCTTTTTACACACAATCGAAGCTGGGAGGAAGACGACGATCGTCTTTTCTTAATTTCATCAATGTTTGTATGTAATGTATGTATGTGTGTATGTGTGTGTAATTAATGCTAGGAGTGAGTCGTCGTCATTGTGACATCACGCTCCATGGATAATAAAGAAGGAGAAGAAGAAGAAAGAAGAATTCAGAATGGACTTCTTTCCATTTATTTTTTTTAAATTTTTTTAAGGTATAATTTCTTATGTAAGTGCAATGAATCGACTTCATTTTTCATTTTGTTTCGATATCCATTGTCTCCCAAAAATCAAGACAATAGCCACTTTTGTCGGGGCTGTAACCCATAATCAATAATAGTAATATATATATATACATGCATGGCCCACAAAATCAGTATTTGTTATGCATTTTCTTATACCAAAAATGGCATCTTCACAGTAATGTCGATGGAGCCTAATTTGTTTGAAAAATACAACTCAATTAATCCCATTACTTTTTAAGTCCTTTTAAGTTCTTATATATATATATATATATATATAAGTCATTAGAGAACTGATTTAAGACTAGTCTTTAACACATGAACAAATCAATATGCATTGCACAATATATGCTCACTGTCATGAATTTTATCATTTTTTATTTTATTCCTTTGTAATAACGTGAGAATCCGCAGCTAAATCCGACAAAAATCCAGAAGCATCAAAATATCATAAATTTGAACTCATAATCACATGGTCGCAGTCGCAACCTTAGTGGAATGTGTAGTTTATGAAAAACCAAACAAATTGTCAAAGATGAAACTTGTATTATATCATCAAAATAAAATAACAAACACAACTTTCTGAATATAGTTGAAATTTTTAAGCCTTCAAAGTTGCACAAATGAGAAATGGTCTTAGAAGACTGCATCAAAGGCGAATGCCGATCCACGATGACATCATAGTTTCGTAATACTTCACCGTAATCCAGCGTCATCTCGAAGAGTACGTAAGGCTGCTCTGATTTCTTCTAGCATTTCATCGACCCTTAAACCTTTTCTGCATATCGATAGGTTATACTAAGACAACGAAATGTAATAAAAATAGTCGATAATATTAAAAACTAACTATATGTTCTTTTTGAATTTTTTTCAGTATTTTCACTACTGAAACATACGATTCCCAATAAATATGCATTTCTTATAGAAAATATATCACACCCAACAACTATTTTATCTGAAAACAACAAAAACCAAAGCAAACCACGGAAAACACAGAAACAAATCCATATTATTTCAAAAAATTGCTTCTTACAGATGAATAACTACAAAAACTAAACTTAATTTTGTGCCATAACATCTAAGACATTCACTTGTAATGCATGCCTTCAACATCTCATAAATTTTCTTCAACAATTCAAGAAATAATTTATAGTTCTTCGTTAAGTAGAATCCATTCGACACAAATGCCAGGAAATGCATTAGGTTGATATGCAACAAGAAACAGAACAATTGAAGAAACTTACAGTACACTGACGCCAACAACGGCAAGGGGCCGTGGATATTCTTCAATGTCCTTCACCTTTCTCTCATCATCACGACTATCAGCTTCATCATCAACAACACTTTCCGAAGAAGAAGAAGCAATTTCAGGGTGGGTACTAATCCGAAATTCTGATGTCTTATCAAGACCGATTCTCCATATATCTGCCGTTAAACTTGCAAGTCTTTCCATTGCCTGCAGTGTCGATAGCTATCTTTACAACTTTTCCGTAAATGACAGTGCAATAGGCAATCTATAATTTTAAAACTGCACTTACATCATTTCCGTAAATGGAAGTTGAATGTGTACCTGAGGTATGTCGATCTTATTCAGAACAACAATATATGGCCGCTCAAGGTAATCAGGGTTATACATTCGCAGTTCCTGCAACATTGATGGCCACTAAGTTCCTGTCGATATAAAAAGCCGACATTAACCCATACAATCTCTCCTCGATTGGGTATACTAGTTTACCTCTTTTACAGTCCTGTAGTCGCGCACTGGATCCTCTGCAGCTGCATCGACAACATGCACCAACAACCTTGTCCTCCTCAAATGCCTTAAAAAGTTGCGACCAAGACCCTACAAAAATTAGAATAGAATAGACATAATACATAACGTGTTGATTTCAGGCCCCAACTGCATTATCACAATTTTGTAGACTTCCTAGAGACAACAACAGAATAATTTTCGGTTACTAAACCCGATCAACATAGAATACCTTTCCAAGATGAGCACCTTCAATGAGGCCAGGCAAATCTGCTAGGGTCACCTCGGATGCAAACTGCCCCGGCCCTAAGCTGGGATCACCATCTAAACGTCCAAGATTAGGCATCAAGGTTGTAAACGGATAGTCAGCTATATCAGGTTTCGCAAGGGTTATGGCTGCCAAAAGGGTAGATTTTCCAGCATTTGGGAGCCCCTGAAAATTTTGAAATGCAAATTCTCTGAATCTATTGACAACAAAACTCAAATTTCTTATCACTTGTAGCATTACGAAACTTCAATGAATGTTAAAGGCAGGAGAAAAGATGGGAGCCGCAACAAATTTATGTCTAAAAGAAAATGGAAATAAAATAGAAACACTGTGGATTTAACTCCCTATGTTCATAATAAAGAAATTCTCATTTGTGTATTATATATATATAGACAACTCAGCACATTTTGCTATCTGTTATCCAAAAACGTGATACTTACAACAAGACCAACGTCCGCAACAACTCTCAGAATCAATTGAAGTCTGACCTCTTCTCCAGGCTGACCAAGAATTAAAACCTGCAACGTGCTGTGTTCAACACAAACTCTCCCAGTGCAACTTCTGAGGAAAACGTTTAAGCCAATCTAGTTTTACATTAAAGGCCAAACGAACATCATTATTTACCTTGTCACTTTCATCCTTCATTACATTGGTTGTTAAAGACATCATTTTTTTCCTCTTGTGCTCAGGCATTTCCAACAAGCTAATCTGGCAAGGCCAAAAATAAAAGAGCACAGATAAATTCTTTGTAAGGAAGACAAGAGCACAGTAAACACAAAATCAGTATAGGCACTCACATGTAGCTAGCAAAAGATGAATGCAATCAAAAGATACTACTTCCAATAACCGTATGGCCCCTTTATAAGATAATTTTCCTCTAAATGAGAACAAGAATGCATCTGGTTATGATCGAGAAGACAGATCCTTACCCCTCCACGTCCACCTCTTGCAACAGTAACTTCGTCACCAGGTTGAGCTAAATCGGCAAGAAGCTTCCCTCTTTTCTGTTTAACAACAGTACCTGCCAAAGGTACTCATTTAAGAATAAAAGAAATCGGCCAATGAGTTATAAACTTGATAGATCTTATTACTACATTAGCGAATATATACACACATATATAAGTCACATTAAGGATCAAAGCAAGAGTTATATATTCATTTTCAACCAATTATTCAATGATCTAGAAACCCAACGGATACTAAACAGAGTGAACCAACCGAGAGGCACAGGAATACGCAATGCCGGAGCATCAAGTCCACTACACAATTGAGAAGACAAAACACCCATAGCATCAACATTTCCACCACGCTTTGCAGCATATCGAGCCTTCTTGTGGAATTCCAACAAGGTGTCCTCGCTTTCATCTGCATAAAGTATGACATCACCACCATGTCCACCCACAGGGAGTATCAGAGAACCATCAAAGTCCCTTTTATAAGAACTCTTCTTCTTTACTTTCTCCTTTGTAGATTTCCCTTGGGACGGCAGGCTAAGAACAGCACCATGACCTCCATCTCCAGCGCGGACAGTAATAAGAACCTCGTCAAAGTACTTATGGCGTTCCTTCACCAACGTTTCGGGAGTTGGGGATGGAAGACTTTTCACTTTAGCAAGCACATTCCTTAGTTTAATGCACTTGTAGAACTGTCTTGCAGTACATTTCCTACTTTTTCTGTTCAAATATTCCAAATTAGGATATGTACAACAGAATTAAACTACAAATTTACCTTGTATGGTAATTAGGTCACAAACACATTCTCAATTTACAGGCAAAGAGGCGCAACACATCTACAACTCTTGCAATTGTTCACACAATGAAATACCTAAAAACAAATTCAAAGATGTTTATCGCCATCTCCGCAAAAAAAACTCATGCATAGCAAGATAAAGCATTCACCGGGCAATCAAGGCAGTCCACAATTTCAAATTAAGCAAATAAAATTCCAACACTATCACGAACACAGTATGGGGAAGGAAACTATCATCGTTTGTAAACTTGCCATAATCAATAGAAGACACAATCATACTTTTATTCTCCATCCCTAAGCAAGTGAGAGGAAAAGCTCAGTGCTCCGGTAGGTATTAAAAAAGAAGCGAGAACGTACCCTCCATTGGTGAAAACAGAGAGGGAAGAAGACGACCATGAAATTTTATCAGAAGAGGAGCAGGGAATCGCAGCTGAACCGTGGTGAGGAACCCGACACTGCATCTCTCTTTTCTCAATTGTCAACGAAACAAGAAAGCTTCCATTGATAACCTTCGTTTTTTCTTTAGAGCAAAGTTAGCAGTCTTTAGAACTGAAACAATTGTTTTTATTATTTATCTTTTATATTAAACCGAAATTCATCATTTATTTAAAACTTTCGGCTGCTTTATTCAACAAATTTTTTTTAACATATGTTTTTTTATAAAAAAATATATTACTTCCCTCCGCCCATGTATTTTAGTCTATAAAAGAGAATTTAAATAATGTATATATAATTAAATAATTTAATAAAAATTATAAAATTTAAAATTTAAAATATGATTAAAAATGTATAATCATATTTCTCGTGAGATGATCAAAATAAAAAATTTGGACAAATATACTTAGACAGAGAGAATAATATACTAGATATATTTATTATTTTTATATTTTTATATTATATATAATTCCTTATAACAATTTTTTTAAAATATTAATATTAATATATTAACACAAAAATATTTTTATATTTTTTACATATTTTTTAAAAATATTTATATATCACACATATTCATTATTTTTATATTTTCTACACAATTTTTTTCTATAATTCACGATCAAAAAATACTCTTTCAAATTATTTCACTAAACAAAAATACAACATTTTTTCTTTTTTTTGGGTTGGTTATGTTATGTAATAAGACTCTTTCGTGTCAATTAAAATAATAATATTTAATTAAATCAAAAGAAATACTCTTTCAAATTATTTGACCGAACAAACAAACCAATATTCCGGCTGGTTATGTTATGTAATACTCTTTCGTCTCAGTTTAAATAATAATATTTAATTAAATAATAATAAATTATGATTTATATAAGTATATTCACTTAAAATATTTTTTAATAATATGTTTACAGTTATTCATACTTTCAACTATAAATATTAAATAAATAGTTGAAGTGGGTCAAAATCTATGGGCCTATATTAAAGTTTAGACAGGGCCCAGTCCATGGGCCTGTGCCCAAACTTGCGCAAGCCATTGAATATCTTGAATCTGTACCGCGTACGCGTCTAGATACACTATAAACACCGATTTAAAAATAAAAATAAAAATTATAGGTTTAATTTTCATTCTTTTATATTTTGGTAATAATAACAATTACACGCTACTAATAATAATAAAAGCTTTTTTGTGCTCCTCAGGCCAAAATTTTCATCCACTAGTACTGGCAACGTGTCTCTCAGAGTCGTCATTTCATCGTTCAATCCTCACCGTCGTGCATAATATCCGGCCCTCAGGTATACACGTCGTCGCTCACCTACAATTTCCATCTGTTGTTAATCGCAATTCCATACAGACGGCGACGTTTTCATTGACTTGAGTGATTTTGCAGGTATGGCTTCTGAAGAAGGACAGGTGATCGCTGTTCACTCCGTCGATCAGTGGAAGGAAGCGTTCCAGAAGGGCGTCGAATCTAAGAAACTCGTATGTGGTTCATTTCTCATGCTCTTTAACGACTTTGGGGGTGAATAAGGGAATTATAGATTGTTTTCGATTTATCGTTTTGGATTTGAATGGTTAATGTTTCGATTTGTCGTCTTTTGGTTCCACCGGATCGTTTTGTTTATATATTTGAATGATCGAGTTTTTAGATTAATCTAAGATATTATAGCTGATAAATTTCTACCTGGAAACGTGCAGAATGCAGAGGAAGGATACCTCGCGCGTATTGTGTTCAAATGTGAATAGATCGTATAGAAAAACGAGAAATTAAGGACCTAAGCATAACCATGGAGATTAGGATCCATTAATTTTCTTGTAGATGCTGTTTGTCCTCAAAGTTGCTGTTGATAAGTAGAAAATTAGGGTTTCGTTGGCTTTTATACAGAAAAGGAATAAAGAAATGCTATGTATATTAACTCCTTGCGTAAGTGTGTGTTTGGTTATGTTTTTATTTTGTTTTGGAATTTGAAATCGTTTAGATGAAAATTGGTGTTGGATGTGATAATTTGAAAGGAAAATATGTGATATCTTTTACAATAGAAAATGAAAAACCCTCTTAGATTGAATAGTATGAGAACGAAGACAAACACACACATAAACAAAGTGAAGTTTTGGTGAACACTCAAGGACTACATATTGCAATTTCGACTCGTACATTCTTATATTAATCCTTTATATATATATGTGTGTGTGTGTGTGTGTGTGTGTGTATTTATACATTCTATGACAAATTTCTTGAGAGTTAGTGAAAATGGTTGTTCTTCAGCTATGTTTCTAAACAAAAACTTATATGCCAGGTTATCATTGATTTCACAGCATCATGGTGTGGACCATGCCGCATAATCGGCCCTGTTTTTGCTGAACTAGCCAAGAAAATGCCTGCTGTTACATTCTTGAAAGTTGATGTTGATGAACTCAAGGTGACCACACATCCTTGCAATGGCTGTACCACGTTGTTCTCTATCTATATTGTGCTGAATTATAATTTTATTACATTTTATAATTCAACCTGACAATACATTAAATTATGATAGACAACCCAAGATATGACAGATAGACAACATACAACTTATGTTATATAATTATATGACACAAATACAGCACAATAGTCTACAACACATACTATTATGCATGATATTGATTTTCCTCAATCAGCACCGTAATAAGTCCCATACACGTGTATATTCTCTGTAAAATTATAAAAACTATTTTACCAACTAGGCATCTATTTCTGCAGACTGTTGCCGAAGAATACAATGTTGAGGCTATGCCGACATTTGTCTTCCTCAAAGGAGGAATAGTTGTGGACAGGTTTTCCGGGGCAGCGAAGGACCTGTTGCAGCAGAAGGTTGCGCAGCACGCTGCTGCTTGAGGTTTCCAAAGATAAGATGCTATACTTTTATGGTTTCCATAAATCACAGTGGTTATACTCACTGTGCCAGTAAACCATATTTCTTTAAGCCTTCTATGAAGATTTATGCCTCCTTATATGTTCAACTTTATCTTTGGATGAAATTTCTTTCTTAGCACTTTATATTGCCATGTTTACTTGAATGATTGTTTTTACATGAATAGATTTGGAAGATAGTGCAAGAAGAACATAATATGAATCTATTTTCTTCAATTTTGTGTTTTATTCTGAGATAAAGATACAACAAATTCTTGCCTGAAATTTCTATACTTGTATTAGCACTTCTAACATTTGACTATGTATCTTTTTAACTTATTGTTGTGGTAGGCAAATGGCTTCAACTGATAGTTTCTTCAAAACATTAGGACAAGGATCTGCCCCAAAGTATCGATTTGTTACTTCGATTCTGCAACTTTTCTTCCCCACACACATCTGTCACATAAATAAACACCATCAGTATATCTAGATGCAGATTGAAAATTTGAAACAGGTGCAGAGAAACTACTGTAAAGAAAGACTTTACCTTTTCGACGATGGCGTGGGAGCTCTCGGCATGACAGCGTCCCTGTTTAAAGCTCCCGCAAGTTCCCATCGGAGTCCCGAAGCTTGCAAACTTGATTGCCGAGATAGCTTGGCCCATTGCGCATCGAAGATGAACCCTAGCCTCGTGAGCCATTTTCTGCGTACCAGTGGCGTCGATCTTGTAATTAGCTACCGACGGGTGGTGCTCGAATGCGTTTGCGCAAATGCTCGTTGTCGTTCTCTTAACCAGCGCGATCCTTGAGGTGTCTCCGCCGAGCTCTTCCAAGACTACGATGAGGTTTCGCGTTGGCTGCAGCCATGATCTCGGAACATGGTACCTGAGGCAATTATCCGAGGACTTGTAAGTGCGATATTTTTGTCTCGTCGTGATTTTGTTGTGTGTAAGAAGCTTACCATTGTTGTGTCGGTTTGCTGCAGCCAGCCTCGCAAGTTGGGGTTCGGTATGTTCCTGCGTAGGCGCAAGTGCTGCAGTTCCCTTGGGCGTATACTGTCCAATACCTCCCGATGGTTTGTCCATTGATCCAGATTTGACCTTTCCCCATGCTTCCCATGTCTAGCGCCAACGGCTCGTCTCCGCCCGGCGCGTCGAAATATGCCTTATACCACCTCATTTGCTGTCGGGTTTGGGCAACGGCTGACACTTTTGTCCATTCGACGGAGGAAACTTTGTCTGGAGAAACCAAATTCAGGCTTTCACCTTTTAATCCGACCTATACGAAGAAGATGAAGTTACGGCATGGAATGTCGATGGAGAATGGCGAGCATAAAATCATCTAGACCTTGTAAGACCACATCTGTCTTGACAAGTCTCGTTTCCCTCGATCTAGCCCGTAGAGCGCGACTTGCCCGACTCCCACATTCCAGTTCTCGAAATGGACTCCAATGTTCTTCATTTCGACAGCGAAAATCAAAATCATTTTCTCGTGAGAAAATAGTCTTGAAACCGAAATCGGAGTGTTCGATAGTAACTAACCGGTAGTCCCATCGCTACGCTGAGCAGGGAGATCGTATTCGTTCCAGCTTGCAAATCCACCGGTCCCGTGAATGTAAAGGCCATCTTTTTCCTCGTCCCGTAGGCCGATCCTGTGAATAACTTAGATTGATTCATCGTCGTTTTGATCTAAGATTATATCAAGATGTCTTACCCGCAAGGCGACCGTTGACAAAGACATGCACTGCATTGCCTCTAGAGTTCACAGTCAGAGTCGGTTTCTTTCCCCCTCGTAGAAATGATTCCGATGAACCTATCTGAACGCTGGATTGAGAAAAAAAATGTACGAGATTATGTCAAAAGACACATTTGGACGCCTAATTCATACATAGAAGCCGGTGGACAGATCTGTATACTTACCGAGATGAATACCACAGGTAATCGCTGCTATCCCGGGTGATATTTTTTTGCTCGAGAAGTCCGGAAGCTGCAAAAGCATTGTCCTCTAGCAAAGTTATATCCTCGTTGTACGTCTCCCATGATTGAAATTGCGAATTCGCGGGCACCATCTGAACTTGTGAGGTTTGAACGCCGACCTGGAAATCAAGAGGAAACCTGTATATCAGAAAGAAAGCACAAAGATCGACAACTAGTCGGATCTTCCCATGATAGACTTTTACGAACATACCTTTGCGGTGTTGAACACTACGTTCTTGCAGTCTGGAAGTATACTAGTCGACCAAGGCGGTAAATCATAGTGCATGTCGTTGAACACCACTCTCGCAGATGAATTGCCGTCTAAGTTGGAAAGAAATGCGGCGCAATGTCCTTGGCTGGTGGAGAATACGTAAGCCTGGAAACAACGACAATCTTTTATCAACAATTTCGATACGAGCAAAAGGACAATGCGCAAGAGAGTCTAACCTTTTGGGACGTTCCTAGCGACGTTATGGTCGGATTGGATGAGGTCAATGCTTGCTCACAGAGCTTAATGGCCTTGTGGAGTTCTTTCAAGTGACTGAACTTCGGCTCCCTGATTAAACCTAAACATCGAACATCGAATAATAAAATGCGCATGTCAAGTGGAATTATACGTTGTTATTAGCTTTCATACCGTATTCATCAATCGGGGCATCATAGTCGTAGCTGGTTGTAATAAAGGGTCCTCCGGCAGTTCGCCCGAAATTAGTGCCTCCATGAAACTGTTAGATGTTCGCCAAACTCAAAGATCCGATCACCACAGAAGATTTTAGTCTTACGACGAAGAAAGTAGCTTACCATGTAATAGTTTATATACGAACCACCAGTCTGCACAAATCGAGCGACTGCAAATGCAAGATCCTGAACGGGACGTTGATATATCGGGCCCCCATATTCGGTAAACCTGATCAACAAAAGGATAAGCAACTCGAGCATAGAAATCTTGTGCTCTCGTGCTGCGGAAAATAGAAATAGAAATGAGAAATGAGGTAAAGTTTTTGAGTACCAGCCGGTCCAAGCTTCGGTCCACATAGTCGGCTTGTAAGGCTTGTTCGGCGAAAAATAGTCACAGTATAACCCATTGCAAGTATTGATCTGTTGCAAATGTTAAAAGTAGCATTTATACAAGGTTTGAAATTCTCCGTGCGACTAATTCCCGGGAGTGAATAAAAGCTAAAGCAACGGTAACAAAACAATTAAAACGTGAATGAGGTACGCACTACAGGATCAGGGGCCGCGTCATCCTTGCACATGACCCATGGAACGCCGGTATCCAATCCGACCGCCATTTTTGCAGCCCAATTCATGTAAGAATCGCCGGCCTGTCCGAGAGCAATCCTCGGTGCCCCAAATTCATTTTCAACCTGTCGAATAAGAGTCAAAATACATTGCACGATTGAATCTTGATGTTGATCGAGACCAGAGCTCGCGATGCACGTACCTGAGATATTATAACAGGGCCCCCCTGTGAGGCAAACAGATTTTCACTTTTTAACATGCCGACAATTTTCTGCATAAACTGCTGCATTGCCGCCTATTCTCCATTGTCCCGAACAGATTCAAACAATCAAACTCACAATGCTAATAATAGTAAAGTTCACTAAACCAAATGTAATGACAATGAATGCAAGAATGCATATAAGCAACCTTGAAGGGCTCATTTTCGGTCCTGAAGCTAATCCCCGGCACGTATTTTAGCCACACCGGGAAACCTCTGCATTGAAATTGAAAATCCTAAGATAAACTTCACTCTCAATGAACACAATAGATCCAAATCCAGCCAAAACTAAAAAATGTGATCAAGTGATTCCTATAATTATCTACAAATCACACACAACACAAATTAATTGATTCTTGGGCAATGATATTCGACTGCATTACCCGAAATTCCATTAAATAACTCCAAATCAAGCCTAAAACTAAACAATGTGATCAAGTGATGCCTATAATCATCTACAAATTACACACAACACAAAATAATCCATCATTAGGCGATGATATTCAACTGCATTACCCGAAATTCCATTCAGCACAAACGTAAGGCCCGATTCGAAGAGTAACATAGAGCCCTACTTTCTGCACAGTCTTGATGAATCTCACAAGATCATATCTCCCTTCAAAATTGTACTACAACATAAAAAAGGAAGAACACAAATCAGACATCCAATCTTCATTCTCGAGACATGAACAATATCGATTAACAACAAATAAACATACAACAAGAACAAAATCATGTTAAGATTACAAAAAAAAAAAAAAAAGGATTACATTGCCGGGAGAAGGTTCGTGTCCATTCCAGAACACATAAGTATCAATAACATCCAATCCGCCATTCTTAGCCTTCACTATGAGATCCTCCCACATCTGCAAACACAGGATTTAAAAAACTCACTCAATTCCAATCCAAATCACAATCGAATACAATCACAAATAGAGATGATAAATGATTTAAGAATCGAAGTATTATTACTTCTGGAGTGCTTCTGGGGTAATGTATGGAGCCAGACAGCAGGATTTTTCTCTGGCCGTCCACGATGATTCCCTTCCTATCGTAGGTAACAGTTTCTCCGTCAATCAATCCACACTCCAATCCCAATGAAACTAAGAACAGCACAACCGAAATGGAAATCCAAGTGCTTCCCATACTGGTGTTGAACTTTACTCCAAAAACAATTAAAAATTAGTAAAATTGAAGTTTGGTGGAGAAGGAGGGAAGCGGTGAGATTTGGGAATTCGGTGGAGGGAGGGACAGAAGAGAATCAGCGAAATTTATGAAGTGGTGCTGTTTAATAAATGCTGAAGGCAACAGCTGCAGCAGCGCAGCTTTCTTTTGTTGTTCCAATTATTTTGTTCGATAAATTAGGCAATGTAGTGTGTTTGTTTTGACGATTTTGGAAAAAGTGTGATTTGAGTTTGGTATGAAAATAACGTTTGATGTGATATTTTGTGAACAGAAAAAATGTATTTTTTTCGAAGAACGCAGAGATCAAATAGTAAAATTTTAAAAAATTGACTAAAGAAACGTACCCGATTTTTGGGATATCAAAATTTAAAAAAAAAAGTAAAAATTAACATTGATTCGATATTTTATTAAAAATATATATATATTTAATGTAATGGTTTTTTTAAAAAAAAATAAATAGCATCAAATAATTGAAAGTATATTGTCTAGACAAAACTAAAATTTTGGTGAATATTTTTATTTTATCAAGATTTTGAATTTATATTTTTAGATAAATATTTTTATATATGTATATTAATTTTTTTTCTCATATCTTTTTTTATTTTTTAAGAAAATAATCATCAAAATATTTACAACATATTATTACACATACATATACATTACTATAGAATTACTATTTAAAAGTCAAACAACAAAATTGTAACTCTTACACAATTCGAATTAGTAAAAAATGATTGAGAAGAATAAACTATTTTTTTCCAACAAAATTATCGATTATCATTTTCGATTGATTTACGTAAAAAAAAACTGTTATACTCCATATTTTATTTATAGTTTTTATTTCGGTTCTTTTTAGTATTTTGTTTACGCAACACACTTTTATTTATTGGATATTATTTCAATTTTTTAAAAAATATCACAATAAATATATTTTTTTCTCACAAAACAAATCAAATATTAATTTTATTTTTTTTTCAAGCTTTCAAATTTCTAAAAACCTTCCAAAATATCTATCTAAACAAACCATATTTTTTATTTTTTAAAAGTAATTATATACTTTCTCCGTCTTATATCTATATATCTATTTATTTTTTCACGAAGTTTTTAAAATATTAGTAATATATTGCGATAAAGTAGAAATAAAGGTAAAAAGACTAAATTACCTGATAATGGCATTTGTATAATATATTGTAAATTAAAAGGGTATATGTAATATTAAATAAATGATACAATTACGAAAATAAATAAATAAATACTTTATTATGGGACGGACCAAAATGAAAAAATAGATAAATTACGAAGGGATGGAGGGAGTATTTTAATTATATTTTAAATTTTATAATTTAAATTAAGTTACTTAATTATTTTAATTTTAATTTTAATTAATTATAATGTACACTATATAATAATTATTTTTATTAATACGTAATTTTAATTATTTATTAGTTATATTTTTAAAAAATTCTAGTGAAAGTATTGTGAAATTGTTTAATGAAATTATTGTGAAATGTGAAGTGGGAAATCATTTATGATTAGGATTGATTTCTTGCATTTAATGTTGAGTGTGCGTTTTATTGTGCCCTTTGACATCCTTCTTCGCCCCTTTTAAGTCATTTACGGTTGTTCTTCCTTATTTTTGACGATTTGTCTGGTTTCTATTTTTGTTTTACGTTTTTTATTTAAATAATCATTTCAATTTTGTTTAGTAGTACAAGTTTTGAATTTTTATTTTATTTTAAATAATACTAATAATAATAATAATAATAAATTAATTATTTAAAACTGTAATTTTTTAAAAATATACTCTCTCCGTCCCAAACATCGTGCAATATTTCATTTTTTGTTTGATCCAAACTCACTGCAAACATTTTCAAATTTAGAAATAATTAATACTCCCTCCGACGGAAAAGTTACACTAGCCGAACTAGAGAATATATTATATAAATTTTATTGTTATTATTATTTTTTATGACAATATCCAAAAATACACACTGGATAAACTCCGACCAAACTTAATATCCTCCGAATCAAAGACTTATTATAAATTGTGCGTAGAGTAGAGAGTATATTATATTGATTGTGCGTAGAGAGGTGGTGAGTTCGTAGTCACGTGACATGCTGTAAAGCTGAGCTATATAAATTGACTTTTTTGTGCGCTGTTATGTGCTGTTCATGGTGCAATGGTCACGTCACGTGGGCTTATCACGATACCATCATTATCAATTATTTTCTCTATCCATTTTAGATTGTACAGTAGTAATTGCTCCGATCGTCCCACATAATTTTTTTTATTTTTTTATTTTTGTCCGTTTCAGGTAGTTCATTCTTTTCTTTTTTAGAAAATTAATTATACATTTTAATTATATTTTAAAATTTTAATTTTAATTTTTTTTAATTTTAATTAAACTATTTTGTTATCTTAATCTATAATTATTTTTATTAAATAACAATTATTTTTGTTAATTATTTAGTAATTATACTTTACCTAAATTCTAGTGTCTATAGTAATACACCCATACGTAAAGCTTTATAAATAAATAAATAAAATTGAATAATATTGAACTATAGTATTCTCTTGTCTTTGAAACAAATATTTAAATATATATATTTTAATAAAAGTAAAAATATGTATGATAACTTAAAATAAGAAATAAATATAGATTTAGATTTGAGAAATAATATATTTTTTTATTATTTAAAATATCATATTTATATGCTATTTCACACGATCAAAACTAAATACAAAAGTAAATGCACACACCGAGAAATTAATTTAAAATAAAAATAATTAATAGTATTACTTTAAAACCATTAATTTAATTTAATTTAATTATACATGCATGTTTTAGGGAATTATATAAGAAATGTGTTGAGAGCAATTCTCGGATCTCTGCATGGAAATTAAAAATACATAAATTATATTAATAAGAATTTCAGTGCCAGTGGTCCATCCAATAATTATTTGATAGGAATATAATATACTTTATATCTCACTTAATTTATCGATTATTTTTATTTTTGTTAGTAGTTTGTCATTTTTTTTAAAATATAATTATACACTTTAATTTTATTTTAAATTTTATAATTTATAATATTTTTATTTGAATTAAACTATTTAGTCATCTTAATATTAATTTATAATTATTTTTATTAATATATTTTTTAATTATTAACTAATTACTCAATACTTAAAACTTTGTGTCTAATCTAAAATGTACAATTTAACTAAAATAAGTACTCTCTCAGTCTCAAACACCCTGCAACATTTTCTATTTTCTTCTTTGGTATGTTTCAAACATCCTACAATATTTCCAAAATAAGAAATAGTTATTTATACGTAATCTCTATCCTACATTTTATCCCCTCATATAATCCAAATAAAAAAAATAAAATATATATTTATCTCTCAATCACGTCACATAATTTGTAAATTATCTTACTTAATACTACCCACCTAAAAACTGGTGCAAAAAATAAATGTTGCACATTGTTTAGAGCGGATGGATTAATATATTAATGCAATATATATATATATATATATATATATTATTTCAAATTGAATTAAATAATTAATTTCTTTCGGAGCGCGACGGGGACCAGTGGGCAGTCGTTGATTGTGTTCAATTCTCCGTAGCTTCCACGCTTTTACGTTGTACACTGTCTACGATAATAAATTATTATTATTATTATATATATTGTGTCCGTTAAAATATTAATTAGGATTCATTAATACCGTATTTATTAGTTTTAATCTGAACATAAAATATAAGACCGCGGTTTATTGATTGGAAGAATATAACAAAGAGAATCTACCACATGATCTTGTGTGTTTGTTTATGGGATTTTATCAAAAATTAATATTTATCAATTTTTTATTTTTTTTTAAAATCAAATCAAACACTTATTTTTTATTTTTTTATATTATATTAAAAAATTATTTTTACATTCAAAATATTACATCAATCCGCGTATTAAGGGACAAAAGTGGGTTGTAGTCCACATTCATATGTATAAAATATATATAAAAAAAATGAAATAAACAAAAGAATATACTCCATCCGTCGCATATTTATATATCCATTTGTTTTTTTTCACAGAGTTTTAAAAATATTAGTATTATATTGGGATAAAGTATAAATAAAGGTAAAATACTAAATTAACCCTATCAATATTGTATGATATAAATGTAATAATATTTGTGTAATATATTGTAAATTGGAAGGGTATTTGTAATGTTATGTAGATAGTATAATTACCAAAAAAGAAAATGGATACTTTGTTATGAGACGGACCAAAATGGAAAAATAGATAAATTGTTAAGGGACGGAGGGAGTATAATTCAATTGTTTGATTTTTTTTTTCCTTTTAATGAAAATTGTACTCCATCTGTCCCAATACAATAGTCATGTTTACCATTTTTGTCCGTCCCAAACCAATAGTTTCATTTTCATAAATAACCATATAACCGTAACGCTACATTTATTTTTTTCATTATTATTATACAATTGTTACTACTTTTTACATTAATACACTAACAAGAGCAAAAAAGACTTTTATCCGTATTTTTTAACCACTACTAATATAATATAAATATTCCTTAAATAACCTAACCCTGGGACGGAGGGAGTACTTTTTTTCATTTCAAAGGATAGATATATACAAATATTTACAACATACAACACCATATATATAGTTACTAATATTGTTGTATTTAATTATTTTGTAATAAAATAGAAATAAAATATATTATTTTATAAATAAAAAATATTTTGTAAATTTTTAAAATTTGTCCCCCTCGAATTTTTTCATAGTTTTAACATCCAACACCTATTTATATCACATAATACAACTATTTAAATTTAATTTTTTTTTTTACTATTTAAAACTTACACTGCAAAAAAAAATCATTTTTGTAATAAAACTTTTTTTTTTGTCTCTAAATCTACTTTTTTCGTTACTAATGACATTAGAGACGGAATTAGGAACATAATTACGTTAGCTACGTGAATTTTAAGGACGAAATTCCGTTACAAATGTATTATGTTTTTTTAAATGTTAACTCAAAATTCAAATCTCCCAAAGAAACACACTCATATAAACATAAATAGTATATATTGTGTTAAATAAATTTATATAATTGTATTACTTTTTTACTTTAAATTGTGTGAAATCAATTGTATATTGTATTATATCTGACTATTATATTTATTGTTTCTTCTATATTAATATAATATATATATAATACATAAATAGATAATACAATCTATATTAAAAAAACAATACAATTTATAATAAAAAAATAGTACAAGTATCTATCTTAAAGGGCAAATTAACCTCCAAAAATATAAACTTTAAAAACATAGTAATATTCCACAAAAGACATGCAATATTTGATTGTAGTACAAATTTACATATGTTAACATAACACACTATACTAATAGTTCATACGATACATGTTATAATTCATTTTAGCATTAAATTAGTATAAAATTAATTTTTTATTTTATTTTTTATAAACATAATGATGGGATTGTAAACTAGTACTATCCCTGGTGTGTAGATACGAGAATTTATGATAAGTATAATTAATAGATAATTAAGAATATATTTGTAAAAATAATTAACCTATAATAGAAATCATTATAAATTAAGATTAAGATAAAATTAATTAAATAAAAAATAATAATAATAATAATAATAATGCTTGGCACCAAGGGTTCTTTATTTAGGCCCAAATAATATCGACTGAAGTATTTTCCATAGCCCAAATATTTTCACGAGTTTATTGTTGTTATTTCATTCATTGGGGCCTTATTTGAGTTAAATTATTTAGTGGGCTCAATTATTCATAAATCTATACACAAGTTCATTTATTTATAAATAAATAATTTAAAATTAAGATAACCCATGGATTTAATTAAAATTTTAAAAATTATAAAAATTTATAAATTTAAAATAGAATAAAATGTATAATTTTTTTTAAAAAATTAATAGAATAAGTGAGATAAATGAAAATTAAAACGTGGACACGAAAAAGTGAGAAGTGAGACAGAAAGAGAGTAGTATATAAATATTAATGTAATATTTTAAATTTAAAATTAAAATTAAAATTTAATATAACAGAAATAAAATAAAATAAAATATAATAATTAAACAAATTAATGAGTAATAAAATACGATTTGAAGAACATTTAGACCCTACAATATTGTAACTGTAGATATAATTAATTCAACATTCTAAAAAAAAAACTCTTAGTATCCACAAAGAAAAGCAGGTCAAAGCTACTGGATGATCATTATCTGGTCACGTGACAACAGGCCACGTGGAACAATCCTCGCCGCACAAAGGATGAACAGATCGATTGTCCACCGTCAGATCCATAGAAAATCAATCCCAATTTCCTGAGAACCTTCGCCTTCACCTTTTTATTCAACCATATAAATAATATATTTAAAAATAAAAAAAAATAAATATAAATATAAAAATCGGTAATCCCCAAACCCAACTCCTGAAATCAACCCGAGCGCAGCGATCGGCGTCAATTCCACCAGACCAACGCCTTCGATTGCCCTTTCTCTCTCCCTCTCTACGATTTCCGATTCGAAGGCGCCATGACGACCTCTTCCGCTTCCTCACGCAAGGTACTTTCTCTGTGTGTTTGTTGAGATTTCTTGGAATTCTTTTGTTTTGGCAGATTTTGTATTACGTTTTTTGGTTTTGGTAATTGAATTGATTGAGTGATTTGTTTGCGGGGAAGACGTTGAGCAAGATCGCGTGCAATCGGCTGCAGAAAGAGCTGGTGGAGTGGCAGGTGAATCCGCCGGCGGGTTTTAAGCACAAAGTTACTGATAATCTTCAAAGGTTTTTGCTTTGTTGTGTTTCCCCCTTTTCTCCTCGGTGCAGTTGATTTGATTAAGATTTTCGAAAAATATTGATCCGTGGTTGTAATTTTGTACGGTAGATGGGTAATTGAAGTCAACGGTGCGGCGGGAACGCTTTACGCCGGCGAAACTTACGAGTTACAGGTCGACTTCCCTGAGCATTACCCCATGGAAGCGCCACAGGTCTCTCTCTTGTGTGTGTATATATATATATATTATCTTTAATTTACCACTTATGTTGCTTTGATGGTTTTTTTTTTTCCCTGAAAGATTGGTTTTGAATTACTTACTGTCGGTTTAGTTAGATTTCTATTTTTTGACTGATTGAATCTGATATCAGTAATCTGTGATTTTAATGATTGATTGCAGTTTTTGTATATTAGGATATGAATTTTGTCAATGTTTGAACAGGTTATATTTGTGCCTCCAGCACCACTCCATCCTCATATTTACAGCAATGGACATATATGTTTAGGTTAGTGTTTCCTTGACATACTGAATTTAGTTTATTTCTTGACATTTTTCGTGTTATCTGTTTGATTGTTTCGCTTTGTTATTCCCTGTTTTGAACTTTTGATTTGTGACATCGTTAGCAAACTGTTAATGTAGTAGACATACTGAATTAAGTTGATTTCTTATCGATTTGTGCTATTTGTTCCCTGTTTTGATTTGTGATATCTTTAGTGAACTGTTTATCTATGATAGCATATGGTTATCTTGTATCAATTGAATGGGGACATACTGAATTAGTTCATTTCTTATCAATTCGAGCTATCTGTTCGATTGTTCGCTTTGTTATTCCCTGTTTTGATTTGTGTCATTTTTAGCAAACTGTTTGTGCTATGATAGCACATGGTGATCTATTTCCAATGAATGGTGTTCAAACACTAGAAAAACATGGGCTTAAAATTGAATCCTATTTTTCTTGGTACTTGATTTTTGTTGGCATTTTAGTAATTGTTTAGTGTTTACGATATTTACTGCCTGAGCATTGAGAATAGATACCCGAAAATATATATTTTAAATGCAATCTAGTAGAAGTTAGGGATGAATTCAATCTTCTGATTCCTCCATTCCTTAATTGATTTGGTTAACAGTTGTAGGATCTGCAGTTGTATTAGGGAGGGTAATGCTTCTTAGTGTGTTTGATTTGTGTTTTGGATTGTGTGTCTAAATAGTGATTGGATATGGGAGTGATGTTTTGTGGGAGGAAATGAATTTTTTTAAATGAATCGGATGGATTGTATAGTAAAATAACTGAAAAGATAAAATGTAAAAGATAAAACAGAGTTTGAATTAACAATAATTGTAATTCATTTATGTGCAATAATTTGTTTTTTTTTTCCTGTTATTAAAGGCCTTTGTTCAACCTTTTCTCTGCTGCATCGAGCCTCCGTTCTTTAAGGAGCAAAAGCTTTTTTTCACTTTGTGCATGCTTTTCTACTGTATCGAGACCTCCATTCTTTCTTAATTGACTTGATAAGTTCGCTTTGTGCAAATTTTCTACGCATCGACTGTTTATTAGCAATATTCTACATGGAAAGAGATGTCAGGTTTCTATCTTTTATCAACATCTCATATCAAACCGTTATTATTATTATTTTTTTAACTAGTAATATACCTTATTTCCCCTAATCTATTAGGAGTTTGAACATGGGTTTTGCAATGAAGATGGCATATGAATTATGAAGCAATTATTTTATCTTCATACCTAGCCATATCGACTGTTGTTAATTCTTTGTATCCGTGTTGAAAGATAGTAATTTGAATCATTCTTGTGCAAGAATTTTTACTCTAATTTTACGTTTCCCTTGTATGAATTTGGTTCAACTTATTGAAAAATATTCGTCAGGCTAATACAATGCAATATATATATATCTTGTGTTCTCGCTTCCTCTCATCGTGTAGTCGTGAAAGTATTTGATCTCTGGTTGCTAACAGTAGCTATTCACTGAATAGTTCTTGTTATCATAGCATTTTCCGTTTTATTCGCAGATATCTTGTATGATTCGTGGTCTCCCGCCATGACTGTAAGCTCAATCTGCATCAGCATTCTCTCAATGCTATCGAGCTCCCCGGCAAAGGTTTGTCTCACTTCCGAACAAAATTCCATTTCTCTACATATTCGATTATTGGATTCATTCCAATGCTCCTGCCCTCTTCCACACCTGCAGCAACGTCCAGCCGACAACGATCGCTACGTGAAGAACTGCAAGAATGGGAGATCCCCCAAGGAGACAAGATGGTGGTTCCATGATGATAAAGTGTAATTACTGAATCTTGAAATTAATAAATCTGTAATTGGAGGGTGGGTGATGATATATGCCATCCCACCTCTGTTAACCTCCCAAGGGAAGAAGAAAGAAAGACCTGGTATAGTATTTTGCAAAATGCCCAAAAATTCTAGTATTAAAAAAAAAAAGGAAAAGAAAAAGATTTGACCTTTTTAATGGCTTTGTTCATTGATGTATCTACTATGAATTTCGAATTTCCATTGCTTGCAATCTTTATTATAATGCCATCATAATTTATTAAATATGATTTTGTCAATTTAAAAATATGAATTTTATTATAATATTATTAGCGAAATTGTATATCAATGATTGATTATTTAAAGATATTTAAATAATATTAATAAAATATCTATTTAGAAATTTTAAATAATTATCTATTTTTTTATTTTGAAATTTTAAATAATTTCCGTATTTTTTTATACTTAGAGATTTATGTAAATCACTAATATGCGAAACTGAAATGGGCAAAGTACGGTGATGTTGCGCCGCGGCTGTGAAATAGCGGTGGCGTTTTCGACCGCCGCGCCGCCGCTACGGCGGCGGACGCTGTATTGGCGGCGTTGTGCCATCACTTTCTTTCCTCAATCATTTACTTTCTCGGCACGTCCCCACGTAATAGTTCCAGTGCTTTCTTACTCGTCGGGTAATTCGGGAGATTCCTCTGACGGCGAGCGAATGGAAGAATTCACCTCCAAACAAGTAAACAAATCGAATCAATTAGTGTTTTATTCCTTCTCTTCGAAGTTAGTCATCGAAAAGGGGGGGAAAGAGGGGTGGGGTTGTGCAATTCGAATCTGACATATATTTCGTTTTTGTTCTCGAACTGAATTATTTGGAACTTGATGATGAATTCAAAGTTGGTTTCAAATGATGGGAATAGCTCATTGTTGCTTTCAAACACTAATTTACGCACGCAGGAATCGAATAGTTTAACTTAATGTGATCCAAAATGTGTACATTTCTCTCTCTGAGTTTTTGAAGATTATGAATTGTAATATGAGCAAATTGTTAATTATCACCGAGAGGATGCAGCTGTTGTTTATCCGCTGAAGTTTAGAACATAGCCATATTAAGAAGCTTTTATATCTGTTTATGTATATTGTTCTTCAGGGTCCTTTAAAACCAGGCTTGTATCTGGTGGGTACACCAATTGGAAATCTTGAAGATATAACGTTAAGGTGAATCAGTTTTATTAATTATAATGTCATTTAAGCTGTAAAATTTGCCTTCAATGCCGTTTCTTGGATTTTGTGTGTGTATTTGATGGTTCATCCATGTTTTCTTCAATTGTTGTAGAGCTTTAAGAGTGTTGAAATCTGCTGATGTAATTCTCTCTGAAGACACTAGGCATTCGGGAAAGTTGCTTCATTACTATAAGATCAAAACTCCACTTGTAAGTTGGTTGGATACCAAATATGAATGCAGTTGTGTGGATATGTATTCGATTGAGCTCATTGTATGATTTAGATTTTCAGTTAAGCTATCATAAATTCAATGAATGTCAAAGAGAGCAAGGCGTTCTCAGAAGATTGCAAGGAGGAGAAATTGTAGCGCTGATAAGTGATGCCGGGATGCCAGGCATCAGCGATCCTGGTATGGAATTGGTGAGTTGCAGATATATAAGAAATCTTAGTGTGTGGAAGTGGAAGGGTGAGTGGATGTAATAATAGTCTTCATATGAAATTCCGATGTAGGCGAAATTGTGCGTGGACAAAAATATTCCAATCATTCCTGTCCCGGGGCCATCTGCTCCAGTGGCGGCTCTTTCTGCTTCTGGTTTGCCAACCAATGAGTTTTCATTTGGTATTGTCTGATGACTCTGGTGCATATTTCAACTATTCCTTTTTTTTTTCCTCCGTAAAATGATTTGTGTAATGAGGTGCAGTTGGCTTTCTCCCAAAACATGCTACAACAAGAAGAGAGAAATTGATGGCCTCTGCAAAGAATACAGCCACACAGGTCTTCTTTGTTCCTCCACACAAACTCTGTCAGTTTTTAGAAGAAGCAGCTTCAATTTTCGGAAAATCTAGGTAGGTCTATTCTCCTATGCCAATTGTTTGTGTTTTTTTAACAATTATGACATTGAGCTACTACCATAACTCTGAAATTTGGTCATTGTGTTAGTTTATTTACTATTTGTCGGAAAATGGATTCCCTGCTTCCAAACTTATATTTGTGCTTTTGAAATCTAACTATATATATACATATATATATATATATTATTAATAGGGTTTGTTGATTTGTCCTCAGGCGTTGCGTCATTGCTCGTGAGATGACCAAGCTACATGAAGAAGTAAGACTTCTATATGATTATTAGCTATGCGGTCTTCTTTCATCAAGCATCCTATTTGTGCAAATAAATTGAACTATGAAAAAATAGATGATGATGTAGGGAAGAATTTTGCATAAACTGAAAAGTATATTAAGCTGCTATGATGCATGAGATTCATTGTAAATGGTTTACCTCTTGAAGATCTTTTGCTGCATTCTGTTTCTTTAACTTCGATGCCTGTAAATTAGGAGAATGGATTATTATACAGGATGGTTCAATGCCAATTAACAATGCAAAATTCTTTTGACAAGTTCTGGAGGGGTACTATTGGGGAAGCAGAAGCCACTTTCTCAACTCACCAACCAAAGGGCGAAATCACACTGTTAATTGAAGGAATCACTGTGGGTGAGGACGAAACACTTTCCGAGTCCAAACTGGAAAATGAGTTGGCAGAATTTATTTCCAGTGGTCACAGTTTGTCTACGGTAAGAAGCTCTCCCTTAATTGTTTTGAAGTACTTACTTTATCTAACTTGAATGCCAGGTGTTTTTCGGGAGTGTTTTGGTGTTTCGGAATGGTTTCAATTTGAAAAGTTTGAATGAAAAATTAGTGTTGAATGTGATAATTGTTTTAGAGAGAAATTGAGAGATTGAATAGTAAAAAAAATGGGAAAAACTTTAAGAGAATAAATGGATTTGTGATGTGTTAAATGAAAAAATATATATACATATATTGCAGCAGAATGGAAAATGAGGCTGAAAACACAAACAAGCACATGTTTTCTGCGGAAGACTGCCCTTCATCTTTTTTTTTTTATGTTTGCTCAAAAAACCGGGATCCTATTGTACTGCTGTGTAAGTCTTGGTACTCATAGTTTACATCAGTATAGCATATACCGTAGTGTTAACTGTACCTAGTAGTTTATAACTGAGTACCTGATAGAGGCCCCATGGCAGTGCTTCAAGTTAAAATATGGCTTTTATTGTTTCACCTGCTAGATTCTCGCTTTAATGCCCCATGTCTTGGTTGAACAGTCGAGGTCTTTCTTATCAATGATAAGTTTTGACAGTTTAGTTCTTGTTTGATTGGAAAGTAAATGAAGCCTGCTCACCAAAGTTATCATTACAGTGGCTATGATGGATGCGGTCTTCCCGTCTTGAACTTTGTCTGTTAGATTAACACATTGTGATAGCGTTCTTTCAGCTAATTCAATATTCGGTCTTAACTGGAATCAAGTGTAGGGATGTCTACTTTTTAATACGTTTAGTGAAAATTATTTTATGTAGCAACATAGCGATGCATAATAGAAGAAAGCTTTGTTTTGGCTTCCAAATTCCACCAAACTGATGGGATATGTCGAGGAAGAGCTGTTTTGTCTAATATTCAAGTTTCCCAACACATAGTTAGGACATACTTGCCTTATAATTCACTCTTACACTTCGCTAATTAATAAGAACGTCGAATTCCTAATTTGTGGATTGGTAGCTTATCACATAGAGTTGTTGGTTCACCGCAGGCAGTCAAGTTGGTGGCAGCAAGAACATCAATGAAAAGAAAAGCAATATACTCTCTTGCCCTGAAGAAATTCGGGAAACATGGTTCATACAATGAAGATTGATTTTGATACGCAAATGAGCTATTTTCCCCAATTGAGACACATACGCCTGAAGTAAAACACACCCTCCTTTTTTGTTATTGCACAAGCCGAGCAGAAGCAATCTCATTACTTCTGCTCGATTCTGCTGTATCTAAGGCAGAATAAATCCTTGATCTAGTGCCTGTAATATAAGCCCTTCATATTCTGAATTCCTCTTGTCATTAAAACACAAAACTACATATTTAAATTTTGTTTTCATATAATGACATTCTGTGTTCTTTCCCGGACCATTAATCTTGTTATTCTTTTATAGCATTAAAATGATGGCGGAAATAGGTTGCTTCTGTGTGTATTTGTCTCCTAACTGTAGAGAAGACATCGAAACTAAGTTTCAATAAATTTAGGATTAAGTGCACAATAGAGCCGACCATGGCCTAACTGTAGTTATAACAACTACTTTTAAAATACCCCATGCCTTAAATGGACTGCTTAAGCCACTTTAGGTCTACCAACTGGTGGTTATGTTTTTCTGAAAAACCTAAAGAAATGCAAACAAACCACCATGGACCAACCCCACCCCACCCCCCTTGGCTGCTTGACAATTTTTTCCTTGTTTCTTATAGACAATAGTTTCATTTATATTTTTTAAAATTTTCTCTGGCTTGTAATTTGTCTCCACGTGAGAAGGGGTGACATAAGTGAAAGGGAATATATTGGTTTTTAATGGATATTGTATTGAGGAATAGAAGTTGGGGACTCATCATTCTTTCTTTATGTATAATTATTGTATTCCTTTTTTAATGTTCTTGTGGTTGGTGTCAATATATTGCTCAATGATAAGGAGGGTTGTTGTGTCCCTTTGTGATAAGTTTTTGTCTCCATTTGTTGGCTTTTCAGCCCATTTGGGATTTCGATTTCTCTTTTCAGTCATTCTCAGACCTCTCTTTGCTTCCCTGATTGAGGCCACAGGTACAAAAGAATTCACCTTTGTTTCCGACACTTTTCCAGGTAAGATTATGATCTTCTTTCCTTGTTTCTGTTTTTGTTTCTTGATCTGTGTTTTTTAGCTTTTAAGTGGGGTGTAATTTCTCTTTACCGAGCTTTCTGATGCGTACTTTTTTTATGTTGTTTCACAGACAGCAGTTTAATGAAGTCCTAATCGTATGTTGTCGACAATATCTGAAGGAGCCGTGCTGCCAATCAATGGCTTCGTTTTATCCAAGTGAAGGAGACATGCTTCCCACTGCTTATTTGCTGAACCCGAAGCTCGTTTCTTATTCATCGCCACAGCACGACGAAAGCAACAATAAGGTATATCTTACCCCGCCTTGTGTTCCTCTGTCCTACCAGAATTTGCTGTCTGGTGGCGCCGTCTCGGCTCAGCCCGAATCCATCAGAACTAGAGATGACGGCGTGCCTCCAGTTATGTCGGATTCTGGACAAAATTATGGATTGTCTCTTACTCTGGGATGCGAAGAACAGTTGCGTTCGGATTTGAACCCGTACCCCTACACAAATTCGACTCTCTGCTCATTGTTAAGCTCAGATGTGCAATCAGACCTTCAGCTTTGTGAAAACAATGGCCTCAAGAATGTGCAGTACCTGTCGTTCGATTTGGCCGGGCGATCCTCCAATACAGTCAACTACTGTACGAATTTCGTTCCATATCTGCAGCAGCATCAACCGCCGGCGACGCTGACAATTTGCAACTCGAAATATCTCAAGGCGGCACAAGATTTGCTTAATGAATTAGCAAGTGTTCATCGAGCTCCAAAACCGACGGAAAAGTTCAAAAACATCGGTCAAGATGGCTCCGCCGCATCAGAACAGAAGGATCTAATATCTACCGATATGCCGGACTCGACCAATAAGACTCTTTCCCCTTCCGAGCGTCATGATCTGCAGAATAAGGTTGCGAAACTTTCCGACATGCTAGATGAGGTACGGCTATGATCCAAGTTCTTGATTTGCTCGTATCCGTAACCCTGCTTGCTAATAAAAACAGTATTTTGATTGTTTCGATTTTAGGTGAATAGAAGATACAGACAGTATTGCCATCAAATTCAAGCCGTGGTGTCGTCGTTTGATGGTGTTGTAGGGCACGGCGCAGCGCGGCCGTACACGTCGCTCGCGCTCCGGACAATTTCTTGCCAGTTCGGCTCTCTGCGCAATGCGATCAAGAAGCAAATTCAGGAAGCGCAAAAGAGCTTAGGCGAGCACGACGGTAATCCCCACAGCGTCTTAACTCGTCTACGCAACATGGACCAGCAGCTCCGGCAGCAAAGGGCGGCTCAGCAGTTCGGCGTGATGCGACAGCCTTGGAGGCCGCAAAGAGGCTTGCCAGAAACCGCCGTCACCGTGCTTCGTTCTTGGCTTTTCGAGCATTTTCTGCACCCGTAAGTTAATCGATTGCCGCTATTAATTACTTTCTAGATGCACGATATCGCACGCCCTTCCTAACCGTCGCCTACTTTGATCGAATCCTTTCACCAGCTACCCGAAAGACTCCGAAAAAATTGTTCTTGCAAGGCAGACAGGGTTAACAAGGAGCCAGGTAAATAAAATGTTCATACAGCGACAATCTATGGTAGCAACGGTCGATGAAAATTTCACGTCTGGTGATGAACCAGGTGGCGAATTGGTTTATCAATGCTCGGGTACGACTTTGGAAGCCAATGATCGAGGAGATGTACAAGGGGGAGTTCGGCGATCCCGAAACCGAATCGAAATCATCTCCCGAACTTGTAGCAGCAGGCGCGCAAGAAACTTCTACTCTTGACGGAAACGAGGAAGACTCGAATGAATTGAGGCCCGATCATGTTATTCCCTACGACGTGGACAGGACTAGATTATCCTACGACAATTTATCGTTTCAAGGTAATGAAATTAATTAATTTTCGCGCGTAAATGGATCGATTGTAGCTGACCGTATTAATCTTCTCTGATAATTGCGCTAAGGTTGGTAGCACGGCGACAGAATTCGAGTCCGGAGGCGATGTGGTTCGACGAGATTATCGTCGAGGATGGAAAAATACCGAAGAATAAGACAGGTTAGCTGAAAATACTGTGTAGATACGAGATACCTCTTAGGAAACACTATACGTACGTACGTAGTCTTGGCATGTTAACTGTATAGAAGAAGTATATATAGACAATGTGGTAATATATCATCCATTTTATATAGCGTTTATAGTTCACTCAAATACTTGTAAGGTTTTGTTCGGGGATTCTTCCCTAAATACACTATTCATCTTATTTTTTTTTCTAAAAAACATTAAATTAAACACTCTTTTTTTATATTATACTAAAAATTAATTTTACGTTCAAAATAATACATCAATACATATTTATATCACATCATACAACTATTCAAATTCAAAATTTTTACATATTCCAACTCAAAATCCAAACCTTTGAACAAACACACCCGTAGTTTGTTAAGGGAGCGTTGCACTTTGTATGCATTTAAATAGGATTTGAATACTGCCCTAAAAATCAATAAATTCCATGAAAAAATAAATATTATTTTTGTCAGCCTCCGAGGGTTTACGTGTCATTGTACTTAATATTGAAAATATTTTTATATTTGTATAATTTTTGTACAAATATTATTCTATTAGTATTATAAGACACTAATATAAGTATTTTTGTAATTTTTTTCTTAATTTGTACTATTTTTTTGATGTAATAATTAATATTTAAAGATCACATAAAAAGGAAATGAGACATTTAAAGCCGGACAAAAATAGTAATATAATTGTATAATTCTTTGGATTTTAGTCTTTAAATTCAAATTTATTTTGAAATTAAAAAGACTTTGTTTAACTGAGTGTAATCCTCTATAAGTTTATATACTACTTCCTCCGCCACATATAAAGGATATTATAAAAATAATATCACATATTTTTTTTCTTGATAATATTATACTCCTTTCGTTCCATTGAAAGAGTGACGTTTATTTTTTGTTCATAGATTTTTTAATATTAGTATTATATTGTGTTGTAGTGAAAAGTCAAAATTATCCCTACTAGTATTGTGTAATACTCCCTCTGTCTTACATACCGTGTGAGCTACACTGTAGACACGGTATTTTAAGAGGGGTGTAATTAGTAGATAGTTTAATTAAAATTTAAAAAAAATAAAATTAAAAAGTTTAAAATAAAATTAAAGTGTGTAATCATTTTCCAAAAAAGAAAGTGACATGGTATGTGGAACTGACAGAAACGGCAACGTGACATAGTATGTGAGACGGAGGGAGTATAAAAGTAATATATTTGTGTAATATATTTTAAGTTGGAAGAGTATTTATTATGTTTAGTAGATAGTACAATTACTAAATTAGAAAATAATGTCGTTATTTTGGGACGGACGAAAATATAAAATGATAATATTTCGGTGAGACGTTGGGATTATTTAGATTAAAATTTAGATTTAAACTCGCATTTCATAGGGAGGTTTGATCTAACTCACTTGAGATCGATCAAAATATTCCATAAGCTTAAATAATACTCTCTCCGTCCGACTCTAAGGGTCTCATTTACCTTTTGCGTCATTAAATTTAACATTAAAAATATTCTTATATTTGTATAGATTTTTGCACAAATGTCATGATAATAGTATTATAAGACATTAATAGAAATATTTTTGTCATTTTTTTCTTAATTTGTACTATGTTTTTATATAATAATTAATATTTAAATATCAAACACGCAAACAAAAATATAAATGAGACCCTTAGAATTGGACGGATGTAGTAGTATTTTGAATCATCAGAAAGGAAGAAGAAAAGAGTAAATGGTTCATAAAATATGAACTTCCGTAGTTAGCTATGTCTCGATTAATTCGTGGAACACCGTATCAATACATCGACCATCATCCGGTCACCGGTTTTTGAGGGTAATCGTGGATTTCTCCGAAGCTTTTCTTCTTTTTTTTCTTCCCAATAATTTGTAGATGACCATCCTTGCAATCTTGTAGAACCAAAATGCACTCACTAGTTGTAGCCCTAATGCCATTGCCTGCATTTGCATTGCATCAAATTGATTATAGCCATGTTTTGAGATATATATATATATATATAAAGAAGTTATATCCAATTATATATTGATTGATTCACCTGAAAAATAATAAAAAGTTGTTGTTACCTTAATGAGAAAAGGGTTATTGGGAGCAGAGAGAGTGACATAAGTGAGATATGGGCCACCAACCATTCTTGCAAATGTGAATATCACTGCAAACACTATCTGCATCACCAATTAATAAATAAATATATAAATAAAATGCATCACCAATTACATTTTTAGGTGTGCCAATTCGGGCGGTCCGATTTTTTGTGCCCGTCCGGCCCAATTAACTTAGAGCACGATCCGGTTTGAAACCGGGTCGGGTCTTTTTTTTTTTTTTACTCACAACTGCACGTACAAGTCAAGACTCTTATCAGCTTGTTATGGTGTCACTTTTGTCTTTATTTTAAAAATTAATATATATGAATATAAACTTATTAAACTTTAAATAATAATTTTAAAATCCGGCCGGCCAAGCACGGCTCGAAAATTTTCGAGTCTATTTTTGGAGGCTCAAATTCGATTTTTTAGTGTAGTGCTTGGATTAGATTTTTGGACCGTACTTATTTTTGCCGCCTTAATTTTATAAGGAACTTTCATCATCATTTTAGTTACTGAATCAAAATTGCGTATATAAAATTAAAAGAGAGATAATTAAGGAGATGGAGATGGAGATAGAAGAAATTGATTACATCAGCAGCCAAATTAAGATCAGTGTTTTTGTATCCAAGCTCTTTGAGAAGCTCCCTCAAGTGCAGAAATGGGCTCGAAATCTCTGTAATCCACAAGGCTGCCACCATTTCTGATCCACACTGCAGATCCAATTATATATATGTATATATATATCATTCATCATCAGTATTGAAATCAAAAAGGGTTTCATTAATTGAGAATGATGGATCAGTAGCAGTTCTTACCAAATAAACAATAAATTAGGGTTTTGTGTTTTATAATAAGAAGATCAATTAGGGTTTTGTGTTTTATATAATAAGAAGATAGACATAGACATAGAAATACCCTTTGATAGGCAAGACCAGAGAGAAGGCCTGTAATGCTGACGAGATGGTGAATTGTGTTGTCGAATTTGAGGTTGTTGTGATCGAAGAGACAGCAAACTAAATCATACATCAGATATGCAACTGTTACTCCCAGAGTTCTCATCTGATCTTCCCCATCCGTACAATAATTAATAATTAATTAATTAGTATATTGGACTACTGCTAATTAATCAATATTATTGAAAGTTACATATATATATATATATATGAAAATAAATAGCATATGTTTATTACAACTAAAGATTTATTTAACCCTGAAAAAAATCGAAGCATATATACATTAGCTGATAATTATTATTGTTTGAATTTTGGTAGCACTGAAACAAAGCCCTGGAAATAATACATCTAAATCAAAATATACTCTTCACTATAAAACATCACATAAAAAAATATTTAATAAAATCCAAAAAGCACCTCAAACACAACCAAACACACCCCAAATGTTTTTACACTTATTTAATCAAGAACTCCAAATGAGAACAAAAGTAAGGCATTTTTCAAACTCCCAAATTAAACCCATTTTTCTTAACAAATAAAAAAAAAAAAAATTAAATAAAAACATAAGAAAATATAGACTCTATTTTCTTATGTTTTTATTTAATCTTTATTTATTTATTTTTTCAATATTATTTTCTCTTACAAAATATTATGATTGATACATCTTAGAGTGCATACATTATATTATATACGATTTAAATATTTTTCACGTGCTAATTAACACACACCTTGTATAAGGAATCGATTAAAACCCGAGGAAATAATAAGAGGGTCAAATTAATCAATCAAAAATAATAATAATAATAAAAAAAATAGACCTGGCTCGGAGACGACGAAGAAGCCAAAGGGCAAACGGGACACCTCCAATCCTCGACGGATAGTGAAGACAACGACACGGCCAGACAAGCGTGCACAATCGAGACAAGTCGATTGGAGAAATCGAAGGATCGATGTGTTAGAAGAAGCTTTCTTATTACCAAGAAGAGCATTGTCCAAAACATTATCCCATACAAAATTAACTTCACCACATAATCCTCCATATCTCAAAATTTTGGTGTTCTTGGTGATCAAATAATTAAGATTTTATATGATCGATCGATCAAAAAGACTGAATTATATTCACATGCATCATGAATGCTATTGTTTGTTTGTTTATTTAATTGCTGTTAGGTGAAGGGTAGGTTGTTGCTCTTTGCCATTGGTGCAATTTAATGCTTACACCACCCATCCACCCACCCACCAATCTTGAATAAACACATCGACACTATAAGAAAATATTATTTTTGTAACAAAATTTGTCTCTAAATTTATTTTTTTCGTTATTGATGACATTAGAGACGGAGTTAATGATAGAATTATGTTAGCTACGTAAACTTTAGGGACAAAATTTTGTTACAAATATATTCCATCTGTCCCATAACAAAGTATCTATTTTTTCATTTTAATCCGTCTCATAACAAAGTATCCATTTCCTTTTTTTTTTTTTTTTTTTTTTAGTAACTGTACTATCTACCTAACATTACAATATATTACACAAATGTTATTACCTTTATATCACACATACTAATAAGGTTATTTTAGTCATTTCTACTTTATTCCTACTATATCTCAGTATAAAACTAGGTGCAAAAAACAAACAGATATTTAGTTTCGGGACGGAGGGAGTACTATTTTTTTGTAGTGCGACTTTATTTTTTTTAAGGTCTTATTTATTAAAATAAATTTAAAAAAAATTAAAAATATCTAATCAAATACTTAATTTTTATTAGTATATCACCAAAAAATTGATTTTTGTTTAGAATATTAAATTAAATATTTATTTATATTTAATTCAAATCTTATTATTCTTAAACCTCCAATCAACCATTTTACATTATTTTAGGTTTGTTTAAACTTTAAATGTGCGTGTGAAATAGTACTTTCTACTTTGAATTGTTATAAATTTTGGGGAGCTTAGGCTTTGTTTGTTTTGAATTTGATGTTTTTTTTTTTTTTTTTTAACTGTGAACATTTATGATGCTATATATAAAAAGTACAACATTTCATATCATAATATCTATATATGTTTTCTATATAATTTACATATTGCAAATGTTGGGTTGATTTAGTTGTATTCTGTCTGTGTTCAAGCACTACAAAAAAAAATAATATATTTGTAACGGAATTTAGTCCCTAAAGTTCACGTAGCTAACGTAATTTCATTCCTAATTTCATCTCTAATGTCATTAGTAACGAAAAAAGTAGATTTAGAGACAAAAATATTTTGTTACAAAAATAATTTTTTCTTGTAGTGAAATAATGAATATTGATAAAATTATTTTGAATATTTTTATGTAAAATTTTGAATAAAAACAAATATTTAACTCTATGGTATATATATATATATGTAATTACATGAATCATAGTGACTCTGTTATGAAAATATAATTAACCATATAAACCAAACAAATTATACATTTTTAAGGGAATTAATCTAGGCTTGGTTTGTTTTTTACTCCTCCGGCCTAAACACCCTCAATATTTTCTTTTTTGTTTATCCCAAACTCACTGCAACATTTTTAAATTTAGAAATAATTAATAATATTTTTATACATATATTAATATACACTTCACTTTATCCTATCACATCACTCAAATAAAAAAAAACAAATAATCATTTTTCTCTCCAATCACATCACTTAATATCCAAATTATCTCAAATTATCATGTTTAATACTCTCCACCTAAATTTTCGTGCCGAATACAAATGTTGTACGGTGTTTGGGACGGAGGGAATACTATATAACTTTATAATCTTTAATAAGAAAAATATATACTCCCTCCGTTCCAATACAATAGTCTTGTTTACCATTTTTGTCCGTCCCAAAACAATAGTCTTGTTTCCATAAATAACTACATCACCGTAAAACTACCCCTACTTTTTCATTTTTATTGCACAATTGTCATTACTTTTTACATTAATACATTCACAAGGGCAAAAAAGTCTTTTATCCATATTTTTTACCAACTACCAATATAATATCAATATTCTTTAAATCTCGTGCCCTACCTAATTAAGACTATATTTATGGGACGGAGGAGAGGGAGTATTATTTATACAAATATTATATGTAGCAATAATTTCATTTAAATAAATAAATATATATATATATATATATATAAACACAAAGAGCATGACAACTTTATAAGAAAGCTTGCGTGCATACCCAAATATATACATACATAAATAATAAAAATTGAAATTGAAATTAATAGGTTGTTTATAAAATATTTTAAGGAAATATATGTTTAATACTCTTTTTCCTTGTCAAAATTATGACAATTTTTTTTTTTTTTTGGGTTGTTCATTAAAATTATGTATAATCAGTTTGCGAAAAAACACTTTATTAATTCATAATTTTATTATTCTTATTTATCTGGGTGTGTTTTTTTTATTAGTTTGAAAAAAACTTGGTTTGATTTGATACCAAAATAACGTTTGATGAGATGTTTTGTGAAAAAAATATATATATTTTTTTCGGAAACGCAGAGTCCATTAAAATATTTTTAAATTTTCGTACCCATACAAAATCACAAGTTTTTAAGATCGAGAGTAGATAATAATAATAATAATAATAATAATAATAATAATAATAATAAATAAATAAATAAATAATACGACAAAACTTAGACCAACAGGTCCATATAATGTAAACCAAATTCAATATATTCATGTACAATGCATTATTAATTGCGTGGGTCAATTGCTCGTAATAAATTGCATATAGATAACGAAACCTAAACGTAAGCAGCTCCCGGGATTCCGACTTCCAGATGAATCTACACCGCTCATATTGTGGTGCCCACGACATCAACGGTTTAGATATGTCCTGGGCTGGGACCCCGAAACTCCAGCTGCTTTTGGTAATTGGTATTAATGATGTAAATTGGTTGTAACGATATTGTCCACCTAAAAATCCGTAGGGCGTGTTTGTTTGTCTTTTGTTTCAATATTGTAGAATAAATATATAGTTTTTTTTTAAAAAAAATATATATATATATATATTTAATACTTATATATATATATAACATATTTAACATTTAACATATTCATATAGGTGTGCTTATATGCATTTAGGAGAGTTGGAATAATATTTTGGGGTATTTTGTACTTAAAATTTTTTAAATGAAAATTAAATGTTAAATATGTTATTTTTTTATACATAATTTAAATAATAGTTGAGTATTACGTTTATGAGATCATTTTATATTTTTATAAATAAATTATGAAAATTACATAATTTAGGGTTTCATTGAGTTTATGGTTTAGAGTTTACGTATTGATAGCTTATAGTGTTATTGTTATTATTATTATTATTATTATTATTATTATTATTATTATTATTATTATTATTTGAACTTTAAATTAAACAAGATTCGAGGGCTATAAATAAGTGTATATATATTAATACTTTTATGATTTGATCCAAACATAGTGAAATTCCAGTTAGCACATACTTAAAAAAATAATAATAACAATCTTCAAAATTATTGCATTAAACACATTTTTTTATTTAATATATTATACAATTTTTTTTTAAAAAAAAAATCATTTAGAATATTATACCAAAAAAAAAAAAAAAACTATTTCATGTGACATGGCTCAAGGTACTCTGTCTATATTCAACCCGGGCTTACATCAGCCCAGACCTACTATAGTGGACTGGATCGGATCAGGCCCATATCATATAATATAAGACCAGCCCGGCCCAGTCGGGTAAACACTATTTGCTACATTTCAATATAAATATTTAAATGGTGGCGATCCGGCCCGATTCAATCTGGATTTGAATAAATTAGGAACAATCTTGAATTGGATTAAAATATTGGGAAAATAGAATATAATTCAAATGTGGTTTATGAATAATGTGCGAAACTCTCATTGTTTAAAAATTGCCCATCGACGGAAGAAAGTTAAACAAACAATATTTGAAACTATAAAAAAATTTAATGAAGATTTTCACACAATTTTTATAAATTACAATAGGCTTTTATTTTGCTGTCTAAAATATTTATAAGTTAGCCCATAATTATGCTGGACCTATACTGGGCCGAGCTGAACCGTATAATTTTGTTTGTATAAAAATAAATAGATAAATATAATATACTACTCCTCTATACAAATTCTATTGTCTTAAAATGCCCAATTGTGTAGATAAATACCTTTTGATTATGAATCAACAATTTTACTCTTTGTGGTAAAGTAAAAAAAAAAAAAAGAAATATTCAAATAAAAATGATAAATAAATAAAGAGTAAGAAAAATAAATTTTTATATATAAAAAAGAATAGCATAATAGTTATTAGGTGGGTCCCAAATAACCGATCCAAAAGAAAACCATGGGCCCAATTAGAATATAGTATCGAGCAATAATTTCAAATTAAATTAGTCGATCAAGCTGACACTCGGAATCAGATAACCAAATGTGTATATATATATAATATCATTTCTTGTAATTAATTAATTAAAGAAAAAAAAAGTGAATCACTTGTCATCAAACCAACTCCTCTAATAATGCAATATTAAAGTGAAGTGTCTGATTATTTTATACATGTAAGGATAAAAAATATCTAGGTAGGAAACATTACGTCCACAGCTTTTACATACATAATTAAAGGAATAAGGTGTGCCACTAAACAAGAAATAAATTGTCAGCATGATATGATAATAATATTAATTAATTATGGCCAATGGTTATTTGTATACGTGATTCCCATTGTGCAAAAGAATAAGGACTTAAATGCAAATACGAACATTTGGAGTCCTCCATTGCAACTACAGTCAAGTCTACAGATACTGGAAATTATTGGATGCATATTTGTGTTAACATGATGCGAATCACATGAACACAGGCTACAATTCTGAGAATCTAATGAATTATTCAAAGGTGTTTTAAGCATGATAATGTATATTTGGTGTGATTAACTTGTTAAGAACATGCTTAAATTGCAGAAAATGTAAGCATATTAATGTGATTAAAAGGTTTTCCAAATTCTGAAGATAACATAAACCACAAGGATGAAGATGAACAGAACAAAGGAAAAAGTTGTGACCGTTTTTGGATCCGAAACTTGGCAGCTTCTTCAATCAGTAATCCATAAACATCTCAGCAGAAGCCATGATAGGATGTTGATTGATCCCCGTGGAGTTCCAAGGGTTGCTGTTCCAGAAGCCGTCGCCAAATCCTTGAAGCTGAAAGTCCTCCACCTCCAGCATACAGTTTCCGGCGGCAGCGGCGGAGGAGGCGGAGGAGTTGATGTAATTCAAGATATCGTTGAGAGATTGAAGCCTCTGCGAAAGCTCTGTCATCTGTGCTCTCAACACGGAGTTGTCTGACTCCACTTTCGCATACTGCTGTGTGGTGAGATTTATGGTGTTCGAGATCTGACCGTTCTCCTGCTTCAGCTGCGTCACCTGAGCCGCCAGCTCATCCAGATGCTTCTGCTTCCTCTGCCTGGACCGCCGCGCCGATTCGCGGTTCGATTCCATCCTCTTTCGCTTCCTCTCATCCACGCGCGGATCTTCGTCCGAACCAGAGCTCTGGATCGGCGGTGAACTCGATGAATTCCCGGCGGAATAAGACATCTCAACGTATTTCCAACAAATCAGTCACCGGATTGCACAAATTAACTCTAATTTTTCTCAGATCGATCCAACAACAGTACAGAAACAATTAGTACTCACAAATCGGGGAAAAATAATTACGAAAACACGTAGAACCAGTAGAGAAAAACAACAGATAACGATTGAACGAGATGCGTCCCGCGCCGGAGAGAAGAACCGATCACAAAACCGAACCGAAGGATTTCACTCAGTACAGTATACATGAATCCCGAGCATCTAACACAATTTTCGCAGGCAGCATCAAAAGATTTCGCCTCCAGTTCCACCTGTATTTTAACAATTTTCACCTGGCAGAAGCACGGCCAGAAATCTCGAGATATTTCCAACCCAACCACTGTACAAAACAGCCACGAAAAAACGAATCTAGACTACAAGAAAATCCAAACAACAGAGAGAAAATCAAAATCAAAATCAAAATGAAAATAAATGAAGGAGAAGAGGAAGGGATCTGGAAAGAAGCGGAGGGTACATTTTATAGAAGAAGAACACTGAATACTGACTAGGGAATCATATTTTAATATTAATTTATTTTTATTTTTTATTTTTTAAAAAAGAGACGTGATAGCTCATGAAGAAGGTGGCCAATGAAGAAAAGTTGGGAATCTGTCTCTCTCTCTATATATATATTAGCCACAATTCTATCCAGCTGTAAAATCAAATAGCTTTGTTTGTTTGTAGTTTTAGGATAGAGAATGAAATTGTAAAATATCAATAGCAGAAAAAATGTAAATAAAAATAATTGAATAAAAATGAAAGTTAATTTCTGTTAAAAAAAAAATTGAAAGATTTATATTTTTGGTAAAATTTATTAAATCAAAATTTAGTTAACAAATACTTCTTCCGTTCAAAACTAAATTTTTTATTTACTTTTTGTAAATTGATATTTGAATATTAATTATTATATCAAAATATAATACAAATTAAGAGAAAATAATTGTAAAAATACTATTAGTGTCATATAATATTAATATAATGAAATTTGTACAAAAAAAAATTATACAGATATAAAAATATTTTTAATGTTAAAAACAATTATGTCAAATGTAAATAAAAAATTTAAACCTGAACAAAAATAGTATAAATCAATTTAATTAACTACATCACATATGACACTATATATCATGTATGACCCACTGAAATTTATTTATTTCTATTCATCTCTTCAAAAAATTATTTTATCTATATTTAACATTTAATATTTTTTATGAAATTAATTTATATTAGCTATAAATAAATAACCTTATGAATTTCTTTTATATATAAAAAATGATACACATATTGCATTTATATATATATATATTATTGTGATATAATTTATAAAATATTTAAATATATATTATATAATTTTTGAACCATATATAATAAATTCATTTTAAATTATTATCATTATTAATTACATAATAAAATAATATAATAATTTTTTATTAATTAATTATATTACTTTAAATATCCTATATAAAAACATAAATCTGAATGTAGGAAGTAATTCATATGCTATAAAAAATTATGTATATTTATTTGAACTTTATTTATGATAAGGGTATATATGGAATTGTGTATTTCCCTTTTATTCCTTTTGCACATGTAGAGAGAAAAGTAATACAGAACTACAGATTTCCGTATCTGATATAAAGCAACAATATACACAGACAGACTGTACGGAACAAAATATATTTACTTTTTTATTTCTTGTCCTCTTATATTTCGCGGAAATATTAATTATTCGATTTTTTATTATTTTTAAAATTTATCCGAAAATAATACTCATTCCTACTATCTAAATTTAAAATTAAAATATTTTCGTTTGTTTTATTAGTAATATATATATTTTTTGATAATGTAAAATCGGAGGTCACGAGTCCATCTCACATCACTAGGTCATCCATACGAGACGTAAAATATACATTATTTGTTTATATTGTCTCCATCCTACATAAATTATTTATATATTTTTTTTATTTATTTTACATAATTTTTTTAAAAAAAATAATTATGTATTTTAATCAAATTTAAAAATTTATAATCTACTCCCTCCGTCCGACATAATTTGTCCCTATTTTCTATTGTTGTCCGTCCCACATAACTTGTCATTTCTATTTTTTGAAATATAATTATGCATTTTAATCGCATTTTAAATTTTAAATTTTATATTTTTCTTAATTTTAATTAAACTATTTACTTATCTCAATCTTAATTTATAATTATTTTTACTAAATAATAATTATTTTTACTAATATACTTCTTAATTACTTACTAATTATACTTTACCTAAATTCCCGTGTCTACAATAATATACTTATATTACATGGACGGAGGGAGTATAATTTTATTAATTTTAATTGAATTATTTAGTTATTTTTTTATTTATAATTATTTCTTTTTATTAATACATTTTTATTATTTATTAATTAAAATTTTCTTAAATTCTTATATCTAAAAAAAAATCAAACAAATAAAGTAAGACGAAAAAAAAAAAGATTACTATAAAAAATAAAATATAATAATTATTATTTATTTTTATTAAAATTTATATTCAATTATTCGAACGTATATTTACATAACGGTGGAAGTACTCATATAAATATAGTGATATATATTTTTTTAATGTTAGTATACTGTATTTATGACGGACATTGTCTATTAATATTACTCTCTCCGTCCCGAAACTAAGTATTCATTTGTTTTTTGCACGTAGTTTTATAAATATTAGTATTATATTATAATACAGAGGGAATATAGTAGAAATTACTAAAATAACTTTATTAGTATGTGTGATATAAAGGTAATGACATTTGTGTAATATATTGTAAGTTGTAATAATGTTAGGTAAATAGTACAGTTACTAAAAAAAATGAAATAGATACTTTGTTATGAGACGGACTAAAATGGAAAAATAGATACTTTGTTATGAGACGAATGAAGTATTAAATTCAAATGTATTTTAAATTTTTATTTTTTAAAATAAACATAACATGTTTAGATTTTACAAAAAAAAAAAAATTCGGCCTATTAAAGAGCTCTGCTTATATATATATATATATGATTATTTAATATATACAAATGTTATTTTATAAAAGTTATATTTGGTGAAAATAAAAAAATATTGAAATCAGCATATAATAAATAATTATATTTAATTTTTTTTATGAATATTAAGTTTGAAAATTTTAAAAATAAAAAATATTATAAAATTTTCAAATAGATTCGTAGGCTCATATAGACTTTAAAAATAAATCAGACATCAATTTTAGATATAATGGTAAAAAAAGTAATTTAATATTATTAAGTATAATATAAAACATTTGTATAATATATTATAAATTAAAAGAATATTTATAATGTTACTAAAAAATAAATAATTTATTAAAGGACGAAGGGTGAAAATATTTTTTACATGCCAATAAAACCAAGTTCGAGCCTTAATTTTATAAAATAGTAAAAATAATGTCAATTTAACGTACTAAAAATTAAATATTTAATAATGGAAATTATGATAATCTTAATATTTTTTTAATACATACATACAAAATTTCACTATATTTATTTTCAACTCTAGATTGATAGGCAAATAAAAAATTAAATATAATATTTAAAAAAATATTTTTATTAAAGATTATATTAAGCGAATAGGATTAATGTTTTTATTTGGAAAAAAAATCAAAAACCAAATCCTACATTGATATGTTTATATGGATTATTATATAAAATGGGTCCGTCTATTCGGATTGTACATCTATAATTTGGACCCGATCCATTTCAAAATTAATTCGGGCCGGGTCATACAGCGTGGACCGTGGGGCCACCTTGCATCTTGACACAGATAACGTGTCCACACGTTAGGGGTAGTAATAAATCCGTTAGTTTACTGTAGCCCAAAGCAAAGAAAACAAACGCCGTTAGTTTCGTAAACGGCCGTTAATGAGTAAAGCGCGTGAAGGCGACGTGTATTAGCTGAAGACTATATAGTCAACAACCCTTCAAGGCAAAGAAACATGATACAGCAGAGCTCGTATGATTGGCATCTTGGATCGGCGGGAGGGAGGAGAGCATCGTTCAGATTTTAGGGTTTACTGGTAGATTCTTACGAGTAAGTTTCGTATTTGGGAATTTACGTGAGATTCAGCGGTGGGTTTTGAATCGGGGTCGTGTTAGGGTTTACCGCTTCTTGTGCATCGTTGTTTCGTCCAATCGAGGAAGTCTAGCGGTGCGGTCGATTTCGAGGAAGTTTTCAGGTTCGTGTTTTGCTTTATAGTGCGAGTTGTTTTTGTTGAATAATAATGTTCGTATACATGTTTCTGGTTTTCGTGTGTATGTTTTGTAATTGTCGTCGGTGCTGTGTTCTTTCAATTGGTTTGTGGTTATGCCTTTTGCATCTGTCGTGCCGTTTGTTGGTTTAGAGGATTTAATTGTGTTCGTTTGGTTAGCTGTAATGGTTTCTCGCTGGTGTTCTGTAGCTATTTTTATCTTTTGTGCACAGCAATCTTGTCGATGTAATTAGTTGAAGTAATTCGTTTTTGTAGAGTGATTTGGTAGATGTTTTGAACTTTGTCTCTTCAAACTCGAATTTCGGACCTGGTGATTATTAAAGAACCAAGACCTTGGTTGAGTGGGGTGCGGGGTGTAACCTTGATGGGTTATGCCTTTTGCATCTGTCGTGCCATTTGTTGGTTTAGAGGATTTAATTGTGTTCGTGCTGTAATGATTTCTCACCGGTATTCTGTAATTATTTTTATTTTTGGTCGTAGCAATCTTGTTGGTGAAATTAGTTGAAATAATTCGTTTTTGTAGTGTGATTTGGTAGATGTTTTGAACTTTGTCTCTTCAAAACCTGAAATTTGGACCTGGTGATTATTTAAGAACCAAGACCTCGGGTTGGGTGGGGTGCGGGGTGTAGTGGCTTACATTAAGATTTGGATTTGGAAGTAGTAAAAATTTGAGTTGTAATAGTGTTTGATTTTGTATAAATAGGTGTTTGACATGATGTTTTGTATTACTATAGAGTATGTTTTGGGTAATATATTAAATGAAATTAGTGTTTGATTAGATGGATTTGGGGGATGGGGGTTTAAGATTTTTATGAATAGGTCAAGACCAGGTCTAGACCTTAAAGAAACATAGACGACATTCGAGGTTTTATCCGTAAATATGGATAATATAAGTCAACAGGCCTGCTTTGATGTATTTTAGTAATTTCTTATATCCTTTGTTTCTCGCCTAATTATTGTATAACCTGTTGTTTGTGATTTAAAGAAAGTAAAATCTGAACATGTTTTCGCTTCTGCTCTACTGCATTACTTAGAGAGAGTATTAATACTTGTTTTCCATGCCAAACGTTTTCATGGAAAATAAATGTTACTTGTGCTTTCCAACCTGCTACAGTTGAATCATTCAGTTATGGATATTTGATGGATTCTAGATTGCTGTTACATTGATAAGTTGTTTTCTATGGATTTTAAAATGGAAAGTTTGACTATACCCTTCGAAATTCTATGGATTTTAAAATGGAAAGTTTGACTATACCCTTCAAAATTCTGACTGTAGGGGAATCTTTGTAACTTGGTCTGTGTATTTATTCTGTATTGGAATGATAGAGGCTTGCCAATCTGCATACAGTCATTTTTGTGATGAGCTTATTGTATATAGATGCTGTAATGCTTCATAGACGAATGTGTTGAGATGTTACTCTAGTTTATTTTTTATTTTGTGGTTTGGACGTCTTATAATTCTCCTGAAGTTTTCGCTTTTAATTCCTTTTCTAAGTTTTTGTATGCTGAATTGTTGATTTGCAAATGCAGAAACCTTACAAGTACAACTACTACTTGTATTTGTACTTTATACCTTTCCTTCTATTGCTGAGAAAGAGGAGGAAGCCATGGCAATACAGATGCCAGGGAATCCTTCTCATAATGTTGAAGATGCTGCTACTTTTAAGCCCAAATGGTACTTCACTGAAGAAGAAATAGAGAAACATTCTGCATCAAGGAAAGATGGGATTGGTGGTGAACAGGAATCTCGATTGCGGCATTTATATTGCTCCTACTTACAGAAACTTGGCATGGAGCTTAAGCTGTAAGTCTTTACATGACTTTGATTATTTCTCTTGTTGCCTTTTCTATGATGCTATGGTTCTTCCAATATCGGATCCTTTTAGCAGTTCATATCTTCGCTTGCTACATATATATGAAGAAAAGAAAGACTATGCTGCCATTTAGAAATACTTATAATATTTGTAGTTTTATTCATCCAAAATTTTGTGAGATATTTGATTATGCTTTTGGCTGTTCCATGGATGGAAGACTTTGTGTTGACTGTTGAGTATGAATGTTACTGGGGTTTAGGGTCTATGGATTTTTTCTTTTGTATCCGAAAATAGAAGCAATGTATAAGCTACATGCCTTTGATCCTTGCTTAGTTCTGAATTCTTTTTTTTTTTTTTTAATCATTTGAGTAGTGCCTATTCTTTAATTTCAGCTTTTAAGATTTTAAGCGCTGGCTTCTTAATTTTCAGGCCTCAAGTTACCATAGCTACTGCAATGATGTTATGCCATCGATTCTATATGTATCAGTCTCACTCAAAGAACCATTGGCAGGTACATATGTTCATCCTTTAACATTTCTTTGCGGCAGTGAGTGTTGGTTCTGATAATATCTCTTTGTGTGTATAGTTGTAGTCTGTTTCATCCTGTACTTTGTTGTTACGCTAGAATGTCTTATAAATGAATATTTCAACTTTCGATATAGCTACCTGTTCAATGTGTTGAATGCAAGGTAAAAAGTAATATTACCAGTATGGGAATTGTTTTTCCTGAGGATTCTTAGAATCTGCATTAATCTCTTACTCCCTTTTGCAATAGTGGACTTGCAGGTTATGAAATGACATTCCGTTTTTATTCCCAGCATGCGATTTTGATCGGAAACTCACTTTTGCAGACTGTTGCCAATTCCAGCATGTTCCTAGGGAGCAAAGCAGAAGATACACCATGCAGTTTGAGAGATTTTGTTTTGGTTGCTTACAAATTAATGCACGATCGGGATCCTATAGCTTCTGAAAAAATCAGACAGAAGGTATCCTAGTCGGGCGGATGGTACTTTATGCTTTTTTATTGCCGTGATTTTGCTGAGGACATGGGATAATTATTTGATTGCCTGAATTTGTAGGATGTTTACGAAAAGCAGAAGCAGTTAATCTTGCTGGGGGAGCAGCTAATTTTAGTTACTGTTGCCTTTGATCTTAATATTGAACATCCTTACAAGCCACTAGTTGCGGCTCTGAAGAAACTGGGAATATCACAAAAGGAAGTCTTCAAAGTAGCATGGAATTTTGTGAACGACTGGTATGTATACTAATTTATATTAACGTATATTAGTCTTCATATGTGACTGTTTGATCAATATAAAAATTCAACTAGTAATACCCACGATTTTTGTAGCCTGATCATCTTTAGCAATATATATGGCATTGTATGAAGTTGATTTCTTGACTAGATTATCTCTTAATATCAGGCTTCGGACCACTCTCTGCTTGCAATACAAACCACACTATATTGCTGCTGGTTCCGTCTATCTTGCTGCCAAGCTTCAGAAGATAAAGTTGCCTTCTTCAAATGGCAACTCTTGGTGGATGCAGTTTGATGTTTCTCCGAAACTGCTAGAAGGTTTGCTCTATGTGCCAAATCTATTTAGTTTGTTTGCTTCCGTTCTTGTCTATTTATTCATACTTCCAAGTCATCTGTGATTAAAGATTTAGTATATTTACGTATGCCAGAAGCCTTATTACGTCAAAGGATTATAGAACATAATAGTAAACAATAACGAGAAGTGTGATATCCCTACTCTCTCTTACTCGAGTAAACCCCTTGATTTGTTGGTGCACTAATTTGGTTTTTATTGTCTTATCAGTATAGTCGCATCTGCTTTGAATGATTTGCTACTTTATATAGTGTCTTAGCACTTGTCTTAACTTATGCAGAGGTCATTCAACGCATGCTTCAGTTGCTAGGGAAGACTAGCAAACAAACAATGCCTGCTTCATGTGAAGATAAAGGTGAACCAAAAGCTGTCGGTGTCAAGCGAAAACTCAGCAGCAGCAGCGCTGAATTACACAATCCAAATGGATTGATCGCTGGGCAAGCATTGAGCAAGTATTCTGTGGAGACTGCTCGAATCAGTTCAGAATGTTCATCTGTTGTCAGTAAGAATCCGAAGAATCTCAAGCCTGATCCTAAAGATGCGCCGACAACCGAGAATTGCCCAAGCGAGTCTGGCAGCGCAAACAGCACGGTGGAGGATGTTGATACTGATTTGATAACAGCAGATTCAAACCAGGCATCCTGCTGCAAGATTGTCTCTGCTAACGAAAACTCCCAGAAAATCGATATTTCAAAAATTAGAGAGAAGCTGAAGAGAAGGAAAATGACCAGAAAGCAGCAGCAGGGGGATGGGAACTTAGAAGATGAGATGAACGACGAGGCTTGGATCGAGAAAGAGCTGGAGAAGGGGATAGAGTTGCTACCTGCAGCATCATCATAGCGACGACATTATATAGACAGTTTAGAAATCCTCTGAAGAATGGAGGAACACAGGTCTAGATTGTTCGGCCGGAGTCGGGTTTCCTGTGTCTGAGAATCTACAGCAAGATATACATGTGATCTCATCATTCTTTTTGTATAAGAATCATGTGGACGAGAAACAAATCTTGGTTTATTAATACTATGTGTCAGCTTAAGAATCTCTGTTCTGCAGTATAGTGTTTGATTATCTTGATTCTTGCTCTAGAGGGTTCCATGGCGAAAGCTCAACAACCATGGATATGGCTCTTATAACAGTTTTGGCCCTAAAAATTTGTCTTTCCTCACTGGAATCAGTCATCATCGTCGTCTTCGCTGCACCTCAATTCATTACATGGTATGTCTCACCCAATTGTATCTATTATATATAATTTCCAATTCACTGATTCGTTGTTCGGTCTGAATTTTGATTTGTTCCATTCATCACTGTTCTCAGCAGACTGGAAGTGACGATGATAATATATCATAAAGAAGGAAAGATTATAGTCTCAATGTTGCATTACGACGTCGTTTTGGGTAAAACGGACCGGGTCGGCCCGGGCCGGGCTCGCTCATTTCAAATAATTGCCTTGGTCCCTTGCTAAACAAAAGTCAGATGAAGTCGATGGATAGAAAAAGTGTCACGCGCACATTCACTGACGACTGAGATGCTCTCTTGTGCAAGGATTAGGAAAATTTATCGCCAGATTATGAACTGATACTTCCGAGATCTGTGTTTTATCTTCCGCCGGAAGGTGACCATTTACTCTTGCTGGAGGGGAGGCGTTTCTCGCAGCAGTTCGCAATGTCGGTGTGGGTGTCGGTGAAGTCCCATCGCATCCGCTCGTTGGTTTTGTGAAGTTCTGTGGCAGCAGGGGATGGCGATTAAGAAGGGATTATTGGCAGGCGGCGGCGGCGGCGGCCATGGGAGTAAAGGAGTTGGATCTCGCTATACTGTTGCTCTCCTTGTGTTGTTTTTCATCTTCTCGTTCGTCGTTCTCTCATTTTTATTTGTCGGCATCGGCCACTTCGCCCCTGCTTCTTCAGGTCAGTTGACTCTTATTAGATTGTGAAGCTTATTTTATATTTGTCGTTACCTTATTTGCGTTTTCATTGTGTACTAAAATTCAGTGCTCCAATTAGGATGAAGTTTGTATGGTTTTGACGCCGTAATTAGTAACTTTTTTAATTTCCAGTGACGTGCTGAAATTGGTTATAATTTTTGAAAATGGCATGTGTCGTTTCATGAATCCTTACATAATTGGGATGTTTGTTGATAGAATTTAAACATAAATGGCCAGCAAGATGAACTCCGTGTTTGGCGTTCCTAGGGATTTACTGATGGAAAATAATTCTTAGAGAAATCAAGATGACAACCAAACCACATTTTGACTTGGTTGAATCGCTCTTATTTTTGTTGGAACACTTGCAAGATCGTGCCTCAATTAGCTGGAGTTTAATTGAAGTACATAAGAACAGAATATTAGTAATCTGATTTACTCATACGCACACTGATAAAAGAGATGTTTCTTTTATGATCAGAATGAGCTCGGTAACTGGGATTTTGTCTCAGTTGTGAATGTATAAAAAATAATGAAAGAATCTGAGGAAATCCGTTTTATTCTTGGCTTAGTAGGGTATTTCATCAATTCAATATTAGGAGTAAGGATTAATTTCGCGTCCCGGCTATCCGAAATAGGCATACTTTTGCGAAGGAAATCTCTGATCAAAGATGGAACAAGATCCATTTTGATCTTTCCCATTATGACAGTGAATCGATAAAGCGAAGGAAAATAGATGGAGAAGAACAAGGATATAGCAGCTGTATTTAAGTGATTAACTTTCCAAGTTATGTAACTCGAAATAGTTCATTGGGTCTCGTGGTCCTTACAGCAACAGATCTGATGAGATGTTGAAACTTTGTTAGCAGTCGTCTCAATTTCCAATGAAAAACATAGAATGGTGGTGATTTAAGCCTATCCTACACTTGAAGCCACTTTCGGGACATCTTTGGCACATCCACGGTTCTGAGTTTGTTTATGTAAGTGAAATAAATCGTACGAAATTAACTGTCTGATTCTAATTGTACTTTTTTTTTTTAATGCGTGTGGGGTTTCAATTTGACGTTAACATTAGTTACGCTGTTTTATCTTGGGGCTAAGCAGTAATTGTCATCAAATTGGATGGTGGAAAGGTTGACTTTGGATAACTAGAAGCTGAACTTCTTACCAGACTGGTTGAACTAATTATGTACTTTACATTATGGACTTCAATGAATCGATGAGTAATTACTCATCCTTTGATCAGAAATTGATATCAAGAAACAGATGAATCTGTGTTGAGCTTTGAGCTATTGTATTATGCATCGATGATTAGACATTCTCTGAATTCACAATTACTTTACATGCAGGTCGAAATGAATTATCACTTGTTTCTAGTAAGCAGGTATCATTCTCGGCATGTACACACCTTCTGCTATTGTTTTGGTAGCATTATGTAGCGAAATATCATGTATACTGTTCGATACAGGATTTAAATTGGAGGGAGAGGCTGGCATTGCAACATCTCAAACCATTGTTCTCTAAAGAGGTCATTCATTGAACACCAGCTGCAATATGCTTTAATATGTTCTCATGTGCAATTCTTGTGGCTAACACATCCTTTTTTGTTAGGTAATTGATGTTATTAATGCTAGTAACAACAACCTGGGGCTGTTGAGTGTCGATTTTTTCCGAAAAAATAATCTGTCCTCATCATGGAAGCCAGTGGGCTTCCACACTGCTGAGGTGGGAATGAGTATTTTCTTTAAAAAAATATATCTCATACTTTTGAGATTTCATGAACATGATTCCATTTTTGCTAAATTTGTAAGCCTGTCGGCATAGCATTCAAGACGGAGCGTAAAGCTCCTGGCGTCCAAGATGAAAATACTTCAAATGGTAATATATCTCTTTGGGAGTTCCATAGATTCGAAGCCTGCTTTTGTTGCTAAATGTTTTGTTCATTTTGTCTGAAGATCATTCAGTTTTTCTGGAGGCACCGGCTGCGCTTGCCAGAAGGGTAAGTACCATGCTTTGTGTCAATATAATCTTTTGCTATACTGATTATTTTTCTTATTATGCCTTTGCCATGGAAATTTTCATAATCCTTTTACTAAAAGATGAGGAAACTTAGGAAAGAACGAAATTATTTGGTAACTAGTTAGAAGTGAAGCGGGAATTCAGAAATATCGTTCGAAAAATCCGTAGTTAAATATATTGCACATAATGCATATCTATGGCATGCATATGTACTTGACCTATAGCATTACCCGTGAAATCAATTTGCAGCAATTGAGGACAAAAAGGCGCGAAAAACGCGCTGCAGATTTGCTGAAGAAAGATGATGAAGTTACGGTAAAGCTTGAAACCGCAGCAATTGAACGTTCAAAATCAGTTGATTCAGCCGTTCTTGGAAAGTACAGTATCTGGCGAAAAGAAATTGATAGTGATAACGCCGATTCAACTGTACGCTTGATACGCGATCAAATGATAATGGCAAGGGTCTACGTGAGCTTAGCAAGGATGAAAAACAAGCTCGATTTGGTCAATGAATTACAGATTCGCCTTAAAGAAAGCCAGCGTTCTTTAGGAGAGGCCACCACTGATTCGGATTTACAGCCCAGGTAACGGTTTTACAATCGTAGTTGTTCGAATCAGTTTACAGCTAATGATTAAATCATCTATGTTGTTTAAACTTTTGAGTTTTGACAGTGTATCAGAGAAAATTAAATTGATGGGCCAAGTGCTGTCGAAAGCCAAAGAGCAATTATACAGCTGCAATCTGGTCACCGAGAAGCTTCGAGCTATGCTACAATCGGCAGACGATCAAGTGAGGAGTCTGAAAAAGCAGAGCACATTCCTTAGCCAATTAGCTGCCAAGACGATTCCCAACGGGCTTCACTGTTTATCGATGCGCTTGACCATAGAGTACCACCGTCTTCCTCTTGAAAAACGGAAGTTTCCAGGGGGTGAGAATCTTGAAAATCCCGATCTTTACCATTACGCTCTCTTTTCCGACAACGTTCTTGCTGCTTCCGTAGTCGTCAACTCTGCCATCGCAAACGCCAAGGTGTGTAGCTTATCTCCATTAACGATTTTCCGTATCCATCCTTTCTATTGCTGATTATTGCTCGGACGACTCGCCGTCGCAGGACCCAAAGAAGCACGTATTCCATCTCGTCACCGATAAGCTGAACTTTGGCGCGATGAACATGTGGTTTCTCTTGAACCCGCCCGGAAAGGCTACAATTCATGTCGAAAATGTCGACGAATTCAAGTGGCTCAACTCGTCGTACTGCCCGGTTCTACATCAGCTCGAATCCGCTGCCATGAAAGAGTACTATTTCAAGGCGGCGCAAACCGGAGCCGGCTCCGCTAACCTGAAATACCGGAATCCTAAATATCTCTCGATGCTCAACCACCTCAGGTTTTATCTCCCGCAGGTTTATCCGAAGTTAGATAAGATTCTTTTCCTCGACGACGACATTGTTGTTCAGAAAGACCTGACCGGGCTATGGGCAGTCGATCTTCACGGAAAAGTGAACGGCGCCGTCGAAACCTGCGGCGAGAGTTTCCACCGGTTCGATAAATACCTAAACTTCTCCAACCCTCACATTGCGAGAAACTTCAATCCTAACGACTGCGGATGGGCGTACGGGATGAACATTTTCGATCTGAAGGAATGGAAGAAGAAAGACATAACCGGGATATACCACAAGTGGCAAAATATGGTATTGTATTTTCGATGTTTTAAATCATCAGCACGAATTTATTTATTTATTTGATTTTTTGTTACTTATTTTTGTCGGTGTTGTTGTAGAACGAAGACAGGACACTCTGGAAGCTCGGCACGCTCCCTCCGGGGCTGATAACGTTCTACGGGCTGACGCACCCGCTCAACAAGTCGTGGCACGTTCTGGGTCTTGGCTACAACCCGAGCGTCGATAGGTCGGAAATCGAGGGCGCAGCAGTTGTACATTACAATGGGAATATGAAACCGTGGCTGGAGCTGGCGATGGCGAGGTATAAGTCATATTGGACGAAGTATATAAAACACGATCACCCGTATATGCGCAGCTGCAAGATAAGCGAATGATGATGAGTCCCCGACGAATAGGGGTGTCGACGAGTCCGGCGGAGTGGGCGGCGATCGTCGATCGGGTAGGGTCGGATCCGGAGTATGAGCTGTGGGCGGATGAGCTGCAGGGGAGTGTGTTCTTACTTGTGCAGAGATGTGTTTGTTGTTGTCAAGTGAAGAAGACGACGTTGCAGGTTATATTCTTTATATGGCTTCATTGGAATGGGTATGATTGTTCTTTTAGTATTATATATATATATATACATATTATTGTTACTATGCAATTTTTATGTTTTAAGTTTTGTGAGAAATGTCAGTAATATTTTATATAAAGTTTTGTGAGAAATGTCAGTAATATTTTATATAATAAAAAATAATATATATTTATTATGATTCATATTAATTAATTTTATAATAAATTGAAAATTTTTAAAGTTAAATAAAAAATATTTGTTTATTTTTGTTATTATTATTATTATTATTATTATTAATTTTTTTTTTTTTTTTTTTTTTTTTTTATCTTTGGTGGTTGGTTTGGGGAGTAAATTTGTGACCTAAGATGATGGACTTGTGATCGAAAAATCTGTGCCTTCTCAGGTTGATTTATATTGAATTAATTTATATTTATTCAAAATATTAAAAATAAATTAATGAGCAGAAATTATTATAAGTCCAAATCATTTTTTTTTAATTATTATACGCAACATAAGCTAATGTGGCTTCTATATATTGTTATATTTATATTTATATCTATATTATTTATTTATATTTTAGTTAGATATAATAAACTATTGGTTTATTATATTAAACACCTATTTATATAATGTGAAATAATTACTACAGTCAAAATTATTTAATAACACGAAAGAACAATCAAATAACCTTCTATTTTTTACACAAACTTCTGTTTATATATAAAATTACATTTGACTCTCTCCATATATTTTATTAACTTTACTATTTCAAGAAACTCTAAAAAATTCTAAATATTTCCAAAATATAAATAGATTGTGGTGTCAAACCCCTTTAATGATTTATGTAAAATTACACATTCACCCTTCATATTAATGTCAACAGCATTGCTTTTATTTATCTGTCATTCATTCAATTCAAATAACTCCCATTTATTATATATAGGTACATTTCTAAATTATTTGGTGAGTGATATTCAATAAGTTGATTTCGAAATCACAATAAAATAAATTAATAATTTTTTGTTTTCAAATTGTGTTTATGTGTTTAGTATTTTAATTAAACTTTTTCATAAGTTGATTTAACCTAAAAATAACATTTTAGGTTGAAAATTAATTTTTATGAAAAAGATAAAATATATATTGCATTTCTCAATTCAATAATTTCCTATAAATATTATTAAAAAGTACAAACATACATACACTAATAACATTTTAGGTTGAACCGAACCGAATTTTCGGTTAATCGAGCAAATTCGGTTCGAATGCAAATACTGTATATTTGATATTTGCTCGGTTCGGTTCGGTTTCGATTTTTTATATTTTTTTCGATTCGGTTAACCGAACCAAATATATTTATATATTTATGTTATTATATTTTAAAATTTATATTAATAATTATATTCGACTCGGTTTCCGTTCGGTTCGGTTACTGTTCGATTTCGGTTTGGATATTTGAAATATTTGCAAATATTTTGATTTAATTAGAATTTTAATTATTTTTTGATTTCAGTTCGGTTCGAATTATTTGCAAACATTGCAAATATTTTCCCCCGAAATTTTTGATTCGAATACGGTTTACGTTTTCGAGTATTTTTTCAGTTCGGTTCGAATATCAAATACATGCATATTTACAAATATCCAACCCATGCCCACCCCTATCAATCACCGTTAAAAATTAACTATTTGATACAAAATATTATTTTTTATATTAAGAATGCACTATTTTTCATACACAAATAAAAACTAAATGCATATTCTGATTAAAAGAAATTAAAAAAAAAATTGAGAACGGTATATTTATTTTGTGAAAATATTGAAAATTTTTTGAGAATAATATTTATTTTGTGAGAATGTTAAAAGAAAATTAAAAATAATATACCAATAATATAAAAATAGTGAATATAATTTATTAATATTTTTTAAAAAAATTGGAAGAACAAAACTTATTACTATAATAAATTAATATTTTCATAAAAAAAAAAAAAGGAAAATTAACGAGAGGGTTGAAAGAAAGATGTGGTTTCCTGACAGCATCGTATTCCCGCCAAATGCAACAGTATGAGGCCACGTGTCTGGGCCCCACCTCGACTTCATTGCATTTAACCGCCTCTCCACGAACGACACATCCCACCGCTTTTTTCCCCTCTGCAACAATCTCTCTCTCTCCTTCTAGGGCTTTTGCCAATTCCATTCCTTCCCACTATCAATGTCGAAGAAGCTCGATCGGATTTCCAGCCCTTGTAAGTCGTTTCATTTTGATTTCATTACGTGCTTTGATGAGGAGGAGATTAATTCATGTGTTCATAATACGTTCCGATCATTCTGAACTTGAACTTGTGTGTGTTTTAGAGATTACTTTTTTGAAGATTGAAGGTTAGGATTGTCAGTTGTGTTTAATGAACTGCACAGGTGGGGATGCTGTTGTTGGCATTTCGCTGATTTCGAGTTTCAGTTTGGGGATTTTGGTTTGTGCTTTCGTGAACGAACGATTAACCTAATTTTGATTCATCTCTGAAGTAGAAATGGAGTTGCTGCTTAATTTTCTTTCCTGGAATCGTAGAGAATTTCTGAATTGTGTAGTCTGATGGTTTGAGTCATTTTAATTTTTAGGTTACTTTTGAGGACAAGTGTGTGATTACTGATTTGATACTTTGGTGTTAGTTCTACGTCTCTCTACAGAGCTATACTGCCTTTTCTTGTGGAGCATTTAATTCTCTCGGTTGAGTTGCCTAATACGATCGGCATCTGATGTAAATGTGGTTTGTATGTTAGCCTCGTGAGTGGGAAAGTACATTGTTGTTTCAGGTTTCTGTAACAACGAGAAGTGCAAGCAAAAATCTGAAGCTGAGAATTCTGAGGAGAGGGTGAAATCTGGAATCCTGCATAAAGCAAAAAATGCATCCAGTAAACTGAAGAATTCCTTCAAAAACAGGAGTAGGAAAAAGAGCGATGCTGGAGTTTGTGAGATTGAAGATGTTCGCAGTATTGAGGAGCAGAACATTGTTGAATCATTTCGTCAGGCCTTGATCGTTGATAATTTGCTTCCATCAAGATTTGATGATTATCATGTAATGTTGAGGTACTTCTTCTTCTTCTTCTTCTTCATTTTTTATGGGTATACCGATCTTTGCATATTTGATGGTTTTCCAATTCAACTTCTGCTAAGATACTTTTTGAGATACTTCTTCATACAATCTGAAAGCTGTTGTACCTATTTTATGTTATTTTATTAATTTTTTTTGTGTTTGGATTGTGGACATACTCTGTTCTACAGCTACAACTGAGAATAAATTCCAATGCATTAATGGTTGTTGATTCAGGATGTACATGCTTTTCTGTCCCTAAGAATACAATATTTTACAGATTTCTGAAAGCAAGGAAGTTTAACATTGAAAAAACAAAGATCATGTGGGCAAATATGCTCCAGTGGAGAAAAGAATATGGTGCTGATTCAATCATGGAGGTAATCTTCATTTCAATTTTTCCATGGTTCATTACTAATTCATTCAATCAGAGTATTTATTCATTGCAAGACTTCCAACATCTGACGCCTTGAATATCTTAGTGGTTCACATTAAGATTCTTGGTTTTGAATAAATTTTAGGAAATGAAGTTTTGGGCTTGCTATTCATGCTCACGTTACTTTTCTTTAATGATATTGATCTGTATTTTATGTTCGATTATCTTCTTCCCGTGTGTGTGCTCAGGACTTGGACTTCAAAGAGTTGAATGAGGTCCAAAAATGTTACGCCCAAGGTTATCACGGTATTGACAAGAATGGAAGGCCAATCTACATAGAAAGATTGGGGACAATTGATGTTGACATGCTTATGCAAATTACGACTATGGATCGACTTGTGAGATACAAAGTGCAGGAGTTCGAGAAAAGCCTCGCTGTTAGGTTCCCTGCTTGTTCTGTTTCTGCCAACACACATATTGATTCAAGTACAACGATTTTAGATGTGCAAGGATTGGTAATTCCTTTTCCCTTTTTCTTCTCTTCTTCGGCACAAAGAGCACTATCAAATTACATATGTCTCCAATATCGATACTTTTTTATTGAACTCGTTGTACCTGTTCAGGGTTTAATGAGTTTGACTGGCCCTGTTACAGAATTCATTAAGTTTGTTCAGAAGATCGATAATGATAATTATCCCGAAGTATGCCTTCTCTACCCTTTATTGTTCTACAATTTAAACACTATGACTTATGCTTGATTCCCAATTAAATCACATTTTCTTTACCTGTGGCTCAGACGCTGTACCGTATGTTCATCATCAATGCTGGCCCTGGCTTCCGGCTGATCTGGAATGCTGTCAAGCCTTTACTCGACCCTGATACAACTTCAAAGATCGAGGTTATGTACCTCCACCTGCCAATGTGTCTAAGGTAGCATCATATTGGTAGTAACTCCACAATATGTGACAAAAGACCTTTTAAATGTCAGGTGCTTGGCAACAAATACCAAGACAAATTACTCGAAGCAATCGACCACAGGTAACTATTTCTTGCTGTTTGCTTTTCTATTTATGTTTTGGAACTCACAATGTTTGTTTTTTGGTTGTAGCGAGCTACCAGAGTTTCTCGGTGGTAGCTGTACCTGCGAAAATGAGGGAGGATGCTTAAGGTCGGATAAAGGACCATGGAAAGATGAAAACTTGTTAAAGGTAAGAAAAAAAAGAAGCTTTCGTTGCGCATTACATTTGTTTTAAGTAATCGGGCAATGTATATTTTGCTTGCTGCGAATCGACAGCTGAGGCCCTTCCATGTTGCAGATTGATCAGAATACACAAGTTCATCTACTTGAGAATGTGTCGACGAACGCCGGATGACAGGGAAAAGCTATAAGTCATTGAGGTACGCTTGTCATTTTGTCGATTCAACAAAAAGAGATGATAATGGCAGTTGTGTTGAAGCTTTTGGTGGTTTATAAATTGGTATGAGTTGTTGCAGATCAGATGTGATATTTTGCAAATCCATCATATATATATATATATATATATTCAGCAATGCATTATTGAAACTTTTCATTCAGCAGTTAAAGTTGTGTCTCCCTCCTCCCACTTATTCTGTAGATGGGCCTTATGTTTTGGGCTTTAGGCCCATGTATTTGGGCCTGTGAGTATTCCTAATTTGTTATTTATTGTTGTTGTTGTTACCGTTGTCTCGTCCACATACATTTGGTATATTTACTTGGATAAGTAAGTATATTTATAGTCTTTTGACATCCATGATTATTTTGGTTGGTTTAGTAAAGTCTACATATAAGTTTTTTCAATATTCTACAATATATCTTCCTTCTGCCGCCTCCGCCTCATTTTAGGAGAAAAATGGAACATAACAGTATCAATGTCAATATGTATGTATGTATGTATGTGTATATATATATATATATATGAATGGTATGATCTGCTGGTAAATGCTAATTTGAATGGTTGGCAGCTTCTAATTTATTTATGGTTGTGCACCACATGCATCCATTGTACACTATATACTGCCAATACTAATAATAAATAACACTAATAATGATAAGTAGTAGTAGTAGTAGAAGAAGAAGAAACAGCAGCTCCATGCATATATATATAGACAAATACTACAATATTGTGACTGAAACAAACTTCACCAGGATTCGAGGTGTCTGCCCTCATTAACCCATAATATATATATATATATATATATATATCATGCATCTCTCTCTCTCTCTCTCTCTCTCTCTCTCTCTCTCTCTCATCATTTTTTTGAATGAAAAATAGTCTATACAGCACAACCATTGATCTCAACATATATTACAGGTACACATCTTGTCGGAACAGAATCAATCATGTGTTGTGTATATTACTACAATGTACAATTAATCACTGTGATGCTCAAGTAACAAATCCTTTGAATATGAAGTATGTACTTAATTAAATTAAAATATTTAGTGTACAATTATATATATACTCAATAGTGTTTCAATATATAGAATGTTGCAATATAATTTTCTCATCACACAAAATTATTGCATATGGGGATCATGTGAAATGAAATCTTGTTTAGAGTAGAAAGGCTATTTATAGCAATTAGTTACTTCAATTGAGAAAATAAATTAATTGTGTCCTTTAATTCAAAACCTTACCAAAGATTATCATTTTTTTTTTTAATATAAATTATTATTCTATATATTTATCAAAACTCTCAACAACTCTATTCAACAAAAACCACATTTTCCTATAATCATTACACAATTCTTTATTACAAATAACGAAAATACAATAAATCATAAACAATAAACAAACAACCCCAACGTTTTGTCTGTATAAGAGTTTTGAAAGTTTTAAATGTTTGAGCGTTTACTATGCAATTTGATTTTCGATTTTACTATTTCAACTTTTTTTTTTCCCTCTAAAAACGTCAAATCAAACATTTATTTTTTATTTATCACATTACATTCAAAATCGAAATAACACATATTTCAATTCAAAAATTTACTATTCAAAACCAAAACCCAAAATCAAAATCTTACAAATAAACACGAATGTGATGTATATTTTAAATATTATTATTGATGAATAGTGTTATTTCTTAAAAGATATATATATATATATATTTATAAATAGAGTCTAGATTTGATGGAAGTCCCCTTAGTGTAAGGGGTAAAGGACAATTGCAATACACCATATTTGAATTTGACCTAATTCTATTTTTGGCCTCTCTTGTCACAAATTTTTTAGACAAATTTTCGATCTCAAGTTAGGCATACATACATGAAGTCATCGTCTCACACACACGCCCACACAACATACAATTTATTATGGCCAATAATTTGATACACCGGTGGTTCTTCCTCGATCATTTTCCCTATATAGATTTGCAGATCTAATTTGTCAATGAGGCTTTAGATATTCGATCATAATTGGAATGGGTTAGATTTTGAAGAATCGTATGCATTTAAATTTCAATGGAATCGGACAAGTTGAATTTGAAAATTTTCTAAACCAACTTCAAACTCAACTTGTCACGATCTATCTTTAATTAAATGTGGTTATAGTTCGATTACTCGTATACCATAATTTATATGTATATATACAGTGACAGATCTACATTGGGGCTTGGGGGGTCAACTGACGCTCCAAGCTCTTCTCAAATTTTTTTAAGTGTAATTTTTTTAAATTTTTTTATTTAGTAATCAAATTTCCCCTCCCCCAATTTGGAATTAATACTCTACATAAACCTCCATATTATTATTATTTTAATTTATAATAATATATAATATTTTTATTTATAAATATATTATATAAAAAATAAAATATTTTATCTTAAATATTGTTTTCGTTTATTTTTTTTCTTCTTCACAACCACGTGAGAGTGTTAATAAAAATTAAAAAAGTTAAGATGACATCAAGTTGGTATAAATGAATCGACGAGAAAGTTCTTATATTATTTTTTGTACACACAGAAACAACCGTTCAAATAAAAAATAGGTTCGAAATAAGTTGAAACTAAAAATAAAAGGTAAAAAAAATGAAATAAATAAACATAACAATTTTGCCCCCTCCGGAGCTTCCGTCACTATATATATATATATATATCTAGCATTTATTTTGTTTGGAATATTTTATATGTTAGAAAATATAAATAAGTTAAAAAATATATTATATGTAGATGAAAATTTGTAAATACCATTTGGAAATTGAAAATAGTAAATGATATCACAAGATTTGGGATAAAGATAGTAAGATATTTCTAAACTTCAATAAATTGAACAAATATACAAATCAAATTATGACATTGGTGTGTGGTAATTTAGAGATATGTTTATTTACTATGAAATTATTTTTTTGTGTTAGTTTGAATGTAATATTTCTTAAAAATAAAAAATAGTCACACGAATCCTACAAATTTAGTCCACTTTATTTGTATTTTTAAATTTTTTACATAATATCGTATAAAAATATTATTATTATTATTATTACTATTATTATTTTTTTTGTTACAAAATATCTCGTTCAATCAAGTATATACGTTACAACTAAAACAAACAATTTTATCTTAGGGTAAATTATATAACACATTATTGTATTTTGCTAAAAATGCACAAAATACCCTATATTTTATTTATTACGTGAAACCCCCTTTTTTAAATGGAAAGTTTACATGAAACACCTTTTTGTCCAAAAACTGATGTTTGGTTAGAAATAAATACCTAAATGAAGTAAATTTTATACAAATAAAAAACGTAAAATATTTTAAATAATTTTTTTTGAATAAAATACATAAATAAATAATTGATCAATCATTTATTTTTATAATTTTTTTATAAAAATCAGACAACAATTTCTCTCAAAAAACTATAAAATGAAGGACTAATAATTTATTTATTTATTTATTTAATGCAAAAAATTATTTAAGATATTTTGCGTTTTTTATTTGTATAAAACTTGCGTAATTTTATTATTTATTTAGAACTAAATATCAGTTTTGGTTAAAAAGGGTGTTTCGTGCAAACTTTATATTAACACAAGGGAGTTTCATGCAATAAATAAAACACGACATGTTTTGTGCATTTTTACTAAAATACAAGGGGGTGTGATATAATTTACCCTTTATCATATATATATATATATATAAGTATTAAAAATGCATTCTATCATATTTCATGATTAAGTTATTTTATAAAATAAGTTAAATATAGATGTATTTGGTTTGCATTTATATTCTATATGTTTTATAAAATAAAGTATAATTTATTAAGTAAACAAACAAATACATATAGAGAACAAAAAACATTGCTTGTTTGTGTATGTATTTTATTTTTATTGTTTTTAAATAAAATATTTTATATACTAAATAGTTTGAATATATATATATATTATAATACTTTCTTCGTCCAAATAATTTGCCGACAAAACTAAAAAACAATAAGGACTATAGGACGGAGGAAGTAATTATTAAAAAAAAAAAAAAAGAGATACTTATCTAATAATTAGTGAATAAATTCTTTTGTGTGTATGTGTGTGGTTTTTTTTTTTTTTTTTTGTTTTTGATTATAATTTTTTTAAGTAAAATAATTGTGGAATATAATATTTCATGAAAAATGAATATTAAGTATATAATATAAACAAAATTGGCACTGGTGATTTATCTTGCAATTAATTAATTAGTTTTTATATATTTATTTTTAAATGTAGAACTAAATACCTAATTATTTAATGAAAGATCTAAACCAAATTGGAAAGGCCTGAATTCAGGGCAAGTTTGGCATATTTTGGAATTTATTATCATTCTATTTGTAGACCATTTGCCACAAATAAACCATTTGCCACAAATAAACCTTTCGTTTGTAGAATTTTATCAAAATCCTACTATTCATTCAAAAATTTTCCCCCAAAAATATCAAATCAAACACTTATTTTTTATTTTTTATATTATATTAAAAATCAATTTTACATTCAAAACATCGTATCAACACCTATTTATATCGCATCATACAACTATTCAAATTCAAAACTTTTACTATTCAAATCTCAACTCAAAATCCAAACCCCCAAACAAACACACCATAAATCAAATTCGGGGTTGTGTTTGTTTGTACGATTTTTATCAGTTTTTGTTATTTATGATTTTATTTTTATTTTCAAAAAATCAAATCAATTATTTATTTGTTTTTTTTTATATTACATTAAAATTTATTTTAAATTATAGATATTATATCAATACATGTTTATATCGTATTAAATCACTATTATAATTCACAATTTTATTATTCAAAACTCAAATAGATCGTACAAAGATATACGTTATTTTAGTGATGATTTTGATTTAAAATAGTAAAAGAACAAACCGAATTCATTTAGTTTACAAAATCAAAATCCAGAATTATTAGAAATATTTTGTTGGTCCAAATTATAGGATTTGTTTGGTTTTGATTCAAGATTTGATTTAAATTTTAGTAATTTGAAATGATTTTTATAAAAAAAATTATATGATTTTTACTAAAATCATATGAACCAAATATTGAAATAGATTTATATAATTTTTTTGTTAATTAGTTTTTAAGTAAAATAGTAATTAAATGTTATATTCTACGTAAAAAAAAATTACTCTATCCGTCAGCCTCTATTTGTATTACGTTTTGATATAAATAATATTCAAATATCAACGCACATATAAAAAAAATAAATGAGACCATTAGATCTGAACAAAGATAATATTATATTTTTATAAAGAAAAATATACTCCCTCCATCCCATACAAAATATCCATATTTCCATTTTAGTCCGTCCCATAACAAAGTATCCATTTCATTTTTTAGTAACTGTACTTTTTACCTAACATTACAAATACTCTTACAACTTACAATATATTACACAAATGTCATTACGTTTATATCACACATAATAATAATAATAATAAGGTTATTTTAGTCATTTCTACTTTATTCCTACTATATCTCAATATAATACTAGTATTTTTAAAATTACG